CCCCCCCCCCCTTGATCTATTGTATCACTCAAAGAGATGATTCAATGAGTACTGTCAATAAGAGGTACGGATATTGCCAAATGGCAGTAGTCGGCCGTGAGGAGTCAACATTTTGAAAAATCATTTTACGGTTTCGATCATCGTTATTCGTCATTTTTCGTTTTTTCATTTATTCATACAAGAACAAAGCATACAAAACATATCTGGTGCATTTACATAGTGTTTCCTAGCTTTAAACGGAATTTTCTACGAAAAAAAGCCAGTATGATAGTATTGTAGCTCTCAATAACTGGTATGGAAATGGATATTTAATTTATGTATCGGCTCGGATGTAGAGAAATAAAAGATCTACAAAAATACCTATCCTGGTGCCAACTAACACAAAAACCCATACATCTACTCTCTCCTTAAGTTCAACGTATGTCAAATTTTTCGTACAAAAGTCGATTTGAATCGCGGAGAAACTGTGCAGGCGTATCGTATATATTTTTTACACTTTTTTCTTGAATAATTAAATGAAAGAAGCGCAAAATAATGAATTTCGATGATCGAAAACGACAAATGAATTTTTCAAAGTTTTGACCCTTTACAGCCGGCTGTTACCAAATGGAAACATACAGCCATTCAACATAGAAGCACCGTTCAATTTTAAGAAATAGTTTTTTACTCTCTCTATGGCAGGATAAGAAAATATGTGCAGACGAAGAGTTTTAACTATGTCGCTTTTGGGAGCCGGCTTGAAAGGGTTAAATACACTGAAAAATAGCTCGAATCAATCTGTCTCTTTTTTTTTATAAGAAACAAAATAAACAGTATCTTTCAGGACTATTTATATCCCACTCGATTTTGCATAAATATTTTGCCATATTTGTTTTTCATCAGTGGCGAGCTATTGAAATTATGTTTGAATATTTCAATAAAAATGTTTTCTCGGTCTACATGCTTTTTTCTAATAAATAGTTGCCTGCAAGGTAGAATAAACTTATAATGGTGCTGCCCTGTTACCCTCAAATTCTTGAATATTCACTACAAATGAATTGCAACGTAAAACTCATCGAGTAGAGCACAGGTAAAGAATTAATTGCAAATGAAACTATATATATTCATGTAGTTCACTGTTAATCCTTAGCCATTCATGCACTGTAAAGACTAAGTAAAAATAGTAAATCATCATAGCTGTTTATGAACCCTTTCGGCAGATAAATATTTAGAAAGTTATGCCTTCTGCTGTAAAATTCATTGACTCGGGTACGTTTTACTGTGCTCAAAAGTAGTTTGTACGTTTTATACATAATTGCAAAATAATATTATTATTACCTGAAGATATGATACGAGTCTTGCACAATTGAAAAAGTTATGAAGTCTACATGCTACGTAAAGATATATGATATTGCTATTGTTCATCAACTCTGATTATAGTTTATGAACAGAAATGTCTTTTGAAAGAATCAATCACGAGCACAAATCTGAGAAAGATTTGTTTCAATGGTCGAAAGTTGATACTGATGTTCAGTATTCTATGCTTATTTTCTGCAACACACACCTATACGAATATATCAATCGTATACTATTAGCGTATTTTACAACACCTAATCAGAAGAATGTTAATTGTGGGTTCAGTTCTGTGAGTTGGATGAATACATGAATATCAGCAACGAGAGATCCACACCCGATCAGTATCGTAAACTTGATATAGAAAAGTGCTGAAATAATAAATCTCAATATGACATGTATCACACGCACGAATGTAATGTCCGATTGCTAGGAAAGGTGATTGCCTATACATGTCAAAAATTTGCATCATTATTTACAAGTAGTAGTTTTCGGCTGTATTGATACATCGTTTTTCTTTCGTAATTAATTATCGTATAATTCAATTTTTTCAATGGTTGACTTTTTGCGAACTGTGAACGTTCTCAATTATGATGTTTTCGATTTATAATCGTATTTTTTTCAAATGTGATGGAATTGAAACTTGTCGAGGGGTGCCCAAGGGCTGAGGATCAGGAATTTCTCATCAGTTCCCCTACAGTTCCTTGCATACTAAAGGTAAAAATATGGAATATTCACGATAATTTTTGTTGTTACACTCATTTTCACTTGAAAAATTGTGAGAATCAATGATTTCACGCAAAAATTCTTTTTAAAACAGCAATATCGCGACTTTCGTGAATGGTGAAACTGTGAGGGAACCTATAGTTGATTCCCATTTCCTCTAGGACTTATCACAGCGGCACTGACAATTTCTCGACACATTAAGAATTCCTATTTCTCAGTCCTTGGACACTACTGACATGAAGCGTATGCGTTTTATCGGTGGAAGTTGCATCAGCAGATTCAGATTTTCATGCTGAATTTGATGATGATACTTTTTGAAACATAGAACATTGTTAAACTAGGTAAATTACGAGTTTTCTCGAAGAAAGTGAAATAGTGACTTTTCCAGGTGCATTTTATATTTTGAAAATTTCTTAGCCAAAACGGAAGCCTAGAAACATTTAAAGGGTGATATTCATGACCTACTCATCGAGCTCTATCCAACCATGTAATAACAAATGGAATTTTTCCGCTGCTCCATTTTTGATTTCGGCGCACCTTACTCAAATTTTACTTTTTCTACAGATTTCATCGAAATACAAGATAAATTAATAAATCATTAAGGTACTCACAGATGGTTTTTAATACAGAACTCATTCAAAATGATACATGTGTGTAATATATTTATTTATGACAAAAAATTTTATAATGACTTTTTATAGCATCAAATGAATATGATCATTAGCTTGTTTTTGATAGACTTAATGTTTGTTTATATCAGTTGTAATAGTTTTTACAACTGAATTTCTGGTGGTACTCTAACTTAAATCTAATTCATCTTTGTTTCATACAATATTTGACAATATTTTCTTAGAATAGTGTACCAAAAAATTTTCATAGTGTTCTATGGAAGAGATGTTGCATTATTTGGATATAGAATAGAATAGTGCTTCTGAATTCTTTATGTTCGACGTGTTTTTATTATGTGTTTTACTGCCGTACATCATCATCAAAATTTCTTCATGAAGGCTATTAAATTGATCTATACATATAAATTTATATATAGTTTGTATAGTAATTTAAAATCGATACTTGATCCAAAATACTCCGCCGTTTCTAAAAACTTTTAAAGTGGTCACGCTGAAGATTTATTTTTCGGTGTTGTACATGCATAGATACGCAGTAAGAACTACAATTTAAACGAGAAAAAAAAGACAGGACACAATTGACGAACTAGGAGAAAAGCTGAAATAATAATTGTTCATAGACACTGTAGAAGAAATGTATAGAAATTTTCATATAATAGTAAGTAATATATATGTTTATATGAAAAAAAAATAGAATAGAATGATATTAAATTAATAACAATAGAATTATATACAAAAAAGAAAGGCACAATAGAGTATTTAAAAAAAAACTGGAGGGAAACACCGGCACATCAGAGTGGAGCAGCAGATCTTTTTTTCACAGGTAATAACAAAAAAAGAACTATTTAAAGAGTAGAACATGAAAAGGACGTAAAATTTCAAATAGAACCATAAGACTGCTCCCTGATAAGCAGCAAGTACATAGACGCTTCCATACAAATACACGCACACACGCCGTTATTTGTCTGTTATGATTTGCAGAATTTTCATTTGCTGCTGTATTTGAGAGTTCCACTCTAGAACAAGATAGGAGTTTGACCATCATCGTTAAAGAGCGGATAAGACACAAAGTTATAGAAAAGCATTGAAGAAGCGCGTGAATATATGTACAACAGCGACGAAAAGCAGCTTTTATTATATGTGCACTGTGAGCGACAGTAGAAAAGAATAGGTGAAAGGATAACAAGATGTAATCATTTTCGATAAGCTGATGTCGATGAATAGGTGCCTACTTGAAGTATAGTTGGACATTGTTCAAGTATTTTAACTAGTAAACTATCTGTATAACTTTCGAGATCTTTTAAACGTGTATCGCGTTTTTTCAACAAGTCTGATTGATATGCAATAACATGAAGAAGCTCCTAAAACAATGTTCAAAAAAACCATTGTGTGACTAATAGTAAATAAATAAATCAACTTACTTCACGATCAAGATAATCAAGTTCTTGACGAACTTTCGGATGAACAGGTGCACTTTTTACATTTTGATAACCAAGTACACAGAGACCGTTGTCATTTGGTTTTGTATTACTTGAAACGGATGATGATACTTGGTGTTGAGATGAACCTTGACGTAAATCTATAAACATGAGATATTTCAACAATCAAATGAATATTTTTGTTATTATTTACTTTTTCCCGATTGCTCACCAACAATATCAGGTAGTGTTGCAGGACCATTTCTATCTGTTCGATTACCAAATGATGATGATTGATTTTGAGTATAACCACTTAAAAATTTATTGTTTGCTGGTGAATCAAGCTACAAAAGAATAAAAACAAATGACATTTTTTTGAAAATAAAAATACGATCCTAAACAGATCAGAATCAAATGTCAAACAATAATAACAAATTAACATGCGATAAATAAAAATGAAAATATAATATTGAGAGAACGCACTGTAATAACATGCATATTTATATACGAAGAATGGGGGCAAAATATAATATGGATATACATCTAAATACTGTCGTATGAGGCTATTTTGTTTTCATGCGTTTTATCTTACAACATTCTTAGTATCAATATCGATACTTGGCGTTGCTATATCATCAATGTCATCGAACGATAAAACACGACTTTGAATTTTCTTGTCGGTTTGAAGTGTTGAATACTTCAAATTAATCGGACGATGTTGACATTCAAAGGATAATTGCTGGAAAAATAGACAACTGTTCTAAGAAATTTAATTTTTTTTTGGGACAAAAAAAATTTGACACCATTCAGAAGTAAATTTCGCTTAGAAAATAAGTTTAAAAAAAAAGATTTTTTTTACCTCAGAAAATGATTGTTGCATTATATCGTCTTTTGGTTGAATTTTTCGTTTAACCGAAGAACGTATACTGGACATTCGCTAAATGAAATCAGGTTTTTTTTTTCTTTTACATCCATAAATTCACAAGGGATAAGTCAGACACACACACGCGCATAAATGTAAATATATATATACATATAGTAAAAAACACAACAAGCATTCTATATGTATATGGGTACTATGTTACATGCAGTAAAGCAAACAAAATGAAACAAAACTATGTTATAATAAGAGAATAAAACCAAAATAAAGTTTGCAAGAAGAAGAAGAAGAACAATTTCCAAATTTGTTAATAAATTAAGATGTGTATATGTATGCGTATGTGTGTGTGTGTGTGTGTGTGTCTGTACTAAAGAAAGATGAGTACTTACCTCTAATTTGCCCAATAATTCATCAACATCCTCATCAATAGAATCATTCGAATCGTCGAGCTCTGTTAAAGAAGTATCTTTTGGTTTTGTTGTTGAAACAGTCACAGTAGGTGTTGGAGTTAAATCAACTTTAGTTATTGGCATTGAAACCGATGGAGTAGGTATAACATCAGTGTGAATAGGTGCTGTACGCTTTTGTTCTTTGGAATGATGACTAGATCTTATTTCTTGTTTGATTTCTTGAGGTTTTTGTGATTTCTGAGAAACAGGTGTTGACGGAGCTAGTTTTTTATTTGGTTTCTCTTCGATTGGTTTCTTTTCTGTTGTCTGTTGTTTTTCTTGTTGGTGTTTATATTTATTAAAGCAATTGTCAAAATCAATGTCATCTATATCTTCATCCTTGTGATGACGTGATGAAGTCGTACCAAGAATAAATTCATCAGTATCGGTAGCTTCTTTTATTGTTGATAATCCAAATAATGAATCAGGCGATGACATTTCATGTTCTCTTGTTTTATTTGATGATGAATCATTTACAGAAGTTTTATAATCGCTAATGGCATCGAAAGCTGCTTCGATGTCATCGCCAGTAACAGAAAAACTTCTACTGTGCTCCGTTGATAGAGGTGGAGGAGAACTATTATTGATTTTTGTTGTTAGAATTGTTGGCAATGCGTTTGATTGCGATGGCTCTTTAGATTTTTTACGAATTGAATTACTTCGTGGTGGTAAATCATCACCAACATACACTTCACGGTGTTGTTGTTGTTGTTGTTGTTGTTGAACTTGAGAGCGAACAGGAGGAGATGGGGTAGATGGCTCATCTCCACCATACATTGACGCTGAATCAAGTATTGATGATGTATCATAATCTGATGTTATTGAACGACGTGATGAATGTGGTGTTCCTGTACCAAATGTCGATCCAAGTCCACTACTTGGAGCACGAGGCATCTGTTAAAAATATACTTTTTCATTTCTACTTATTGGTACCAGTAGAATAATAATCAAAAAACCTATACGTTTCTCAAAGCAAAAAAGAAAGAAAGAAAGAAATAAAAACCCACCCACCCACACATACACACATATGGAATATACACTCTATATATCTCTTTATATATTGCTGAGGAAATAAAATATACTTTAAAACCATGCAAACATTAGATTTCATCAAATGAAAACAAAGAAAAAAACATTGATGCATATATCCATGCATATCAAAAAATAAAATAAATGCTAACTTACATCATCCCCTCGCCTATTCAAGGACATTGACTACGGAAAAATCTCCTAATCATGAATTAAATAGGTAATTCTATACACATACCTTTTTATTTTGTGATTCGGCATTGGTAGTATACGACATACTGTTAAGTGACATATGTGAACCAGCTATTGATGTCGACTAAAATGAAAATAGCATGTTATTATGGAGTTTTTAATGTATATAAAATCAAAGAATCAAAACAAGTTAAAAATAAGAAGCCGCGAGAATTATATAAACCTCTTCGTCTTCTTCTCGGGTGAATGAAGTTATTCCAATTATGCATATTACATTGTTGTGTCTACAAAGAATAGTTAGAAAGCTTTAGAGAATAGAGCTGTGAAAGATAGATTAATGAATTAATGTGCACGATTACAAAAAACGAAGAAGAAGAAGAAGAAGAAGAAGAAGAAGAAGAAGAAAAAGAAGAGAAGATTAATAAACAAAAAGCTAGTTAAGTGAATATATGTGTTTTCGGCCCCATCTAGAATGATCACGCTCACCTCCGATGCTGAATCGTCGAGAAAATCCCGTACGTTATATGTACTATCCTCACCGCCACCTAGGCGACGACGCTGTTCAGCTAACTGAAAAATAATCAGTTCATTTTTTATTTATTAAAGATGAACAATGTTTAACAATGGATTATATTATATAATTCATTTAATGGTTGATTTAAAAAGAAAGGAAAGAAAAAACCATCACGTACCTGATTATCTCCACTAAAGTTGTCACTTTTTCGATGTTTCGATGCTGTTTTTAGTTTACTACCTATAACAAAATAATATGATATTATCAATACAAATATTTTTCAAGATCGAATTTTGATTATTTGAAGGTCGAGAGAAATGCAAATTGATATCAAAATATGACTAGAAATATTAATATTACTTCCTGATTAAATAGTCAATCAGCCAATCGGCAGAAAAAAAATCATTCTTGCGACACCCATGTGTTCTACATCAATTTTTATAATTACCATAAAAGATTGGAAACCTTTTGTTTAAGATTATCATATTCCTCACGTTAGAAAATGATTTGTTAATAGAACATTATTGTTGACATTATTTTCATTACTAGTCCTATAGAAAAATGTTCTATTTGCTGACATGAAAACAAAGGCTTGGTTATTTCTCAATGATGTATAACGAATGCATGGCTATTACATTAACTGACAGAACCTATAAGCAAATACACGGAGAAAACTAATTTGATTTAACACCTATGCTATGAGAAGAAACTCAAGGTTAAACAAAATTACATTCTCATGATATATGGTTCTCTTCATTATTATATTATTCCTACACAAATCGAATAATAATCCCTGATCAGTAATATGTTTTATCTCTATGCACATATGTATTGCATCTTACCTAAGGATTGTTTAATGTCTTTCAATGACAAATGCTTCTTTTTTGTTGCTAAATCCAATACACTACCAGTTGTGTTATTTTTTGAATAAAATTGTAATGATACATCAATTTCACCACGTTCTTTATCAGTTTTACCATCTTTATTTGTAAGTTTATACCAACTATTGAAATGAAAAGAAGATATTTAGTTTAAAATAAGATTAAAATAGATTCAATAGAAAAGTTACCCTCGATGAACATGATCATAATCCTGTAAATCACGTAACGAAACGTACACACGACCAACAAAATCACCTTTAGATAAAGCATTTTTATTGTTGTGATAAACAGTTAGCTTAATTATTGAATCCTCAGCAATAGGCCTATAAAGAAAGTTTTTTTTATTATTATTTCTCTTTTGTTAATTCAAGAATGCCAATGTCTTTTGATTTTCTTACATGTCACATTGTTCTTCCCAATCAGGTGAACGAGTTTTTTCTCGTACAGCAGTAACAAACTTTTCTTTGCCCATAGATATAGTACAAAAAGCGTCCACTCCTATGTCAGACAAAACAGAAGAGAAGAAGTAAAACATAGAAGTCATTCTCTTGGTTACAAAATTAAATATCTTACCACCATGTTTGCCTTTATCTGGTAAATTTCGAGCTTGATGCACTATTTAAAATTAATGAAAAACATAAATGATAGATATTTATTATTAATGTACGAATTATAGATTTCCTTACCAATACAACTGCAATAGTTTGCTTGTAATAACATTTTCGACATAATCTTTCTTTTGTTGTTGATACTTTGAAATTTTTATCACATGAATAACGTATAATAGAGGATCTGAAAAGCAGAGAAAAAATACTTTCTTTTTTTTTTTTGTCTATAAATTTGTCTCAATAATCGAGTATGTGTACTCTTTGAAAATAATATCTTATAGGTGCACGAGTGACGCATCGCTAACGACAAAACATAAAATAAAGAGAAAAAAAATAAAAAGAGAAAAGAGACCTTTCTCTTTTCTTTTTCTCTCGCCGCTACCATTATTGATCTGCTTCTCTTCCTACTTATTCTCGAGTCCGCCCGTCATCATCAAACTTTGTCAGAACTATAAAAAAAGAAGTGAATATTCAATGGAAGACAGCGGTTGCTGTAACAGGCAAACAATTCAAAATGGAAGGAAAAAGAATTAATCATGCAAGCAAAAGTATTAGTTACTTATATCTGTTGTGTTTTCTATCGCCTAAAAATAAATTACACTATTCGAAAAAAAAACAAATCCTGTGAGAGCAGCGAAAAAAAAGAGAAAAAAAACATGATTAGAAAAAAAACATATTCTTACCTGTCACTGATGATCACGCGTAAATTAAATAAAAATACATAAATGTAAGAAATTAATACATATACAAATGGTCTATGAAAAAGAGTATTCATGTGTGAAATCAAATACTTCACCAATCGAGCATCTATCAAAAGAATACGAAAAAGAAAAAAAGAACGAAATAAAAAACAGTAAATCGCTAATCCCTCTTTCTAACTTCAATTGACGTAATCGTACATTCAAGTAGCGTACGTTGAAGCCAGTAGAGTGCAACATTGTATAGTAAGTAGTTCGGCAAGATGAACAAGCATTTAGATTATATACAATTGATAAAATTCTACACCCTCAAACGGATATACTGTAGGAAAAGGTAAAGAAGAAAAGAAGACAAACATCTTCTCATTTAACTGCCTATGTACACATCTGTACTTTTACCATTTCTCTTTTCTGTAGGCAAACGAGCGGGCAAGAAACGAACGGCGACATTAAGCAAATAACGATAGAATGACCTTTTAAGAGAGATCGAGCGGGCTATTGCCTATCTACATATATACGTATAAATGTATCTAAACTCTTGCATATATACTCATACTTTTAACAACATTGAACAAATAATAACCAACAAGGGATCGATATTCTTTACTTGCGTATTTGTCTTAAATATGCATTAGCATTTATTGATTCATAAAAAAAACAATTATTTTATAATAAATTGTTCAGCATGATATTTATAAGTAAAACAGCAGATATGCTTTATTCATCATAAATTCAATAATGAATTGATAATAATCATTTAAATAGACAAATTACAGAAAAAGAATAATTTGTGTCATCGAAATGACTTATTCGTTTCACGATAAGCCCTACAGAGCTTAGAGTTCATACGTGCTTGTCTTTACTTAACAATAGATCATTGAAAAAATGCATTCCCATCATTGTCTGCATGTATACTTCATATTTATCTAAAACGAAAACCGAGATCGTTTTCTTGATTATGTTCTTTGTTTAAAACATTTTATATCATGTAACAATATGATTAATTGTGCTTTGTCTTTTCAAGTTAAATGTTAGACAAACAAAATCAAAGAAATAATAAAACAGAAAAACAAAGAAACTGATGACATTGATTTTAAGGCGTAACACGTTTTGGGTCGCGTGGAAACATCGATGTTTTTCGCACATTGCCCAAACCTAAATAAAGCATAAGGACACGTTCTAAACCAATACCACCGCCGGCGTGTGGTGGACAACCATAACGAAATGCATCAATATAAGACTTGATTTGTTTGGTATCGACTTTATGATGTTCAACACGCTGGAGTAATAATTGTGCATCTAAAAAAAGCAAGAAAAATTGAAGGTTACGCAAGTCTATTAATTTAACATTATTTTAACAGTCACCATGAATACGTTGAGCGCCTGAGAGAATCTCTTCTCCGCGAATGAACATATCATAGCTGTTTGAATATTTCTAAATTAAAGAAGAATTGAATAGTAGACGAAAGAATTAAAAAATAATATACTTACAGGATTATTCGGATCAGGCATTGTATAAAATGGCCGTACAGCTAATGGATATTTATCAAGAATATAAAAGTCTGTATGATACTACAAAAGAAAAGTAAATTTACATATATGTATATAATTAAGACGAAGAAAAAAATTGCTGTTAATTTACTTTAGCCTTAACGATGCGACCTAAAATACGTTCATTTTCTGTTGTTAAATCATCTTCAGAGCCCATTTGAACACCAGCCTCAGCAAGTAATGCTAAACCATCTTTGTATTCAAGACGTAATCTAAAATGCAAGTCTATCTTATAGAAAGGAAAAAGATCCTTCTTATCAATACACTTAAACTTACGCAGGTTCAACATATTCAAAAGGTTCACAAGGAAATTGTTTGCTGATAATAGCAATCTCTGTCGTGAATCTTAATGAAATCAAAGATGAATTAATTACCAGATGTTGGAAAAATGAATTCAACTAACCGTTCAGCAAGACCTTTAAAAATCTGTGTGAATAAATCACCAATCGTATCAACAACTTCATGATAATGATAATTAAATGCCATCTCAAGATCGAGACCAACGAATTCAGTTAAATGCCGATGTGTATTCGAATCTTCAGCGCGAAAAACTATAACAAACCAAAGTAAACAAATCTGAATGATGTTAAACAAAAATGTAAACCTGCTCCAATAGTATAAACTTTTCCGAAATCAGCAGCAATGGCCATTTGTTTATAAAATTGTGGTGATTGTGCTAAGTACGCATTTGATTTAAAATAAGATACTTGAAATACATTGGCACCACCTTCGGATGCAGCTAAACAACAGAGAAAACGAAAAACATCAATTAATCTATAGAAATGATCGATGAATATACCCGAAATAATTTTTGGTGTATGAATTTCAACAAAACCTTTAGCATCGAGTGTGTCTCGGAATAATTTGCAAACACCTGCCTCTACTCGATAAATGGCTTGATTAGCTGGTGTACGTCTAATGAAACATTCGATTGATGATATCGTTTGACCAATAAATTTAACTTACAAATCAATAACACGATTATCAAGTCGAGTTTCTTGATTGGCATGAGGTGCTTGAATTCCATCATTGGCTGGGTCATCTGGTCGCATAGCATCTTCAATTAATAATGGTAAACGAGGTTCAGCTGAGCTGACAACAAATACCTTTTTTTTAAATATGAACATAAAGAAATGATCTTTAAAAAATTCATTAGCTTTACTTTTTTAACTTGTAATTCAACATCCTTTTGTGTGCATGATTCAATGGGTGATGGTGTTAGCGAGACTTCACCTTCAATATCAACAACACTTTCCTTTGAAATGCTAAGTTTTGAAAAAGGAAAATATATTTTTATTATTTTTTTCGATAATAATCTTACGTTGTAACAAATTTAACCATTGGTTTACTAACGTTTTCATTCACACAAATTACAGCTTGAATCGTTGCAGATTGATGACGAATAACAAGAAAACATTGTTTGCCTTTACCCCGACTTGTATGAATACGGCCTCGAACCCATATTGTTTGTTTGGCTAATTTTTCATTGATATCTCGTACAGATACTAATTCCCGATCAATTTTTTCCTTTGATTGAATCAATGGCATGATACCATAGCTACCTTTAGAAAAATCTTCTTCAGTCGTTGTTGAAGGAACATTCTAGTGAGAGAAAATACGCGAAGTTAATTCCATGCATAATGACAACTTATGTCAATTGTTCACTCTTCATTTTTTTTTGATACGATGAGTCATTAGATAATAAATTTTTTTCCATAACTTCTACCGTTTGTATCTTAGAAATATGTTTTTTTATCAAGAGTAGATACCTGTTCTTTCTCCTGTGGTTTTTTACCGGAATCAGCAGACGCCATTTTAATATTGATCTGAAAATTGACGAAAATTAGGAAATATATATACAGTCCAATGATGAAATGGGAATATTCCTTTTGCATCAACTTGATGATGCAAACACGTTAATTGCAGCATTAAGGAATTCGACCAATCAACTTTTTCAGGAACTAAGAATCATTTTCAAATGATGGCGAATAACACGCTCTTTGATAGAGGATTGTTAAAAGAAAAGCTAAAGAGAGCTTAACTATTAAAAGTATGAACATAAGTTTTAGAACGACTGGTGACGTTTGAAAAACAATACATTTTATTTTTGTTTATTCTCAAATTTATTGTTAAGCCAAAATTACAAATCACGTCTTTCTACATATTTAATTAACGCCATCTACATTGATATGTTAGTTTAATTGGTATAGATCTTTACTCCAATAAAAATTATTTTTCACGTTGGAGTTGGAGTTGGAGCATGTCAACAATTTGTTTGTTTTTATTTTTTTTTAAAGACTGCGTGTATTTGCGAAAAGAATTCTTTTAACGAATTCTTCAATCAAAAACACATTCTTGCTCTTATTTATTTTTTGTTACATTTAATTATTTCATCCCTTGGATAAATCACTATATTCACTCTTGTCCATGCCAGCCATTGCCCAATGTCCACAATTTGACGTATAAAAAACTAACATCATATTTGCTCTGTTTTGATTAGCTATATTCGTAAGGCTTCTATCTTTAACGAAAGTAAGTATACAAGATTGTGCTCGTTTTTCATTTGCCATGTTCTTTCGTGTCATATTACAAAACGATGAAAACGAAAAAACGAAAATGACAAGTATAAAGGTCTATAAATATCGTCGTGTTATTGTCCTCTCTTCATTTCTTTCTTTTCATCATAAAATTGATTGCATTTCTATTTAACAACTTATGTACAGTGTGTATCGAAAAAAAAAAGAATGAAGGAAGACAATTCACATTTATTTTTAGATTTTTTCCTTCTTTTCTTAATGTGCGCACACCTGTTTGTCGTGTCCTTGAATGGATAATATATCATGTCTAAAACTACCGCGATCGTATCAGGCGGTTTTACAAGTTCAGCATTATCACCTCCAATATATACTCTTGCTATAGTTAGTATTAATCCATCATCAGGTAAATCATCTTTATGTAAACGTCTGATCGATTCCAATATTGATGAGTATCGATTATTTTCGTTAAAAAATAAATCTATTAACAAGCAAAATCTTGCAACATGGTTTTATTGGGGTACAGTAAAACATCGACGTTCAGATGAAAAACGTGAAGCTTTATTTCATTTGATTGAACATTCTACAATAGCTATTGATGACAATGAACAATATGATAATTATATAAAACGTATAACATCATTAACATTACGTCCAGATGAAAAATTCCACAGTGATTCCGATTATCCACAAATTAAAACATTTCCAAAAGATAAAATAACGATCGATGCGTTTCTATGCATACATGATTTATCGTCAACTAGACGAATATCTGAACTTTTATTTCTTCTTCATGCATTATATAAAACTCGTCGTCCTGTAATCATAATAACAACTAAAAATGATTTGATAGACAATCAATCTGATTTAGCCTTACAATTCGAACAATCAATCCGTCATTCATCATCAAGTGATTCACATTTTTTACTTAACACACCTATTATACATACATCATCAAATGAACATATTAATATTCAAGGTGTACTTGAACTTGCTTTATATGCGTGCGACGAACCAATATTATTATCATCAAAAAAATCGCCACATGTAACTGCACAAATGTCAAAATATATCCCATCATCATATAAGGATGCATATACAAATGAACAGTCATTAAAACATGTTATACAAGCAGAATATAAAACATTATTAACGAGACATGTTTCCGATCATCAATTAGGTTCTTGGATGAAATTCTATACGGCTTGGCAACATCATGCTAGTATTAAAAATTTTATTGATATGTTTGGAAAACAACAAGCTGAACATTTATATGATGAACATATTGACGAATTGAAAAAAGCAGCAAGGCAGAAATTAATTGATGAAAAATTAATTCCAATTGTAGAATTACTTGTAACAGATCAAAAAACAAAATTATCGAGGTAAATTCTTTTTCGAACAATTTAAAAGATCTAGTATTACTAGATGATAGGAATTTGAAATTGATTTATTTTTGACAAATGAAGAAAATGATTCATAATACAACTAAGTTTCAAAAGTTATTTTCGATTAACAAGTGAATTACATGAATCCTTATGAATATTGAAGTCGTGTCTAGTTGTCAAATGTTTTGAAAGAACATGCTTCACATTAAATTGCAATAACTTATTTTTGGTCCATAGAGATGAGAGAAACAAATTAGATTGGATATTATGCAATACTTGCAGTCTTTCAACCTTCCCTTATGCACAATGTATTTCTCACATGAATAATTTTAACTATATGATAGATAATCGAAACTTTGACTTTTTGTTACTACGATTAAATTCAATAGGATAGATTCTTTTTCTTTTCATGACTATAATGTCAGTAACTATCACATTGACCTACCATCGTTGAATTCAATAATCAAATCCAAAAGTTAGCAAACGTGAAAAAAAGAATACATATAGAGAACGTGTAATCATTTTTTTTCGCTTTCACCTAAAACATAGACAAGAAAAAAGTCAAACGAACTTTATCAAAAGCATTAAATTACTTTCAATTATTATCAATAAAAGGTAACTATGGGACGCTTTTTCTATTTTATTTCGATGAAAAGGATACTTTTAGTTTTTTTTCTCCTTTGAGATGCAATCAATTCTTGTGTAAGTCTATTAACTAGATAGTTTTAATCGAGCAATACGATAACCTTTCAAAAGTAATAGTCCATTGAAAAGATCATCGGTATTTTAATTTTTTATAATCTTAAGTTCATTGAAACATCTAGAATAAATTTGAATATTTTCCAAAGTCACATACATCCTTTATGCGAAGATATTTAGGGATCTAACTAATTTATTGATGACGTGAAGTTTAATTTCACATTTATTTTGGTTAAAATCTGACTATGATCTGATAATTTTATACGTAATTGAAAAAGTTCAGTACGTTAGATTTCTTGACAAAAATTCATGATAGCAACAGTTCATTATCTACATGAAATAAAATCGATTGATACAGTTTTTACGCAAATCTAAAAATCTGAGTTAACTCTTGGAGGATTAGTTTAAGTAAATTATGTCAATCAAGGCAAAGCACAGAGGAGTTACCTTGAAAAAACGGAGATATTTCGTTGGCTAAATTAATAACAACAAGATTATTTAAGACTTTTTTTCTAGATATAAATTATTAGATTTACGCGTAGTTCTCTCAAAGTGAAGATTAAAAGTAGTGACTGCGATTTAGAGACAGAATAGAAAATGACCATCTTTCGTTTGACTTTGATTTTTTTACACGAGTCATTTTTTCTTAAAAATTTCTATAACAAAACTACATTTAACAAGCAATTAGTGAGTATCTCTTTAATCATGCGTGAAAATATCATACTCCAAATACTCAAGTTTCTAGTGATTGTATCAAGTCTTGAGAAAAAACAAAATGTCTTAACAGTTGATTCAACTATAAAAGAAGTTTTTAGTTGTTATATGCATACTTTTCACGTCATTAATACTAATTGTTTTATGTCATTTGTTACAAATAACTTTGTTGAAGGAAGATCTCCAGTGCTTATATTTTTCAGGGTATCTAGAGTAAATTGATACGTATGTAACGTAGAAAAATTAGCGCTTATACAGTTTCTTGTGTCAAGATACACGTGTTTTAATTTTACGAAATCACATCACTAATGAATGCTTTATATATTCATATACGTAAACATAAACCCATAACTCTTTTCCTTGTAGAAATTGGGATTATGTGCGTCTACAAATGCAAAAACATCCTAGCTATTCATCAACTGTGATACCATCTTCGATGTGGTCAGATTCTGAACATAACAATGGAAACAATTCCTCATCTTTAATCATTCCCGATGACATACTTGATACAGTTGAAGCTCGCCTTCGTTTTGAATCTTATATAAATAGTCGTCAATTGGAACAAACTCGTCGTGCAAATTGTCGTTCTTTTTTTGATTTACTAAATCGTTTTGCTGATGCTGGCCTTGTTCAATATGGTCATTCGTACGAAAAAGATTGTGTTTACTTTTTGGGTCGTGAATGTTATGAATCTTTAAATGCTCAAGATCGTTTACGTGTGTTTGCGTTTCATCAATCATATCTTTATCGTTTATTGTGTTTAAAATTTGTTGAATTATTATTTGAATCGTTTGAAATATTTATTATTACATTTCAAAAAATGAATTCGGCAACAACAGATAAATTAAACGATAGAAAAATTACCACGTTGACTATCGATGATATATTTGAAAAAGAAATAATTCAACAAATAAAACATGATCCAAGGTAAGAAAAAGAAGATAGCACAAGTTGCCATTCAGAAACTTGTTTCGTTCAATTTTGTCTTTGTATTGTAGATATCAATCATTAAATAATCGTGAAACAGATCGTCATAGATTAATTATGTGCCATTGTCATTTTTTATATGATTGTATTTATCATTCACCAACAAAAAATATGCATCAATTATTGAAACAACGCAAACGTTCATTTAAACGACGAAAATCGTCACAATCTTTATATAGTCATAATATAAATTTTGATGAGAATTTCTGTCCTTATACACGAAAATTTATACCACATAGTAATGAAAATGAAGGAATAAGTAAGAAAAAAATTGATATTGGCTGCCCAATGGAAGAAACATGTGCTGATGTACGAATAATGAATGAATTTTTTTCGATCATGCCTATAAAAAAAAATGTGCATAAGTATGAAATTCGATATATTTAAAAATTAGTTCTATTTGTTTTGTTTTTTCTTAGAAATATTTTAATTTGTGGATATGAGAATGATATGAATAATTGTCTTCGAATACTTTCCGTAAGTGAAAAATAGATTTTACTTTTGAATATGAAATAATTCGAATCGATAAAAGATTTTGAGAATCACAAGTTTTCAATCATTCTATTTCAAAGAAGCGATTCAATTACTTTAGAAGTATAATTTTCTCAAATATTAAAAAGTAATGATGAGTATGTTTGAGAAAGAAATAGCTTAGCTTTTTGGAATGTTAATCGATGATTTAGTGATTAATACATAAACAACACTTTCGGGTTCTTTTCTAAATCGGAAGAAAAACTATTTGTTTATTGTTTTCTCGCTTAGAATTTATAAAAGAAGATCTCCCATCGACTAACCCTAATGAACGGTGATTTGTTTTGCAAATAAAAACGTCTCAATCGGAACAGTAAGAGTCAAAGAATGTACGCACACTGTTAGATTGCTGTTCTAAAACGATGAATTGACTTCATCAGAGTAACATAATCATCGGAAAGATATTCGAAGATCGAATTTGATTTTGATATGTTTATCCAGATTTACGACTAATATTTGTTAGAAGAGCTGTCACACTTTGACTACACGGAGTACTCCCCTTTTAAGATATTGAATTTCCTGTAAGATTCGATCTGCTTGACCTTCATATGAAATCTGAGTACTATTTGAAAATTCAATATCTCTCGGCGGCGTATAAATTTTAATTCAAACTTTCCAGATCTTCGAAGGATTGTTAAAATTAAATCTAGATAAAACACAACATACAAGTACTCTTGTTCTTCTATACTATTGTTAGTCTGACTGAGAGCAATTCAAAACCATCATTCTATGTATGATTGATAATGTGGAAAGAAAAACAAATGTCTCTCGTTATGAGTTCTCACTATTTCGATATGTATGATGTTGAAAAATTTTGTGAAACAATTTTCCGATAAAAATTGCAAAATCTTTTCTTCGTATAGAATGATTCTTCTCTGATGAACGATTATCAAGTTAATTTATGGACATTAAATAATTTGAAAACACAATCAATTAATGGTGCAGATTTTCATTTTATTGCTACAAAAAATTATTTGCATGAGATTTTATTTAGGTTGCCTTATTGTTTCACCAACAGGCCAAAAAATTCTCGAAGATTTTATTTCTCAAAAAAGATTCCATATAAATATTAATAGTGAGTATTTAAAAAAAACATTCTATTCTAACTGAAAATCTCTCTCGTTTAGCTATTCCAACTGTAAATTTACACTTTCCAATTCCAAATGAGTAAGTTTATTAATCCGTATGAAAATTTGTTTTCTTTATATGATTCATATCAAACATAGTTCCAATAGACACATTCCTAATGACACAGCAATCGAACAACTTCGATTGTCAGTTGAACAACTTCTATCGAATGATGAAAACTTTTCTAATAAAAATCCATTCGATCTTCGAATTTTACTTTGTTTTATGTGCGGTGGAGAAAATGATGATGTAGAAAGATTTTTTTCCCAATTATCAGCACGGTTTTCTCTTATGGTAACTAATCAATATGGAGATTTTTCATTTATTATTAATGCTTTTCTTGGACGATCAAATCGAAAAGTAATTTAAATTAAATATAAACATTTTCTTTAATTGAATTGTTTTTGCTTTAAAAAAAAAGATTCAATTTATTCCTGTTTCGTATCATTTATTACTTACTGTTAAACTAATTGATTTTGATGGATTTATTTTATTACATGATCACGATAGAAAAGCAGCTGTTAATACAATGACGTAAGAATCATTGATTTATTAAATTAATTATAAAATTGAATTATTTTATTAATTAGATATTTGGAAAAACATATTTCAACCACATTAGAAAATGAATTATCAAAAATGGCTGATGATAATCCCGAAATGGATAACACGAGACCAACACGTCCACCCATATATGTATTAGGTTGTATTAAAGATTTATCTTTATCAAATATTAAAAATTATCCTCTATCCGATTATTGTGTTCAATGCCATCATGGAACAATAAGAAATTTTGTTGAATGTATGTTTAAAAACCGTTTCTTTCTTTTTATCTAGTTTCTTAAATTATATTTGATTTTGTTTAGCTCATCTTTTACCGTTTCTCAATCAATGCTGGATTGGAAAAACTGCAAACAAAAGTGAGAATGATTATTTTCAAAAACAACATCTTCTAGTTGGTGTTACATCTTATTTCGAGTAATTTAAATTCCTTTTCTTTATCTTGAATAAAAATAAAATACTTCATTCTTTTTTTGCTTTTAGTCGCGTAACGCATTCATCCGCTAGTGATTTAATGACATCCAGTTTTGAACGTTCGCGTAGACAGTTAATTAACAGTAGTGTAAATGATCGAGGTGGTTCATTAGTATTATCGAGTAAATCTAATGAACATTCACCAAGGCATCAGTCTACAACATTGACACCTACAAACCCTGAACAAAGTAAATTATAGTCTACTATTAAAAAGATAAATCACTTTTTTGAAACACGAACACGAAACAGAATGTTGAAGTATATAGGGTGTAAATTTGCGTTCGCGCCTAAGGACTATCCCGTAAGTTGCTTATGTGCAGTCCAGGATTGCTATCATGTGCAAGAAGTATTCTTTATTGTAAAAGAACAATATTTGATGATGAAAAGATTTGCTTGAAAATAGCTAAAAAGTAGTATTATCTCAATGGCCAGCAACAGAAACTACATTCTATTCTGCATTTTAGTCCGACAATGTGAAAACGTTAACATTTTTTAAATATTTGTTTATCTATAGTGTTCTCTTGTCGATCTTATCCCTATTTATCGACATCAAATAATGGTATTGAATCAACAATGGTTCCAACAACGCCTGTTGATCCATCTGTAACAAATCTTGGTTTAATATCTCCATCGTCGGCATCAACATCTTCGATATCTAATAGTCAACATCAACAATTTAAAAAATCAACTAGTATGCGTTTTGCAAAATTAATGGAACATCCAAGTAAGTTTTAGTCTAATAACTTAACGTAGTTCGTAGTTTGTAGTTATTAAAAAAATGAAAATCTATTAGAATAAAATATTAGATAAGCATATTTCTTTTAATTTTATTTATTCTAGTTAATTATTTAACATTTAACGGTAAAGTAGATTTACAATCATTGTGCTTGTGCTTTATTATTTTTCTTTCGTTTAATTGTGCAGTTTTGTTTTGTTTTGTTTTGTCAATCTCTCTCTCTCTCTCTCTCTCTCTCTATATATATATATATATATATATATCGGTGGATCCAGGTTTCCGTAAACATAAAAATAATCTTTTTTTAACAAGGGGAAGCAGACTGATTTCTAGTGATTTCTGATGATTTTCATTGGTTGCTAGTATCTTTGGAAATTCTTATTCTTTGTTTTTATAGTTTTGAGTTGCCTTTCTTTATCCATTGATGTAAGTAGAATCATTGATATGCATGTATTTGGGCGAAATCACGCAAAACGGGCCATACACCCCATTCGTTCGACTCTTATTCTCCACTAAGGCTTTCTTTTTTAATGGTTTCTTTTATCATAAACTTGTGGAAAACTGTTTACTCTTTCACATGATTGTTAATTATAACTAATTGAAAAGCAATTAGCGAATCTTTTGTAAACGATATGATAAAAAAGTCTGAAAACTTCAGAATAGACGCTAGAGTCCAAGCTGTATAGGTAGTCAAATTTTCAACCAGATTGAATTCCAAAAATTTCCTTCGAAAAGTTAGTTCCATAAATAAGCAATCGAGTGTAAAAGCAAATTTTTTTTATGTTATTGTAATCTAGGGACTCTGAGCAAAGATTTGTACGATTTGAAATCTTTTCCAAACTTTTTGTTCGATAGTGAAGGTATCTTCTCGGTAATATATCCGCACTGGATCACTAAGTAAACAAGTGTCACGTCGCCAACCAAGAATTCATACGTTTGACAGAAAAATCTATACATGCTGAAGAAAACATTGCATACATATGTTGTAGCCGAGGTGATGTCTACTGGATATCTAATTTAATTTTCGGCAATTATGCGTCAGTTTGAAGTTTTTAAAACTGAAGTCCGTAAAGTGACAATCCGTGTTCTTTTTCGTGTCACGTCGCTAACGGCTTCTTTTTCTGATAACTCCTATCAACAAAGCTCCGTCGTACTGATTTTTGCACAGTATATAGAGCCAGTTAACACCGATATAGTATGTAAAAATGAGGTCTAGAAAAGCTTACTGTTTTGAGATAGAGATATTTGAATTTTAAGAAATCACGTCGCTGAGAAATGATTTTGTGCATTTACAAATACGTGACTTGCATTTATCGAAGTTTTTATAATGCAAAAAGAAATTTTACAGTATGATGGATAAATATCAAGTTTTATTATGTAAACAAAAATAGTGGAAAATGAAAACCATTATTGTTCTTGAACTTGTGACAATCGATCAGCGGATAAGGAACTCACATCTTTCTCCAGAAGAGTGCAAGCAGTCTGTTTGTGAAGAGATTTATTTTGTTTTTTAATTATAACTCGAAAGTTTGTTTAAGAGAGTTCTTGCTTTACGTTATCAACTACTCGTACTCCACGATTTGAAGATGTTCCAATATTGTTTATAGCCTCGACGCCATTGTCGAATGCTAAATTCTTGTTGCTTAGGGTGAACCGATACTCTCGGCCTCGGCTGTCTCGGTCAGTCTCAGTCTTAGTCTTACTTTAGTCCGTTTCTTAACATCAAACATGGTCGCATTCAATTACAAATGTACACTCAGTGTCTCTAATGTAACGATGCTCAGTTATTTTTGGTTCAGAATAACGTTGTTTGATAAAAGTTCATTATCGATGCAAAATAAAGCTAAAATTGCTGCGACAATAAAAAACGTATCCATCTTGAGGACTTTTCATACTGATATGGTATACTTTGCAAATGTATCATTTTTTCGTTTCTGGGGTACAACTCAGTAGGGGTGGTACGTTTACGTTAATTTAAAACTAACATTAACTAAAACCGTTAACCATTGATATTAACGGTTTAGCTAATTAACGCCGTTAATTAACTCGCATTAAATTAAATGGTCCACCCCTACACCTCAGACATTCGTGAAAATGTTTTGGTTTTTATTCATTTCTGATGTTCACAGATAGATAGAATAAGATGTGTTGATGACAAACGTTGTATGTTTTCGAAGGCTTGTCTCTTCATACGAGACAATGAACCACATTTCAAAAAAGTCAAAAATTAATTTTTAGTGAAAAAGATCACAGATCTATGTGAATGGTTCATTAAAATTGAACCTGTTCGACGTAGAATCGTTCACTCTGACAGAGTATGCATGAAGATCTACATAAAGGAACGCTCCTGGATTGATAATGGTCACATACCGCCCCCAATGGATCCAATGCTGTAAACAGTAATTCCTTGAACTGAGAGAACTCGTGTCTGCATGAGTGAATCAAAGCGACTTTCACTCAACGCTGATAACTCGCCAAGTTCTTCTAACTCGGCTTTCATTAACACTCTTCAAACAACTCTTACATACCTCAATGAAATATAGTCGACAAAAATGAGTTTGGCTTAAACGATCATTAAACACTCAGATAAACTGCTAAAAATGATCTCTATGAAAAGAGCTCATCGAGTTATCTATTATAAGTGAAAATCACATTGTTTTCTTCTCGTTTTCTATTACACCATAAACTCACTGTTTACAGCGTGGGACCCATTTAGGGTGGTATGTGACATCCATCAATCCAGGAGCATTCCTATATGTAAATCTTCATGCATATTCTGGTAGAGTAAACGATTCTACATCGAACAGGTTTAATTTTAATGAACCATTCACATAGATCTGGGGTCTTTTTCACTAAAAACTGATTTTTGGCTCTTCTAAAAAAGGTTCATTTGTCCTTTATAAAAAGACAAGCCTTCAAAAAACATATAATGCTCGAAATCAACATATATCATTCTATCTATCTATGAATAGCAGTAGCCGGAAAAAAAAATTTCAGGAGTGCCTGAGGGATACCGCAGAAACGAAAAAATGATACATTTACACAGTATACCTTATCAGTATGAAAAGTCCTCAAGATCGATATGGCTTTTATTTTCGACAGTAATTTTAGCTTTATTTTGCATCGATAATGAACTTTTATCAAACATCGTTATTACGGACATTTTGTTTATTGATGTTGAATGTCACCCGTTCGACTTTTATAGCTTATTACACTAGAATTTGTTTCTCATCAATAAGTACAGCATGATAGAAATCTATATGCTCTACAACATTGCTCCAGAGACCTTTCCTACATTTCTTAAAACAACGTTCCCTTCAGTTAGTATATGACAAGAAGAACACGCAACAAGAGACGCCTTACATCAAGTCCTAGATATCGAGGTTGAAGGGAAACTATGTTGTAGTTACTATTAGATCATGTTTCATTCATCTATCAGATTTTTCACACTAATTTATGACTACTTTATGAAATAAGGAATATAAGGAGTTTTTAATTGTTTTACAATTAGAACTTCTAGCAACTGACGACCGAATGAGTACTCATTTTATGGTAAATTTAATAGCGATTGAATAAGAATAAAGTATAATCTAAAATGATTTCTGGTGATTTCTAGCATTAGAAGTCAGCCTGTTCCCCTTGATTTTTAACGTTAAAAATAGATTTCTGAAATGTTGAACAAGACCACCAGGAAATTACACTTATGTATGTCAAGAGTATTATAACAGCTGCAGCACCCCGAGAACAAAAACATGACCTTAATGTTATTACCAGACGTTGATGACTTGATGAAAAACGATGTTTTTTTGCTTTTATGAAATGTCTTTCTACTGATCAACATGTTACTAATGAAGACTCTAACGGTTGGATTAAAAGTTAGATATAAAAAGAAAAAAGAAACGTCTCTATGTCGTTTAATCGCTTCAGTATTATTGGAATTTTCAACAACATTGAGTTAGAACGACAAGGTTTTGTTCTGCTTTATTGCTAGTACAGGATATAACAGAAATAAATTCACAAGTTGTGGCCCATGAAAAAAATTTCGAATGATTTAAAAATAAAGTTTCGATAGTTTTCAATGTATAATAAAGTGTCGAAGATCGCAATAGATTTATTTAAAATCCATCAATAGATAGAGCAAGTGTTTTCCTAGAAACGTGCATCGTGACTATCGATGTCCCATCAGACATCGTCTATCAAAAATGAGAATTTTTGGAAACAATCTAAACGTATTTTCGTAATGTCTTGATCTTCTAACCGAGAAAATAAACTCGATCATGTCTGGAGAATAGCCAGAATACTTTGTCCTAAACTTTCTTTGTTGATGACAATTTCACCTTGAATGTTACATTGAAAATCTTCAATAAAAATGCAGTAACAACAAGTATTATTCTTTACGTAAACGTTTTGATGTCATTGTTGATTCAAAATAGCGTCAACATATGTTACATGCAAATTTCCAAAACAAAAACAAAAACCGATAAGACTAATTGATATGATCGCATTTTGATGATAGAAAGAGAAAGATGATGCGAAAAGTCATATAAATCATAGTTTATTGCGACTGTCTAATGCGATATATAGTGGCATTGTCTATATCAGGATTAGTTATAAGCCTATTTCTTTCGAAATATCGATAGTCAAATCTTTTTCAAAGTTTTGATCATAGCTTACAATTTCATCGTTCCACAAAACTTGCACATCTAAGTTTGTGAAAAGCACTAAGTTGTCTTTCTTGCCTTATGCTTTAAAAAATTTTCTAAATCTCTTAATTCATTGAAAAATACCGCAAGATGCGACATCAAAATTTTCGCGCCATTGGTTATTATGTATATCAAGAATAAATTGATGTAATAGACAAATATAGATACTTTAATATTCTTTCATAGCCGTTAATTAATATCCATCATCTGTTGTGCTAAATTCTTCTTTGTTTTTCTTTATTGCTTATCTATTCAACGCTGTTTCTAACGCTTATATCAAAACAAGAGAAAATAAAAGAATATAAGAAAAGCAACTACTACCAATACCAATACCGATACCGATGACAAACATAGACGCATAGTATCGAAGAAAACCTAAAAGACAAGAGTAGTAACTACCCTCTCTCGTTTCTTTTCGACTGTTGACAAGTAGCTATTGCCTAGCACTGCTGTTGCTTCCATCAAGTTTATTCTGTTGTGCATCCATCGAACTGTAATCATCACAAGTACCTTTTCTTTATTTTTTTTTAGCTGATGGTACCAGTTACCAATCATCACCTAGTAATGCAAATAACGAAAGTGTATGTATAGAAACCAAACTAGCTGAGAGGAAACCTCAAACAGGAAACAAATTCTTCTTTTTTTTTTTATCTTAAGCCATTAAGAAAGAATCAACGGATAAACGAAATCTCGTCAAAATTATCATCCTCAGAAGATATGAAGTTTCGCTTGTATAAGCACCGAACTGCTCCACAAGTTAAAGTGCCACTAGCAACACCAGAAGTAATTGAATTCAATGAATCAATAGCAACTCCGTTTTCGGTTCAGCAACATTGCGATAAATCATTGGTCTTCGCCAACCACAATGCCGATAATGTAAATCCCGTCAACTCTTCATCGTCATTGCCACCTACAACTCATAAAAAACACCAAAATAATAGCAGTACAATAGATGAATCAATTACGAATTCATCCAAACAAACAAGAGGTTCTTCTAATAAAATTTCATCTTCATCTTTAAAAGTCTGCTGCTTTTTCTTTAGCAACTGATTCATCTATAGATAGTTCAAGCGATGAGCTTTTACAAAATCAGCCAGAATCATCAACAACATTAAATAATATAAATTCTCAAATAAATAACCAACAGCAACAACAACATAATCCAGTTACTTTACAAAGAAAAGTATCCGATCGAAAGTCAAGACGTGTACGAGCTAAACAAAATGATGTCACAGGTTTAACATCAAGTACTGAATTATTAAAGAAAAGTAATCAAAAGAGAAAAAATCTTTTTACAACAGAAATGTTGATTTTATTTTAAGCTGGATCTGATGATGAAATATTAGTTGATGATGATAAACGTCTTCAGCAACAATTTCAAAAAAAGAAACGTCGACCAAGTTTCAAAAAACGCAAGAAAACGTTTCATGATCAAGCACAAACTGACTCAGGCATTGATTCTCGAATGGGTATGCGAATGTTTTTATTTTTATTACCGTTTTATTTCCTTTGATTCATTCATATTTATTGCAAATTTCCGCCAGTGATTTACGATAGAAGTTGTTCGAACAATAGCTATATTGCGGTATCTTTTAATGATAAATCAGAAACTTTCTATCGTTTATAGAAATCGAGAAAAATGCAAAACAATGCGAGGAGATTACTCAGTTGACTATAGAACAGTAAACGATATATTGTAAAATCATGATACAAACGTGTATTTTTAGAAGTTTGTTCAAAGGTTTATGTTGAAATGAATATTTTTGGTTAAATTTTAAATTAATTTCTGTCATAATTTAGAACCAAAAGATGTGGGAAAAGTTAGTATTGCACCAGAACCATCATCTTTACCGAACGTTATATCGAATGAAGATGATTCGAGTGTAGGTGATTATACAAAAGATAGCAAAGTAAGTCGATTTAAATGAGGTCCTAGATAAGAACTTTTTTTAATTGATTTTTCTCTATTTAAAAGAATACATCCATTGAAGAACTTGAAGAACGGCCAACAGCTAATTGGATTCGTCGTCAATTACAATATTTTGCTCAATCTCGACGTGATGTATGTTTTTGTTTTTATTAATCGCCAACTAATTGTTTGGTTTTTAGAAAAATGAATTTAAAATTCGCTCTCCGGCTGCAACAGTCACATCTGTTTCGTCACCACCATTGCCTTCATTTAAAGCCACAATGACTGCAACTCCTCCCAATCCATATGGAAATTCATCACCATTAGCGTCACTTGAAAATTCTCATCATCATGCTCATAATCGTTTATCATTGAATCGTTGTATTCAATCCACGGAATCGGGTGTACCTTTATTTATTGAAAAATGCATACAATTCATCGAAGAATATGGACTAGGTATTGAAGGACTTTATCGAATATCTGGATTTAAAAATCAAGTTGAATTAGTTATTAATAAATTGGCTGAAGGTTAAAATATCGATTGAAAACGATAGAACTATTTAACATATAAGGTTTTTCTAATGTAGATCCATCCTATGATCTTCGACTATTGCACGTACCAGCAAGTGCAGTAGCAACGGCATTGAAAGATATGATGAGAAAACTTGATGAACCACTTTTATCATTAGAATTATTTGATGAATGTCAAAATTTAACAAGTACGAATAAAGCAAATTAATTTTTGTGAAGAAGAAATAAACTTTCTTTTTATTTTCTAGTCGATCAACTGCGTGAACAAAATTTTATGTTATTACGAAAAGCCTTTTCTCGTACAAGTGAACTTAAATATCGAACAATCAAATTTATTTTCAAACATCTTCATTTGTAAGTTAAACGATATAGGAGGAATTTTAAAGTTGAGCAAATATTTCTTTTTTCGATGTTGATTACATGATTACAAAAATATTTCATCACAGTATATACATAACATATTATCTATTGTATTGTATGGATATATATATATATATATTGGTTTCTTTTAAGAAATGAGAACTAACTATAAAAAGTTCTTTTGCTTTTCGAATATTAAGCGACTGATTTTAGTCTTAATTCGAAAAATTACCCATTCGTATTTCTACTGTAACCTGTAAACGTATCTTGATTCTTTGTTCCAAAAGACGTAATATATGCATATACTCCCCGAAGAGATTTTCTCCGATTAGAAAACATTTATAATAAGAACTCGCAAAATAAACTTTTGTACTCTGAACATGTACAATTTAGCATCCATAAAATTTAATTTGCATTCCTACATGAATTAAATATTTTATCTATAAGTAGTGCAAAATGAATCATTTAGATAATATGTTTTGTGATACAATTTGGCTCTCTAACTTCCCTGCGGTACTCCTTCCCGTAGGAAAACAGTTTATAAAACAACGCAACTGAGCGGGACTATTGACAAATTTTGCGAGGGATATTCACTGTACAAGAAAAACGTTATCTAACTTAATTGTATACACTGAATGCGGATATCATTTGTCTTTTTCTCGTAACTAATCGTTCCCAATATGAAACAGTGCATTGTAAGAGTTAACTGTATGATCTTCCGATTTCTGAATATAAATCGTTCGTTTTGTCTAATTGAATAGAATCGGTTTTTTTTTCAAAATTGAAGGATTCATCACGTTCCATAATTTGTTTCTCTTTAGTGTTTCACAACATGCTGCTTCGACTCACATGGATTCATCTAATTTAGCTGTTCTATGGTGGCCGAATTTGTTTCAACCCCAATTTCGTGACTTGAGAACAGCAGAACAAACGTGTCAAAAGACAAAACCATTGATTCAAGCAATTATTGACAATTATTCAATAATCTTCTCTTCGGATGAAAGAAAATAATGAAAACACAAGCAAAATATAACAAGAAAGATTCGTTTTATTCGATTTGTGATCTTTTTGTTTATTGGTATGATTTTTTCTAGTCAGCAGCGGGTGCTTCCGTGTTGTGATTTTGTATGTCGAACAAATCGTATTTGTTTTTGTTCTTTATTGAGAATCCTTCTTTTTTTTGTGTGTATTTGCTAGTCGTTATTTCTATTCCATAAAGCAAATTAAGAAAAAAACGTGTTCGTTTCTTTTTTTGTAATTAGAACAGTAGCCGTTTTTTTTTCGTTTCCGTTTCGTATGTCTGCGTATATATGTACATACAAAAAAAACAAATCATGTAATTTGTACATGTTTTTCTTTCCTTTTCTTTATCTTTTTTTCTCACACACACACACACACACGCTCTCTCTCTCTCTCTCATGCAACAAACAGTATCATTTCGATTCTTACTTGCTGCCAGAAGCATATAAACAAGGACTCCAAACGAAGATTAACCTGTTTGTATACATATACTACAAATCAAGATGCGTGAATGTACGCGCATTGTTTGTTTTGTTTTCTTTTGTTTCTTATTATTGATGTTGTCTATTTTCGATGTGTCTTTCTTTTCTTTCGTATAAAGTCGAATAAAAACAGCCGCAAGCAAAATATTTTTATTTTAAAGATATATTGGGTTTTGGTACAGGGATTTTTTCATCGGCAAAACGAAATAAGGAGCGATCAGCTGTTTGATTATTAAATGGAGCAAAAAATTCTGTTGCATAGTCGATTATATTTTCAGGTTTTGTAATTAAGACCGATTGAAGAAAATCTGATAGCAGTGCGTTGATATCCGGATGTTGATAAATATATGACTTATAATCATCGATTAATTCGTCCTAAACGATAAAATATTCGATATTCAATAGAAAATTAATTGAGTAAGATTTTCAGCTATGAAACAGCATTTGAAAAGTTCGATACAGTATATTCATTGGCAGAAAGAAACATGTTGCAATGAAAATTAGATTTGTTGCATTAACGTCTGTTAAGGTTCATGTTAAAGCTTTAAATATTAGTACTGAAATGAACCGTTGGGTTTCAATGTACATCTTGAATACTCTATGATCATAAGTCCTCAGAGTTTAATGATTATTTTCTATTTTTAGAAAAGAAATCTTTCGAGTACGGAAAAAATCTCTTGTTATTTTATCGGTAGCTAAGAAACATGAACTTCAAAATAATTATTGTCATAGAGAATGTACATAAATTGCTTGCAAACAATTAATATTAATGTCAAATATGCTAGTGTCTTTTTTTCTAAATATTAAAGCCAACATAATACATCGATTGAGAATGATACTTGAATCTATATATTTTGTTACTTACACGTCGGTCAATAAATCTCGAACGTAATTCTAAATCATTTTCCCATTGCAGTTCTCTTTTTGGAATTTCCGGTTTAGGCAAGTATTCATCTATTGAAAGAAAACTTCCGAGAAAAGAATGAAATTAATTTATTAATTTTACCAAACTGTTCTGATTCAGGTATATTCCTTGTTTTCATTTTAATCGGTGAACCAACTTGATATCGAGATATAAGATGTCTATTTTATTTATAAATACGTTTAATAATTTGACAGAAGTATAAAAATTTACCCGTCAATACTGAAAAAACTTTGCCATGCAACTGGTAATGCATTACGTTTTGTTTCAAATATTTGTCGTTGTATGCCCCATGCTTCAATATCTTTTCCATTAATATTAACTTGTTGTGGACCCAATGATGTCTACGGAGAAGATAATAATATTAATTGTAGTTTTCATGCATAAAAAAGAAATATTTACGTAAACATTTCGACTTATTTCAGATGAGGAATCAAGTGAAAGCAATGTAACTTTGTCTGGCATATTACGTTGAATCATTAAACGTTGAAGTATAAGATTAGCACCTAGTCCAGTCAATTATTCTACTAATAAAATAAAAAACTTCCTTATCCCTACCTTCTAAAATAAGTCCTTGTGCTTCATTTTTTGGAATACGTTTTGTTTCTGTTGTTTTTTTCTAAAAGATAATTATTGAAATGTGTTTATATATATATATATTGAATTATGTAGCATATCGTTTTTTTACTTACTTTGCCTTCTTCATTAGTTATAGTAATCACATAATCTGTTGATTCCGAAATAAAATCAACAATACGTGTAATAGGATTCGGTAGCTAATTTCAAAAACAAAATATACGCAAGTTTTGTTTTTCGGAAATGTTTCTATTTGATTTACACACATTAACATATTCTGTATGTTCTTGTTGTACAGTAACAAGTTCTCGTGTCACAACTGCTCGTACTGTTGTTCCACACGGAACACCATCAATAGTTGCTTGACTAAAATTTGAAAAGCAAACAACAATGATCATTTCATTATTTATTCAAACCATATGATCAAACCTATTAGCAATAACTTGAATGCAATCATGAAGATTACCATAATTTGTTTTTGTTACTTTGACTTCAAATGAGCCAACATCTGTATTATTTGTTAATGAACAAATCAATGTATCATCGTATAAAATGGAGTTAATATCATAGTTAACTATTTATAGAAAAAACAAACATGTTTACTAGTTCGATCAGAAAATATTCCCAAATAAATAATTACCTAAACTACGTAAATATTCAAGAGAACTATTTTCTGCAGACACCATCGCTAGAAAATTAAAGCAATCTTTTTTTCATATCACACAGACATGCCTCTAATAGTTTCTTGGGCAATAACCTCTCTTCAATAAAGTTTTATTCTTTTCTTTTTCAAGATCAGAGATAGATGTCTCTCCATCAAGTAAAACATTTTTTTATTTTTAATTCAACATGAATATGAAAGACATACTTCACGTTGTTCAAATAGTTTTAAATGATCTGTAAACAAATAAATAACAACTGCTCCAATTAAAGAACCTATTTGTGTCAAAAAACCAAACCAAAATAATCCACGATGACCTGACTTATGTCGAAAATAATTACCAACCAAAATACGGATAAAAAATAATATACAATATTTCAAAAACCAGCTAGTGGAGATCACCAGTTTACCAATAAATTGATCGACTAATGGTGAACAAGGCGAAAGCTTAGCCGCAAGAAATGTATATCCAAAAAGTCCTGTTCCAATAACAGTCAGAACATATAAATAACGAGAAGGTAACTTTGGAACGAATACACCCAATAATGACATGAGAGGATATGCAAACTGACAAGCTATGATAGTGTAATGATAAACTTCAATAGAATAAGGATAAAGAGAATAACCTATAAATAGTTTTAAAAAAAAGGAAAAACGAAATGAAAGATATTGAAATTAGAGGAAGTGTCGTCAAATATATACTTTGTATACTTGGCGTAGCGCCTAAATAAAAGAACTCGAATAAAAAATAACATCAAGATATAAGGTTAATGTTACCAATTATAAGAATACTTGTCCAGAAACATAGAAACAAATATATTCCATGTTCTGAAATCCAAAATTCTTTTCTTGTCATTCGATTTTCACTTTCTAATGGACCTTTCAATTCGACAGACTCCAAATTAGTAGCAGTCTTTTCGACTGTACTTAGTTCAACAACAGGGCTATCATTTCTAAAATAAATCAATTTTCTAATTACAATAATAATGTTTAAAAAAATGAATCCAAACTTCGTGTGTGAAAAATCTATCGAGTTTTTCTCTTGCTTTCGGCCCATCCGTATGACACAAAGGGTAACAAATGAAAGAAGTGATCCTAACATAATTACTGATAATGCTAAAAAATATGTTTGAACAGAAAATCTTGGCGGTGTATCATACGGAGTTAATGTTCCATTTCCATCATCTATACATGATGTTTTACCAACACCTTGTGCTATACCTAATAATGCTGGAAGTAAATTAGAAAGAGCTTCACCAATAAAATATGCATTCATGTAAATTGGCTCATAACGATCAAGAAATGGTAAAAATGTCACACTTGATGTACAGTCAACAAGTGCTAAAGTTAATGAAAATCCCATCAGATAACTTGAATGTGGGCTTCCATTGATTGTTGTTGTTTTATGCCATACAAAAGCAAGAACGATAAGAACAATAGTGCCAGTTGTTAATATACATATATTGACGGGAATTTCATAAGTGACACCACCACGAGAAAGCCGTCGAATAAGAGCAATAATGATTACACCAATATTCGCTAGATTGGAGACAAGACCCATTGTTGCTGGTAATGCCCATTTTTCAGGTAGCCGATTGACCATCAATGGAAACTCAATCCATACACCACACAAATTGAGCCATGAACCGACAACGAATAAAGCGACCAGTGTAGAAACAAATATTGTCTTTAACTGTAGTTTAGCCCACATCACGTTAATGTAAGCAATACAAAATACGCGTACAATAATCTATTGTGAATGGTTGAAACAACCTTTTTTATAATGAGAATTTTATCTAGGAGAATGTCGAAACATGCATGTTTGTTCGTGATCTCTTATATTGTAAGTTAAGGTTAAAAATTGACGATACAATACCACCGATAAAGAGAAAGAAAAAAAAACAGGCATTCATTGGTGTATAGTCATACAAAATCATTCTTGTTCTATTATTGTCACTAATGATAAATGAGACTAATATATCTCATTTCTGGTCAATGCTTCCTAAGAATCCATAGTATACAGATTTGAAACTCACACGTGTTCCCATCTCATAATCATTTGTATCGCGTAGATTTGATTTCAAAAATATTTTGTTAGTTTTTCTTGTATGGCAATTTTCGAAGTCGATTCTATTTTACTGGATGAATGATTGTTTTTCCTTTCTATAATCCTACCGTCTCAAAAATAAAGCCACAAAAAAATACTTAACTTACATTTTCTCTAAACAAGTCGATCGAAAATAAATAATTCCCAAATAGTCGAGCTTACTTAAATCTCAATGAAAGTTATAATGACCATTCGTCGGTTCATCATCATCATCATCATCATCATCGATTCACCATTGCAAACTGACAAAATCTATAAATTGGTAGTTGATCTACATCGGTATCTTAATGTACATCGATGAACGTAGTGGGTACATGTCGAAAATAAAAACATCAAAAATGAAAATGTTCAACATCGAAATCCATTTTAGCAATGAATGTTACTCTCATCCTTATTGATTAGCCGTATGCGCGCATACCATATTGCATTATATAGACTAACATTGAAAGAAAACTTGTCACTAAGAGCTATAAAAAAAAGACTTACAAGGATTTTTTATTTTCGACATTTTCTCATTACCATTTATCTACTTTTGCTAACGATACACATCATTGTGTACAGTAAATCGTCATTCATCGATACTCACCAATAAAAACCAATGTACATTTGAATATCGGCATATAGTATTGAATATCCTTACATACTATATCCACTAATATGAATCGATAGTCAGCTGTATACATCAATACTCACCGGTGCATACATCAGTAGATGTGAATATGTATACCGCTGAATATCGATGTGAAATATCCAAATATATTTAACGACATTCAGTGAAGTTCGCTAGTATACACGTGGACTATCAATGTATATGAGTATATATTGATGATTATCGTTTACCGTTTAACATCGGTTATCGATAGGCTGATTACCGGTTGACTGGTTATCATTATCGTTGTATCCCGACTACAAGTTTACCATATGATAAAAGTCCCATGGAAATTTGCCTATATGAGTAAGCGACGGACCGAATAAAAATGTATATTTTCGATCATTTCAAATGAATAATGCTTTATATGTACATATAATTGACCATTTAACGTTACACAGAAATAAAATAAAAACGACATACAAACACGAGAGTATAGATCGACGTGATCACGAAATTTTGGTCGTGGCCACAAAAATGAATGTGAATCAAAAACTTTTTTTTTCTTGTATTATTATGAACTGATAGAATACGAGTAAACATATTGATGGTTTACTAGTAGCCACTGATAAATAGGTCACCGTTGGTAGGAAATCTTATTTGATTACGATAAGATTGTACATGAAGAGTTTAATAATCTAAAATTGCACATTGTTCAATATTTATCTTAGTTACACGAAATTCAAAATTGCTATTAAGCAATTATATTGAAAGTTTGTCTTGGCTAGTCTTTCGTCAAGGTCACGAAAATTTTCCTGAAACTTATCATAGTCATAAGCATGACAATAAATAAAAATTGCAGTACTGAAACCAATCTCAAAGTAATAGTTAATAGGCATCATCTATGTTAATCACTACTTCACAATATGAACACCCGTACAACTTACAAAGGGAAAAGGGATCGTCAATTGCGACTATTCGAAATCTTCCATCCATGGCAGAGAAAAATGACCAACCGATTTAATATTATAGCGGCTTCGATTAAGAATTTTTCTCTGAGCATAATACTGAATGCAGTCTAGATCGACTCTATCCGTCTAATCGTAAGTGGTGTACGAAAATATCAATCGGTACGAATGATTTCTTTTCTTTTATAATGATAATTTATCTCTTGAATACACAGATTGACAATGCTCTACACAAACATTTTTTAACGCAGAGCAATATTCGCTGCACATTCTGACTAAGAAAAATCTACTTATTTGTACAAGTCAATAGTTAGATTGGCATGGATGTTATGTTAGCAATAGAATAGTATTTCGAAACTTGTCAATTTATATGAATTGCTTTTATGAGCATGATTTCTTTTTCTGTTCGTATGCATTTATGTACTCGGAACTTTTAGAATTCGTACATAATCGTTTATTTTAAAACGAATTGATTTGTTTCTAGTGAATATTAATATTTTCATGTTTATTCAAAGCGTCTAATCAGAGATATACAAAATATATAAATACTCACTTTATAGAATTTCGCTCATTTATGCTCGATTCTAATGAAGCAAGTAATTGAAATCTATGGCAATCAGAAAATTTCGAATGTCTTTAAAATAGTTTTTATTTTTATTATTATTAAATGCTTGAATGATGCAAATGTTAATTGATTTCTTATTTCGTAGAAACATCTGCAATCGTTTCTAGTACTTCTAGCCAAACTTGTGTCATATAATACAGCTTTAAGATGAATGTATTGAAATGCTACTGGGAAAAAAACATAACATCACACACTCAACTTCTCAACCTTTCATTTTTCATATTATCAAATGTTGTTCCTAGCTATGTTGTTTATCAATCATCAATACTGCTGCGTTTTTTCTGATGGACACATGAATCATTTAACAGTGGTTATTGCTACAATAATGATTGAAAATTTCACAATTACCGAACCTATGAAGAAAAAAAATAGACGGACACAAAAAGCCAATTATCAATCTCTTACATTGCGTAATGTTTACATAAAGATATATTGAATACCATTCTTGAGAAAGAGTTTTACTTCTATTGTAGAAATAAAATTAAAATCTCTCGATAAATGATAGAAAGTAAAATATTTGAATTTCGAACTTTAAAATATTCATAAGAGCAACTTATTCATTGGCAATTGGTGACTCAAAAAGTTGTCTTATCTTTATATTAAAGATATCGCATAGCAATTTTTAGTCTATTGGAATTGAATCATCCAACAATATGTGACACAGTCAAACCTCTCTTTGTTCTTTCATTCTTCATCCAGGCATCATCAATATACGGGTATAGGCCATAAAGCTATATTTAATACTATCTACAAATTTTTCCACAATGTGTCCTATCTTTTTTCTCTATATGTAGTGCAACACGAATTTTATTCTAGAACAACGAGAGAATAAAGAGCGAATGCAAGAAAGCGAGCGATACCGAATCTAGACCATTGTTCTCTGCTCATAGAAGCAATGCAGACTATAGTCAAGAAAGCATGAATCATCGTTTCTTCTCTTTTCTCTCTCTCTCTCTTTCTCTCTCCCTCTATTCTCTTACCGTTATAAAGGACATTGAGCGTGGCTAGTTGCTTATACTAGCGGATGGTGTTAAACGCGTGACAAGTAAAATATTCTAAGTATGAGAGCATCATCGTAATGAATTTGTTGATTTCAATCATTGACTTCATGTGGTTTTTATTTACAGTTCAATTATAATAATTAGTGATCATTAACAATGACTACAACTATGGATATTGCGGTCTGTATTGATTGTTCATCATCGATTACATCGAATTTTGATCGTATTCGTTTAAACATTCTTTCGATTCTTAATGAAGCATTAACCGAACATCAATCCGATGTTCGTATGGCACTAATTCAATTTCGATCACATTACGATAATTGGGTAACAAAGACACATCCATTTACTTCATCAATGGATTTATTTCAAGAATGGATCAACGCTGTTCAGATTGATGGTGAAAATTCGAATGAATGTAAAGCCATTGGTAAGATAGAAAATTACATTTCATACTAAAGTTGTTGTCGTTATTGTTTTTAATATTTTAGTTGATGCACTCGATGAATCTTTGGCACTTGAGTGGCGTTCAATGGTAAGTAAAGATTTTGATTTTTTTTTCTTAAAGAAATTAGTCTTTTTCTATTTTTAAAGACAAATTTGAATCTGTTTCACGAAAAACTTGTAATTTTGATTACTGATGGTCCACCGTGTAATCTACTTGATAAAGAATGTTCGTACAACAATAAAGATCTTTGGGAACTAGCTGATGAATTCGACAAACAAAATATTACATTAGTCATTGTTGGTATTGAACCGAGTGTTGTTGTTTGTGATGATTTCTATTGTGCATTAGCTCATAAAACAGGTATGCAAATTGTTTCTTTTGTAAATCTTTAAAAAGATTTTCAATCAAATGCTAGGTGGTGAATATATTCCATTGATCAATTCTGTACATGTTCTTACTTCTGTTATCAAACAAGCATTATTAGAAGATACACTTTTACAATCATTTCGTCATCTTGATATTCATTTGGATATTGAATATGATTCATTGTATAGTTTTCTAGCAGTTCAAAAACGAGCAGATTTTATGATTGAATATTGCCGAACAATGACAGATATTCGAAAATGTTTGTACACATATCGTAATCAACCAACTGAACTTATCATTGATGAAATCAATGATGATGATGTTGATCACTTTGTGTGGAAAAATATAAACATTATTATTTCAACACCAATAACCGACGATGAAGGTTATAGAACAAGATTGCCGACGACGGCATCAGCTGAATCGAGTTTTATCGATATAATTGGTTCATCCGCTTCATCATATCATACGGATTTCGATTTGAATAGTGAAATCGATGATGAGTGCTTTTAAAAACAAATATTTTTTCTCCATTAGTTTCCGTTTTTATTCTTACTCGATTTTTGAATCTTAAACATAAGTATTCAAGACTTTTATGATAGACTTAACATTATCCTTCTCTCTCTTTTTTTTCTTTTCCTCTTTATATTTCCAATTATTGAATTTATTTCGTTTAGTTTTTGTTTGTGCATTCATTAAGGCCTAATCTATCTTCTTGTCTTCTATTTCTTTAATTAGTATATCTAAGTAAGAAGATGTGCCTTTCGCTTCGTTTGATTATTGATTGTTTCATTTCATATATTTTTTTGGCCAATGTCATTTATCTTGTCAGTATCTTACGCGTTATTTAGAATGTTCATTTTTCTAACCTTTTTCTTACAGTTACAGATGTTTTCGTTTGTGTATCTAGCTTTATATCAATTAACACTTGTGATTTGTTGTTAACATTTGTAGAGGAAGATGGTTCCACATAAAAAAGAGAGACCGACAAAAAAGTTTTTTTTTTGATAACCTCGTATTCTCAATGCAGTGAAGAAGCAAAAATAAAATTTTAATGCTTTTAAATCAACAAATGATATGCTATGATTAATTAGAAAAAATTCATCGTTTTCTAATGAAATTTCTCTCTGAATAGCGGAATTGTAAAGAAAAAGTGAGATATTGGATAAGTTGATTTTCGTTTATTTTTGTTTTTATACCGTATTTTTCTAATTGATTCACTGCTTGATGTTTATATAAGATTTTATCGATTTCGCTGATTAAGATGATGTGAATTGATTTTCTGATCCGGCTGATATGAAATGTTCGTCTTTTCAATCAAAATTTTTCTACAATTTTTTGCATGTATAATATTAGTCACTATTGGAAACTTTAGATGTTGTATTTGCAAATAATGCGAAATAAATTAACTAGAAGATAAGTAATAATTACACTAATATGTAATTTGGTGGTCGAAAATCGAAATAAGAATTCTTACTGCCCTCTCGTATGCTGTTCTGCCATGCCCTACAAGACAGGACAGAAACAGTTGTCCTGTGTATCTACCTTATACTCTTAATATATAATCAGTAATTAGTGCATGTTTTTCTTTACGGTATCATTCTTATCTTTAACTGAAATGAATATTTCATTAGATATTTTTGATTTTCATTTCGATTATTTCATCTGTTCTTTTCTTTTTCTTTTGCAATTTGAGATTAAATCTCATTGAAATGCGTCAATTTTAGGGTGTGTATGACAACCCAGGTGAAAGAAAACGGCCTTGAATGTCGTAATAGCGGTGTAAAACGTTAAAAACGCGCCGTAATCCGTCAGGCCGGATTACGATGTCAAAACCTGAGAAAAACGATGGCCGTTTTCTATTAAAATAAATGTGGAAACTTCGGATTTCATCCGAGAGTTATGTGTACTGCAAAAAGTGCATGGGACATGAGTCATTTTAGAATGCCTGAACACGAAAATTATCATGAGAAATTAGGCAATTTGATTTCTGGATGGAGTTTTTGTGAATTTTGAGACCTTTTTCAGGTGATGTTTCGTTAGAAAGCTACGATTTCGTTCAAAACTAATATCAGATTCGGAATCAGCGTTAAAAACTGAGTCGATTTATATATGTTGTGAATAATTCTGAGAAAAATTTGTTTTTTGAAAAAATCCCTGTACCCCTCCTCAGGGATGGTCTGGCCAAAAATGACAATTTTTTCGATAACTCAACTATTTCTTGAGAGATCCTTCTCATCTTCGAACTCGACCGAGATATTCATGAGATTGAACTGTGTGGAAAATTTCAGCTCAATCGAATGTAATTGTGAAGGGTTATCGAACAAACGGACGGCCGGCCGGACACACCGACCGATTCTATAGTGTACTCTTTTTTCTTGAGTACACAAAAACGGCCCTCAAAACGAGCTGACGGATTTCGGCGAAATAAGGTGAAAACGACGCCTTATTTCACCGTTTTCTAGCCGTTTCCTGCCTTTTAAGGCGCCGTTTCAGACGGTCGGAAGATTCTCCTGGGTAAGACCACCATTTGTTGGAAGGTATATTTCAAGTGCACGAATAGATAAGTTGTTTTTTAATGCGTAGCGCACAGACGAATTGGCACACACGGCTTCCACTTAAGGTTTCTCTAGATAATATTCCTTCTATCCTTTCAAGTTCTGCAATCAAGAATGAATGAACTGTATTTAATACAAGCTAATTTAAAAGTTTTCAACCCATCAGATTTTTTCTCATGGAAAATAGCACTAGCATGCACGTTCATCTTAAGTGACTTATTCAGATGCTGAAAACAGAGACGATGATTTGGTTGTGCAATCCTCATAGCGTGTGAAATGATGAACTTCATAAAAAAAAAATCACTTTTTAACGAACGAAAAACAATGAAGCTAATAAAAGACAAAAATTCTATTGTTACTACTAGAACACTAACTAAAATATGATTTCATTAATACTCATAGCTTCAATGATCATCGTCCATTCTTTTATTTTATAATCGAACATAACAATGAATTGAAATAATACCATTGCCGTATTGATTACCATTATTAATACACGTAAACAAATTTCCTATCATGCAAAGTCAAATAAAGAATTAATTTATTCTTTAAATCTTTTTGTCGAAAGGAAATAAAACGTATAAATATAATTTTATAATTGATTATTTTAATTTGAAAGTCTTCCATTAGGTAATGATTCATTTTGGATTGATTTATTTAATAATTCAACAAAAGATTTTAATCTAATATTATATGAATAAGATTGGATGAATCATCAAACAATTGATTTTATTCCATTATGCCAATCAATTCATCTCGGTAAACAATGGTTAACATCAATGGGTTATGCAGCTCATCTTTTTAATATTAATATACAATATTCAATGAATCTACCACGACATGCACTTCAAGCTTCAGAAATCGATCGTGTTACACAAGCAAGAGTTTCAGATGATTATTATATACATATTAATAGACAAATTTCTCAATGGAATATAGGCATATCATCAATGTTAGCTAATGCTATTGGAATAGCTCCATTTAAAGATGTTTTTTTAGTCAAATCAATATCAACCTGGTGCTCCATATAAAACAACAGCTCAAGAAATTTTACCTGATCGAGAAATTTTAATTGCAACACTTTCAACTGGGCGAGTTGCTTTTGGCGATGGAATTAATTATACTGATAAAGAACGTATTATGTGATGTTGTCGCCAAGATGGTTTTATTTTAAAACCTACGAAACCCTTAACAATGATTGATTTAGCTATTTCAGATTGGGCTCTTCATCACGGAGTTATACAAGGAGAACTTTATTCAACAAAAACAATTATAAATAATGAAATATTTTCTTTTATATTTGCTTCCTCAATGAAACGTAACTATTCAATAGTTCCTTCAATGATTCGTTCATCAAACGGAATTCTTTGGTCATTTGATAATCCGTATAAAATAAATTATTTTGATGAAAATCATTCACTTGAAATATCAAATGAAATATGTAATTTAACGTCATTCTGTCTTTGGTATTCTTCACCTATTTGGTCTTTCAATGATTCTTTAACAACAAAATATTATTTCATGGGTGAAATTAATAAATGGACATTTATTAGTCAACAACGATTTTCGTCTTTATATACAAATGTTGATAATACACAAATGACAATTGTTGTTCAAGGTGTAGTCAATGAAATAGTCGAAATTTTAGTATATCATTCAAAATTTCAGTCTATTACTCATGTTAATTGCCATTTTTATATTGATCATTTAATAGCTCAGCTAATTATTAATTCTACAAATGTTATTTGTTTATAAAATTTAAAAAAATCAGTTTCAGTTAGGAAATTTGATTAATTTCTATTTTACAAGTATAAATTAACACCGGTAGTCTTATAAGTCAATTTTAGAGTATCTGATCAATAATTAATGTCGAGTTTCAATCAGGTATATTTTTTCTAATTTTACTTAAAATCTGTATCGACACTTTTTTTAAATGAAAAAAAGAAAAAGAAAAGCCATTTATTCGTACATTATCTGAATGATATTTTTGGTACATAGCTAATTGAGATTTACTCGAAAGGCTTTCCATAGATGTCTAATTACAATGCAGTTTGAACACACTTTACTTGTCTTAATAATTCTCTAATATGTTCTATGAAAAATCGGTATAAAACAAAGTTTTAATAATTGTTTAATAAAGAAGAAAAGACCAATTTGATCAGTTTGATTCACCCTAGTCAACTCTCCCCATAAAAGTCACTCGGACGTCTTCTATGAAACTCTCCAGAAACTTCTCAGGCATTCCACCAGGAGTTTAAAGATCTCTCAAGAGCTCCTAAAAACATGATGGTCGTTAAAGGGGACCTATTCACTTTTTTCATCATCATTTAACTTTTTGTTAGCTATTTATCAACCGAAACCCATTTCATCAAAGAATGTGTCTCTTTTCAAGAGAATCTCCTACCTAAGTCATTTAGAAGGCCTGGTCTCAGTGGACGACTTCCGAGAATCAAATTTTTACTCAGATCAAAATGATGAATTATCGCTGAGAGAGCTCAGACAGAAGTCCAAATTATATTTATCACTTAGACAAAAATTGATCATAAAAATAAACAATTATTTCTTCTGAATCTTGAGTTTTTTATATAATTTTATAGGCGCAAAAGAAAACGGTAATTGAATTCCTGCACTTCCTGATAAATCCCCCAGGAATTCCTGAGGGGCTCCTAGGGAGTTCTTATTTTTGCTCTATTCGGTAACATTTGGGGATTTCCTGGCAGGGAGTCACTACTGATGATTCTGCAAAGGAGAGTAGGTTAGAACAGTGAGTTAAAGTCGCTAAAATATCGCTTCATGCATTGTAGATAATGTAATAGATTATTTTATTCGATTGACTAGCAAAACAAAATGACAACATTAAGATTGCATAATAGAACAATGTACATTAACTCATGAAGAAGCAAAACAAGTAATACATATATATACAAGAAAAACAACACGATAGTTACACAACATTATCCACAGAAATAATATTTCCATTTTGTTTGTATTCATTTTTAACTTTGAAAAAATAGAAATGATTACATTTTTGAAGATAAGATTTAATAAGAAATAAAAGAGATAATTTTTCAGATTGTTCATCTGTTGAATTCGAAGATTTGTTGCTATTGAAGTAGATCATCTAATTAATAAATGAAATAAAAAATAGATTATGATCCACAATAAGTATAAATTCATCTTATTCTATACTCAATCATAATATTTTCATTTTCCAATATTTAACAATCGCTTTTAGTTCATCCCTCTTTTCACATCCTCGGATCGCCATAAGAGACATTTTGAAATTTGAAATGCTTTTTTAGAAAACCACCAAGAAATGATTTATTCAAGTTGAAAAAAATGAAGTATCCGTCGAAATTGCTCTTACTCTAACATGATGTATTCAGATTCAAACATTCGAATATTATATTTGAGCATTAACATTGTATATGAAATTATAAAAAATAAATTAGTAATGGAACGGAAAATATTTAATTCTAATAGAAAAAGAAAACACAATAAATACAGCACTTGTTATTGTTAAAAATTCTTCGAAAAAAAATAACAAATTTCATTTTCGTATGCTATGCACAGGAAGAGAAAAAGGAAGACAGCAACGGATCTAACTATGAAAGAATATCATCTTCTTTAAAATAACTGATATAAAAAATTAATCTTTTCTATTTGTGAAAACATTTGATTGTCATTTAGCATCTACTCACCTTCATGTCTAGCAAGTACTTGACCAAAGGTAAAATTAACGATAACATTCCAATTATTACCATGACCAGCATAACATATCCCCACACTTGTGCTGAACCATTTGTTGTATTCTATAGATCATTCAAAAAATATAAATTATATTACTTGACAAACATCATCTACATACAATGAAATACATGAGAGCTTTGAACAAGGCGACCCAGGAAACAAAAACGGCAATCCAACCCGGAATAAAGATTAATGGATGAAAACGGGACCATGGGGAATAGAATTCACGATTTTCTTCATCAGATTTTGATAATGAATTCATTTGAATCTCTTCAGTATTCATCTAAAAACATGATAATACATGTATATTGCTATCAAAGCACAATTTTATACACATTAATGTAACTTTGTTGTAACATATATTACATTGAAATCATCATCAGAATATCTCACAGATCTTATTCGATTCTAAAGCGCTTTTTCTGATAAATGGAACTCTATGGTAATTTAAATAAAACTTTGTATAGTATTATTTCGAGTTTGTTATAAGATACTTATCAATGATATTCCACTCATTTCTGTCTTTGAAAACCAAAACCAAAATCTATCTCGATAAATTCGATTAAAATAATGTTCAACTATAAATTTTAATATGATTAAGAAAATTAATACATTGCAACAAAAAGAAAAAGAAAATTTTTATTTTAAATAAGAGCCAGTTCAGAGAAGCCACGACGGATTTCCACAAAAGCTGCTCAATCGATGGTTGCCAATTTGACTGATACTTGTATGTATGCTAGAGGCAACTGGTGTGATGAATTTCTGCGCAAGCCGTTTCAAAACATTTTATTCCGTTCGTGAGATATTAAATTGTTTCTGAGAGCACCCTCTTCATAAAATGATTTTTTTCTGGCATCTATATCTTTTTATGGATGCATTCATTTCGCTTGAAATGTTTACTGTAGGTCTATCTTTAGTCGGGGTATTTACCCTTGAAAATGAGCTCGAACAGATGAATTGTCGATGAGTGGACCTGAAGTACCAAGTACATTAAAAGAGATGCAGTTTTTCGCGCTGTGTGCATATTCATATTGATTGAATAGATAATACCAGAGAGCTAAAATTTTAGCCACAGAGAGTTCTCATTGACTACTAACTCCGATATAAAAATTCAGCTCTCCAGCTAGTTCTTTTGGATCAGGAGACCCTCGTTAAAAATGCGATTTTTGCCCAAATCACGATTTTTGCACAGGTCATTCTAGAGAAAAATCAGGTCTATACAGGAATGATCTTTGTTGTGTTAAACTACACTCTTAGCACTATAAATTCACGCAAGAATCACCATAGGATAGCATAAAATGACATGCGGAGCCTTATTGGAATTTTTGGTCTTTTTGGGGTCTAAGGATAAGATGAACGGAAAAAAACATTGTTGGCTCTTCTAGTTTAGTCAATGACAAATAAATCGATAGACGATAGATAGGTGACGTAAGTGTCTATAATGTTCCATGCCATTTTAATAAAAGAAATAATTTAATAAATGTTTCATGATATTTATTTAAAAGAAAATAACAAAAAGAAAAGAAACAAAGAAAAAAAAGAGAACAAAATAAACTAGGATGAAGATATATCTAGAACGAAAACCAAAAGTAAGAGAAATTATATGATATGAAAAAAAGGAAAAATAGACTTATTTAATACTTACCTTTTACCTACCTATACGAGTGGATATTGTTCTTGGATTAAACGAACTAAATTCTCAAAAGGACGCTGACCAAATCGACGACGACGCCACATGAATTCAATCAAGTGATATACCTAGCAAAGAACGATATTGGCCCATTACGTAAGTAAAGTTAGCACCCGATTCGATATTTCTTGTCCCGATTCGCTCGGTGACTTGTACTATCATTCTAGTCAGTTGTGCTGGATGTAGAATTTAATTTTGAATCGAATGGCACTATTTTCAGAGGGAGTCATCGGGCAAAAAAATAGGATTTTACTTGGGTAAATAATATAAATGTAGATAGTTGGTATTTTCAGGTGCTCAGAAACATTTCCAACAAAATAAACATTATTTCTATGGAATCATATTATCATGTTATTAATAGCCAAGAAGTTTTCTTAATTTCCTTTTGGAAATTGGCGAGTTGAAAACCATCTGAAGATGAAGGTCTTTTTATTTTCATTAAAGAATAGAATATTATTTCTCTTTACACATGGATAGTATTTTATAATTATTTCTTTAAATAATGTCTTGAATAGTTTATTTTAATCACAGTCTTATACTCAACAACACGTATGAAATAAATAATGTGTCCACATCCCGATGATTCATCAAATCGAGAGCAAAAACGTACATATAGTGGAGGGACGCCACATATCTAGGCATTTTTCAAGAGGTTTCACGTAGGCATTTCGTACTCATGAATTCAATTAGACGTTTTAGTCAAAATCAATTTGCTAGCCCAAGTCAAATTTACAAGGATGACTTTGATAGATGATTGTAAATGCATTTCAACGGACAATAATATATTGTTCAATAGAAATGTAACATTGAAAATGCCATTGTTTCGCCTTTTCCACCTCGTTTTTCTGATAGCAGTCGCGGTTTTAGTGTGCCAATTTTTTACTGATATTCATTTGATAACATATAAAAATAATTGAATGACCTTGATGGAACAAAAAGAGCAAGTTATTACTCACTTAATGAACTACTATGCGATATGTGAAGAACACGTCGATGCGATTTATAATGAAACATTAGATTTATTTCATACATTATTAACGTTAACTGATTTCAATTCATTGATGATAATCGATGAAAAGATAATTTCGTCGCTTATCATCTTACTGATGGACAATGTGGATTTAGATAATTGTAACGAGTAAAAGCATTGGTTTTACTATGAACAACTAAATGATTTCGTTCTTATAGTTTATATAAGCTAATTCTGATATGTATTTTGCTGTCGTATAAATCATTTAGTCCATGATATGTTTTCTTTTACAAAATATTGGTTTTATCTGTAACCAAGAGCAAAACGACTCAAATAATGATCAAGCAACTAAAATCTTATCACAAATAATAGACGAATTGTATGATCATTTAGTAAGATAACATACTTAGAGTTAGAAAGAATTTTTTTTCTTATTTTCTCGAATGAATCAAGTATGGAATCGTTTGATTCCTATCGTGATTTATTTAAATCATTAAATTCCAACTTAAGCGAATTAGAACGAGAAACAAATACATGTAATGATAGCAAACAACAAGTGAAAAAAGTACTATTAGAGCTTCTATTATAAAATATGTAAAGTTTTTGCACTTTAGATTCAATCAAAACTTAACGAATATTTATGAATAATAACGATTACTATAATTGAAAAGCTAACTTAATCTTTTTATAGAAAGGAGAAAAATATCACATTATCGGTAAATACTTTCTTATTTTTAAACATAAGCTTCTATTTGTTTTCGACAATATTCAGAGAGTGAAAGCGATGAAAGTGATGATGATGACTTTGCAATTAATTAGTCTTAATTTTCTGGCGATATGTTTTCATGTTTTTATGATGCAATAAATCTCGGTGAAGATAATTATTCTTGGTTTTTTTACTGGCAGCTACTAAACCTTTTTTTCATTCTACGATTTCATTTTCATTTTTATATCTGCCAATAGAATAAGATGCCCAATTATAATTCAAATATAACCGGTGCAAATTAGGCATCGATTTGAGTTCAGTTACAGTTTTTCAATAAATAGAATTCATGTTTATGGAAAGAGGAGAGAGAGTGAAGTAAAGGGGAGAGGGTGAAGTGAGAAAACAGTCTCCTTCTGATAGAGAAGAAAAAAGCTCTCTCGAGTGGAAAGGACAGTACAAGTCTTTCTCATGAGGGATCTGTATGTGTGTCTTATTGTGGGNGGGAGGGTTCTGTATATTAATTGTCATATAAAATGAAAGTTAATCTATAACTAAATCGATTCGTTACGGTCGTCTGGAAACGACTTTTCTTGGCTCCCGTTCCCAGAAAATAGATCTTTTCGTAGCTTCCGAAAGTTTTGCACAGCTCCTGTGATTATATCAATTTTCGCATTGAAGAGTTTCTATTGTTGAATGTCACCTTATTGCGATATCTGATTTTTCACAACATACCATATGTATCACACCAAACGCATGAATGATATGTAAATTTCGCAGTATTCGTTTAGTAACAAATGATGCAATTACCCTTTACTGATAAAAGCTTTCATATTCGCCGATAATTTACCTCCTAGTTTCGTTAGTATTTGCTTCCATTTAATAGTGCGATTTTTTCAGAATACCTTTGTGTATCTTTTCCGTATTCATCTATCGTTGATCTTTTATACATTATCGTGTCTGTAATCAGTTTTAACAGATGTTCGCTATTGTCTTGTAATTATATAACATAATAGTTATTTCGAAGTGAAAATAAACTGTTGCATCGATGTATTTTAGTAAATTTAAAAATAGGACAAACAGATTTTCGAGAACGGAAAAACTTTTATAACATACCTGTTCCCGGTTCCCTCAAGAAACGGGAACAGAAAATTCGAGATAAGGCCGTTCCCGTAGGATCCTGCTATTTGTTAGAAAAACGTAGTAGTTTTTCTTCTTCGGATATTCATTGATGTTGGAACTCAAATTAGGCAGCTACTCGAAAAGAGCTGGTAGAGAAAGTTACAAACAAACTTTATCAATTTTTTCTTTTTAAATAAAATGTGTGTAAATAGTTTGTCTGGCTATGTTTTATATCATTTACATAAATATCAATCTTCTATTGATATTGCCAACTTATCGAAAACATGCAAACAATTATATATTTTAATTGAAAAAGATAATTATTTTTGTATGATGTTGATTAACAATCATTTCGAATCTAAATTATATCAACGTTATGTTTAGAGGTGTCAGCCGAAGGATTGAACGGCGGCGTCGGGCAACAATTTTCAATTTTTAAAGATTTCCAGCGGCTTCTTCTTTGAATGAGTAATGTCTTCAGCGGCGGCTACTATAAATTCTTAAAATTTTTTTCACAGCGGCGGCGGCGGCGGCTGATATTTGCAAGTCCTTATGTGACGGCGGCGGCTGAGTTAAAAATTCACCGATGAGAATTAAAAGAAAAATATTCGATTCGATCGCATATGAATTGATGTCAGCGGCGGCGAACGACGCTATCAAAAATGTTAATCTCTTGTAGCGGCGGCTCCCCAAAAATTCTTAAAATTATCAGTAATTTGGTGGCTGCGGCGGCTCAGCCGTACGGCTGACACGTCTAGTTATGTTCTTCAAAATATTCAATAACGAGAGAAATTCCAATTATGTTTTATATCGAAAAAGAAAGAAAATTAAAAGAAATGTGTTTTGGAAAAATATGCATCAATTCAATTGTGTATTTCTTGGTTATTAAAAATGTTAAATAGTAAAGATAATAGTTATGGTTACTTAGCTTATAAAGAGGTGTAATTAAATAAAAATTACATCCGCGTACAGCAGATGAATTAAAAATGTCTCTTACAGTCCAACAGTTTTTCAAATATTATTTCAAAAGAAATAATTTTACAAATATCATTTGATAAATTGATTTATTTTTATTTAATTGAATCTAAACGATTACTAAGTATGGATTTGTTTGCAATATGTTTACATTGTTCATTAGATCATTTATATTACACCAAAAAATTATATCCGAAAGACGAATATGATTATGAATCAATGAGTAAAATAAAAGTATTCGAATATTCGAATATTCGGATATTTGTTTTAGATTTAAAATTAAATACGAGTGTTAATACAATTAAATATTGTTGAATAATGTTTTTTCTTATTATGTAAGATAGAATCGTGTAAAATAAACATTTGTAAATTTTAATTGTCTTCGTCTTTTTGAATCTGTTCGCAATATATTTTTCAAGTTTTCAAAACTGTAGATCGAAAACACACCAATTCTACATATTGATTTCGAGATGAAAAATTAAGTGATTCTTAATCAATTTTCTTACTCTATGTCTAATATTGAGTAATACTACTGGCAATCAATCGTTGATTGAAATTTTAAATAAACAACTCGACAATTTTCTAAACAAATTTATGCTCAAATACAACTAATTGCTTTTATTTAAAAGCCAGAACATTCTTATGCGTCACCGATTGATACATATGATTCATCGCATCAGTAAACGATGACATCGAAAATATATGGCTACCTTTATGTCATCGAAATACACAGACTATGCAAGATATTTAAGTAACACTTATGATTTGACAATGATTAGCTGATTCTTGCCAATACTATAAGAAGGACGATATGATGAAAAACTAGAAATAAATATTGTTCTAAAGCTATCACGAGGAAGGATTATTTTCAATGTAGTGTTTAACCAAAAATCAACTCGTCGTTCTATTAGTGGAGAAATGCTGAAATTATAACTTATCGAAAGATACTCATTTTTTTCTGTAAAATTTATAAGATTTTGCCCAAAGGTTAAGATTGCTGTTGGATAAAAATCGATTTTATTTTCTCAATACTGTTACGTATTATATTACGGAGAAAAAAAATGAGATACAAAGTTGATTTTTCGCATATGAAAGCATATTGACTGACTGATTTTAAATAACGATATAAAAATTATGAGTTGGTTGTTGTTCTAGAACAGATGTCGGACTTTTATTTACTGGGAAATAAGAAGAATAACATATTCATTTTGCGGCATTTAGAAGAAAAATTTACTTCGACTGAAGTACGTACAATCAACCCGAATTTTGAATTTCGCCATTCTATATTCTATTGCTGTTTTACAATACAAAGGTATCGCACAATATATACTATTCGTAATTGCATCATACTTGTAGGCCATAACGCAGATGCTTGATGCAACAGTTGTATCTTGTTGGATATAGGCTTATTTATTTATGAAACGCCTATGCTTTTTTTGCTTCGTCATTGAGAAAGGACAAGATATCCATGCCGCTTTTATTATGTTTACCTTTACTAAACTGACGCTTTTTCTTCGATTGCCATTTAGTGCAAGCACACACATGCAAACTCTTAGAAGACACTGATTTCCCTTTGTATATTTCGTATTTTAGAGAGAAAAATGGTTATCATTTTTAAATTGAGTTGGGAGCATATTTTTTTATAATATATTATCCGGCTGTCTTTTTTTCCATTCTCCCGCAGATTTTTCACTATTAATCATTTTTCTCCGCGATTATGAGATCTATCAATAGTTTTGTCGAATATATATATATATATATACAAAATACAGACTGAATACTTATTTCAGTTAAAATTGTTTTCGTTTATAGTTAAACTTTCTTTTTTAGCACAATATTGATTGCAGTTCATCGTCAAAATGAGTGAATCAATGGACATTGCTTTTCTTCTAGTTACCATGTCACCAGTGAACAGTTGTCCGTCTGATGTGGCAGATATGATTTCATCCATTATAAATCCTATATTAGAAAATAATTGTGATACTCATTTAGCATTAGTCAAATATAAATCTGAGAATGATATTCGTGTACCAACAGTTTATCCTTTTACAACATCAGTCAGCACCTTCAAAAATTGGTTTACTACTAGTGATGCACCAGTTCAACAACATAGTCATAAGGGAACTATAGAAATCCGTAAGAGAGACAATATTTCTATATAGTCATCATTTTGCTGACTACTATTTTAGTTGATAGTTTAAGAATTGCGCTTGATCTTGACTGGCGTACAGCGGTAAATAAACATACTCGATAATTAATTTCTTTGATTATTGAAAAAATAGAGTGATGATCGATGCCATGAAAAGATTGTATTTTTGATTACTGATGGTTTACCCTGTCAGAAGTTCGTCAATCCAAAAATAATCGAAAATGATGATAACTTATGTGCTTGTAATGATCTATGGGCAATGTCCGATGAGTTTGTCAAGCAAAATATGACAATAGTGATTATAGGCTTTGGCTCGATCGTTACTATATGCGATGATTTCTATGGATCTATAGCTAAAAATACTGGTAAAAGAGTTTCTTTTTTTTTGGTATTATAATCTTAATACTTATCAACATTCAGGTGGTGAATATATACCGATCACAAATGCTAGCAATATTTTGTGTTCGTCAATTCAAGCAATTCTAACACAAGGAGATACATTATCACAATCACTTCGGCATATCAAACGTGAAGAATTCGAAAAAAATTCATCATATCATCATTCAATTATGCGAAACAAAGATCAATCTGAAATGAAACATTCCCAAATCATGGCTCAACAAGGAGCATGGCTACTAAATAAGCTGTGTAGAGCTAACTTGTAATGATAGACATACGCTTTTTTTCGTTTTCTAATGGTAAAAAAAGTTGTCTTAATAGTAACCTGATTATTAAATTTATATGCAGGTAGTTATTTTATTTCTCATTCTGATGTGTTTCATGAAAAATAAAATAATGATTGGATCTGGTGTAATTTATCTCCGTGTTTATAAAACAACTAGTGTCATCTATAAAATGAATTTCTTTTCATTGATAGAATATCTACATTCATAGATTAGTTTCCATTAAGTATTTCATTTAAATGAGTAAATTTTTCTTTTTATTGAAATAAATTTCTCATGAATTCATCAAGTTTAGTAGTTAACCAATGACACTTCGTTTCAAGATGATGTTGTTTATTTGTTGCTATTCCATTGCTTTTATTTATTCATTTTCGAACGAGACGAAGTTTACCACTGTTTTTCGATATTTTGATATGAAAACTTGAATATTTTGTTTTAGATCGCAATAGGCAAAAATGCCACGCGTTCCCCTTGTATACAACAAGACCTACTCGACGCCTCGTCGTCCATACGAAAAAGAACGTCTAGATCAAGAACTTGAACTTATCGGTAAATTCGGTTTACGAAACAAACGTGAAGTATGGCGTGTTCGTTACACATTGGCCAAAATTCGCAAAGCTGCCCGTGAACTATTAACACTCGATGAAAAAGAACCAAAACGATTGTTCGAAGGTTTGCCACGTTAAAACAAATAACGAAAAGAAAATAACAATTTTATGTTTTTTAATTAAAGGTAATGCTTTGCTTCGTCGTCTTGTCCGCATCGGTGTACTTGATGAATCTAAAATGAAGCTCGATTACGTATTGGGTTTGAAAGTTGAAGATTTTTTGGAGCGTCGTCTTCAAACACAACTTTTACGACTTGCTCTCGCTAAAAGTATTCATCATGCTCGTGTACTTATTCGACAACGTCACATTCGGTTCGTTTAATTATATGCAACATTGATTGTTTACTTGTTTCTTTTTCTTTTTTTTATTAAATAGTGTACGAAAACAAGTAGTCAATATCCCATCATTTATTGTACGACTTGATTCACAAAAACATATCGATTTTGCTCTCCGTTCACCATTATCCAGCGGTGGTCGACCAGGTATTTATTGATAGAAATTTAATTTTTCTCGCTTATATATTGTTGTTGATTTTTCTTTAATAGGCCGTGTTAAACGAAAAAATATGCGAAAAGGCGAAAAGGGTGCCGCTGAAGAAGATGCCGATGAAGATTAAACTATCCGAATATCCATACACACAAGCAAAGAAATTGTCTAGCAAGAAAGTCATAAATGACTATCATCTTTGTTTTTTTTCTGTTTTTTTGTACTTGTGTTGTATGAATTCTTGTTTTGTCGACTCCATTGTCATCAATTACAAGAAAAAAAAAGAAGAAAATAACCGTTACTCTCTCTAAATAGAGAAGACAAGATATTGTTTATTCTTAACACTTTATCTGTAAAAAAATATTTAAAAGAAAAAGAGAAACAAGGATACTGATTAATTATGATCGAGCAAACACTATGGAGTCGAATATTTCAAGTAGAAAAAAGAATGTTTAGCAAAGTCTTTAAGAGATCTTGATCTGATTACAAAGAATAGTGCTGAAGAAAATTTATAAAAAAAACGTTAAGCTGATGAGTAAATACTGTTTAACATTTTTTTCCGACAAAGTATCTTCAATTCCAGTTTTTCTCTAAACACTGATTTTTTTTGAAAAAAGACTTCGGGTAGTTTTGTTGATTGCATATTATCAATGTAATTTAACTGAGTAGATCACATGAGAATAAAAATACAATAAAAGTATTAATTAAAGGTACGCTTTGAAAATAATTTTCCTGTTAATCTTACGAAAAAATTTGATGATAAAATATTTAGTATTTCAGAACCATGATTTGTTTTCTCATTACCGACGTAGGCAGACATCTATCATTTTCAATGTAAAATTCTATATCCAACAAATACTTCTATGAATCCAAACCTATCTATCAAAAGATTCTTTAGAAATCTTATCGATTACGAATACTATGTTTACTTTAATATGTTTTCACGTATTGCTGCTCCTTTAACTCGCCGTGGTTCATTATTTCTTCGGACCTCGCGCCTGATTTTTCCTTCGAATTCCTCTCGTCGTCTATTTGAATTACCTCGGCATGGTGTAATTCGTCCATGGTACCGTCGGTTTTGGCCATTAACTATAGCATTTACTGTGATTTCAGCTGGCGTACCTATCGGTTATATTATTTATAGAGATAGTCTTTTAGGACAATTATGGTTTAACAAAGCACATGGTTCAGAAGAAAATTTCGATGAAAATTCGGAATCTGTTGCTCAGTCCGAACTTGATACACTTCTTTCACAAACGCAACAATTACTCGATGCTGAACTATATTTAAATCGTTCATCGGCTTTTATTGTACCTATACGTTTATTTTTTCGAACAATTAAACTTGTGTTTGTTTTTACTCCTCTGATTCTTTTTTATGTGTTTCAAGACAAGTTTGCTCCGCAATACTATGAAAAATGGTGTTTTGCACTGAAACGGTAAGATTTTCTATTTGAATTATTCATGGAGACTTTTCTAATATTTTTTAAGATCATTCGAATATTGTGGTCCATGCTTTATAAAACTTGGCCAGTGGATGGCTACTAGACCCGATCTATTTTCTACGCAATTTTGTTCAATATTTAATGATCTTCATTCGAATGCACCAATTCATACAGAATCTGAAACAAGAAAATTATTACGTAAAAATAATATTGACATAGAATCGTCGCCATCTAATTTTCTTTCAAAACCGATAGCAAGTGGTGCTATAGCACAAGTTTACAGATGTCAAATTAAAAATCTTGATTTAATAATGAAAGTTCGTCATCCGGGCGTTCAAAATAAAATTTATTATGATTTAAAAATATTAAATATTCTCACACGTTTATTAACAAAGTTTGTATCGAAACAAGCATTCAAATGGCTTAATATTGAAGATAATATTAAGTCATTTACTAAAAATATGTTATTACAAACAAATTTAATGGTTGAAACCAAAAATTTACGAATATTTGAAAGAAATTTTGAAAAATATAAATCAAATATATGTTTTCCACATGTTGATCCATCATTACCATCCACAAAAGATATTCTTTTTGAAACGTATGAAAATGGTCAACTATTAAATGCATTTATGGAAACATGCACAGATACAAAAGTTCGAAAAAAATTAGCATATCTTGGTGTTAATGCTTATTTAAAAATGCTCTTTGTTGATAACTTCGTAAGTTTAATTGCTTTGTCTTCAATCAAAAGACATATAACTATTGGATCTTTCCTTTGATGGAATCTATACGGTTTCACTATGCTGATTTATTTTTCTTTTACTACTTGACTTTTTCAAAAAGAAAAATACTAAGGTCAAAATGATAGTTTTTAAATGTTAAAATATACTTGAATCTTTTTTGGAAGACTTTACTTTTCTTGTAATTGTAGGTAAGAAAGGAAACAATACCAGCGTAAATATGGTTCTAACAATTGAGTAAAGAAGGACGTCCGGAGCGGAGCGGAACGAATACGATTACCTGCATCTCTTCTTGAAAAATATTAGTCTTCCAGTAAAAAGTTTTATTACTTGCTTGTAATTGTGCATTCGAGAATAAAAAGTATTCGCATGAGTCGATTAGTATTCAGTGCGGGTATTTAGTTTGATCAGAACGATGCAAATAGTATACATGACAACTTTTCTGATTTGCATTCATCAAAAACTACTACTTTTTTATCTGATTTTTTTTCCGTTTAGGTTCATGCAGATCTTCATCCAGGCAATATTCTTGTTCGTCTTGATCAAAATTCATCTCAAGAACCAGTTATTGTGTTCATCGATGTTGGTTTAACATCTTCACTTAATCGAAGAGATAAAAAGAATTTTTATGATTTATTTCGTGCAATAGTCAACTATGATGGCATGGAAGCAGCAACATTGTTGATTGACCGTGCACCAAATATGGACGAAATTGATGATCAATCTAAAATAGGTTTTCGAAAAGACATGTCAATATTAATTGAAAATGTTCTTAAAACTCCTTTGAAACAACTTGAAGTTGGATTAGTTCTACGTAATGTATTAGATCTATCGAAAAAATATCATATTAAAATGGAATCGAATTTTACAACACTTGCTCTTGGAACAATTATTATTGAAGGCATTGGTCGACAACTTGATCCTGATTTTGATTTCGTTAATGCTGCTAAACCTTATTTACAGAAAGATTTTCGACTAGTAAAAAGTTATTTAAAAAGAGTTTTTCAACAAAATATTGCTAATACATCGTGGTGGTCACGATTATTTCAAAACAATATTGAAAATTCAGTTTGATCTATGCTTTTTAGATAAAGATATATATTTATTTTTTCCTTTATTATCACTGTAAAAAAATTAAGAAAAATGAAATTTCGTGCTAAATTACATAATATTACAACGATCAATAAATTCACAAGTATGTATTCATATTAATTACAAAGAATATAATTTCGCAGTTAATATAGTTTTTAATAGTACATAAAGAGAAAAAAAAATGCTAAGCTTTTCGAAAAAGAAAAAAAACAAGCACATGATTACTTTTTTTTCTTTTATTCATGATAGAAATTATTATTGGTATATCAAAAATGGCTAAATCTGGTGTACTTCGTCTAACAGCGGATAAATTATTTTTAATATTAGGTGATAAATCATTTGGTGGCGGTATTTCACTTTGGATTGAACTTGACCCAATTCGATTTTTCGATGACTATATTATGGATGGTTTATCACCATTAGCAAATGAAATCTATATTGAAATTATGTTTGAAGAATTTGTACGTGCACTTAAACCAGCACAATCAGCTCAATTACTTAGGCTTCGTTTAATAAAAAAACATAATAATCCATGTTTGAGTATTGATACAGAAGTGGTATGTTTTATTATTAGACAGAAGACATGTTGTTGTTTTTGTTGTTGTTTTTGTTTTGTAAGATGAAAATTATATTTAGATTTCATCAGCAATGACTGAACGGCGATTTGCGTGTGACATTCCTATTCATTTATTAGCGCATAAACATTGGTAAATATTTTTCTTCTATCTACACGCATAGAAGACTGTATGTAGTTTGTTATTGTTGTCTTTATTCTTGGTATGTTTTAGGATCGATTTTCAAGCTCCAAGTATTCCTTCGTGTGATGTAAGTAAATTGCTTTTCTTTCTTAAATATCACAATTTATACACGCAAAAAAAGAGACTACAATGAACTAGAACAAGAACAACAATTGAAACAAATGTTTTTTGATAGATAAATATTGTTCCACTCGGTGTTGCTATGGTTGTTATTTGAATAATGAAACGTTCATTAGGTGCACATTGATTTGAACAATCAAGTTTTGAACATAGATCATTATAATATGCATAGGCTTCTTGACATAGTATTGAGACATTCATTGGTTTTTTGTTTGCTGTTAAATTTGCTTTACGGACGGCAGGTAAAGCTAAGTGTTGATTTTGTGATTGATACGTAAATCCACCACCACATTCTTGACCTGTATAAGCAAGGGATTGACGATTATGTAATAGATAATTAAATGAACAATTGCATATCAATGGATTATTTTCTAAATGAATGGTTGAACGAGCGAAATTATTGAATGTACATGGATCAATAGTTTCCAGTTGATTCGAACGTAAGTGTACATTTAAGGATGACTGGCTCGTTGTAGAATGAAGACCATAGAATGAACACGTATCAAGTGTTGTTATATTATTTCCATTTAGATTAAGTTTAGTTAATCCTTTAAGTGGTAGAAATTCGCAAGGACCTAGTTCACTTAAATTGTTCGATGTTATTTTTAATTGATTTAATTCATGAAGATAACCGCTATAGAAAGCTTGAGTAAAATTTTCTATGTAATTATGAGATAGATCAAGATATTTCAAACGATATAGACCAGTCCATATATGTGCAGATATTGAACGTATTTGATTATGTTCTAATTTTAATAAACGTAAATTTACCAGATAAGAAAAAGCATTTTCTTCTAAAATTGTTAAATGATTATGTGACAAATCAAGATAATCAATAAGAAATGGACCAGCAAATGCATTTGGATGTCTTTGAAATGCTAAATTATTGATTGAAGGTAATTTATTGTATGATAAATCTACGCGTGTAAGATGATGAGAAAATCCAAATGCATATGCTGGCAATTGAATTATATTATTAAACGATAAATATATTTCATATAAACCAGTAGCATTATATAAGGCTTGCATAGGTATAGCATCGAGAGAATTATGATCAAGATAGAGATTTGATATGGGTGAAGGTTCACCCGATAATGCTAATTTAAATAGATTAATTCGCTTTGTTGCTTCGCGTAGCTTCAATGTTAATTCAGTTAATAGTCGTTTGTGTTCAGAATTCGGTGATATTAGTGAACGTTTGATTTTATGGAATTCTTCTAGATCGTTTTTGTCCTATTTAAAGAATAGCGAAAAAAACACAATAATTTTTGTTTTTGTTGTTCTATTAGTTCTTTTTTTTCTGTTTACCTCTTCTTCTGATTGATCATTTTCATAATCGTCAAATAGTTGAAATTGATCATCAATAATAGGTAGATGTTGTTGACTAGGCCAAATATCAATTAAATGTCGATGTGTTAAATTTAATTGTACAATAAGATCATATGCAAGTGAACCAGCAAGAACCATATGACGTATATGCATATTATCTGGTATCCATTTTGTTTTATTATTCTCATTAAATGTTACACTATCAAATAAATTAAATGCTAAATCTACATTCCATTGAAGAATTGTATTATTCGTTTCAATTGTTTGAAATATTGGTACTGATTTTAATTGTCGATAAAAACAATCAATCCATAAACGTTTACTTTCAATTTCGCATATACATTTGCAAGGACTTAACACTGGACAAGGTTGAATATATTGATTATTTGTACGTATATCGGTATTGGTTAAATATAAATATGGTGAACATGCGGATATAGATAACGCATGGACGGATGATGGTAAATGAATAATGTTAAGAATAAAAGTCATTATTATAAGAATAATTGAGGAAAATAAGTTGTTATTAGGAAATAAAATAGACGACAAAGAAAAAGGCACTGCAATGCACCATTGCATTCTTCCTCATAGTGTTAATATTCTTGAATAATAGCTCATAAATATCGATTATCGATAGGAGCTGAATATGAATATACTAGAAAGAGAAAAAAGTGGGAAAATCTGAAGAAAAACTTGAGTCATAATAGAATTATATTTTTTTCTTGTTTTGTCATTCGAGGATGACATACTCAAATGTTTGAAGTTATTTCTTGATGCTGTCTCTGTCGATGTGATAGAACAGTGTAAAAAAAGAGAATGGCATTAACTAGAAATCGAGAAATACTGTTTGATTTTGTCATTTCTAACGATTTGCCATGCAAATTATATAGAAACGTCGATTAATGTTGACGTCACTATTGTTTCTATTTTTCTTTTTTTTTTATTGTATCAACCAACCATTACTTTCTCTCTAATGTCTCAATGACCTTGACGATCTATCAGAATCACTTAAATCATGTTTCTTATAGAAATTTGGACCACTATGAATATAACATTTATTTCACGCAATGATTTGATTGAACTCGCAAGTATTTTTAAAAAATGTTTCTCTTACGATGTTCTATGAAAAGAAGAAAAAATAATGCCAGAGGGGGATCCGACACAATTTACTAGTGAAACAAGGGGACTCACTAAACAAGCAAAGAAGTTCTTACTGTAGTGGTATATTTATCAATGTCTCTCTTCCTTTCAACCGATGGAAAACGCTCTAGTTCTCCTGCTATACTTTGTGTATGTAAGCAATATGGAGTTTGCCATCTTTCAATACGAACGACGCGTACTAGTCCAAAAAGAAACAGATGGAGGGGGAAAAGAGAACCGAGAAAACACACTGTCTATTCGGTCGCCACAAAGGAATAGCAAAAAAAAGAAGAGAACCGTTGGCGGTGGATTATTAGTGTCATCGAAAGAATGAGAAATAATAGCGTAAGAAACTTCGCCATGAATAGAGACACAAGTTAGCATATATATATATATATATAGAGAGAGAGAGATAGATAGATAGATAGATAGATAGATAGATAGATAAAAATTCTAGTGTCGAGTAATGTGGATGCTTCTCGTCAATATATTTTAAGGGCAATAAATAACGATGACAGGAAAAAATAAAAAAAAAGTCAACGAGCGAGAAAACGAGTTTTTATTATTATCATTCAAGCCCAAGTAAAACCATTTAGAACAGTGTTGACACATAGACATAATGGATTGAGAGAAATATTTGATCGATTTTCATTCTGTTTCCGACCAGAATAAAGCAGAAAAAGAAATAAATCGATCGACTCTCGTTAAAATGGCAATCATCGAAAAAAAAAGATAACATTGTTTTATAATTTGGTTAGCTTGGAATTGATGAACCGCAATATTCTCAATATTTGCTACTCTTCTGATTGATATTGTTGTAATTGTTGGTATGATGACTGTTGACACTCAAATAAAGGTCAATCTTCTTGACATGTTATGGCGAATGATTGCTCGGGCATTTTCTGTACAAGTATAAACATAAGGGACAACTTGTATTTAGGATATTTACGTAATCATGTGATTTATTTTAATATGATTTCATACAAAAAAACGTGTATCTGCTAAAAAAATAAACAATAATAATATATCTAAATTTAAGAACAGAAAGTGATAAATTATTATTTTTTCTTTAGATTAGTATCACCATGCCCAAATTGAAAACATTGAAAAATATTATTGATCGAATGAAAGCAATGTCTAATTTTGTTGTAAGTTCGATGTGGCCAGAAGCAATATCTATGCTCTCTCTCTCTCTCTAGACATTGCAAGCGAATAAATCTGGCGATATGACGATAAAAGTTGAGACAGATACAGCTCAAGTAGCTACGTATTTTACAGGTCACCAAGGAACATCAAGAACAGGTGTGAAATTTCTTCTTTTTTTTTTTTAAATCTAAAACATACTTATGAATTTAGATTCTACCAATGATGACCGATCTCAATGGGATTTGCCAATAACACAACAATCAAATACATCATCAACAGATTCTCTTGATACAGCTGAAGTTCGTTTAGATATTAAGAAATTTTCTCAATTACTTCATTCACAACAACCATATGCAGAAAAAATGGTTTTCAGTAGGAAAAAATCTTTGATTTCTTTTGTTATTATTATCTCAATTATTATTTAGATTTCTGTAATAATAACATGTTACATATTTGTATTGTTGCAGAATATTTTACACTTCAATGCATTCTACCTTCGATTCAACTGTAATAGTTGTAGTCAGATTATTTTTTCACTTGTTTATTAGTTTATTATTGTCTGATATATTTTGAAAAAAAAGAAGAAGTTCTCTCGCTTTGTTACATGTACAGGTTCTGCTTAAAATTGATATTTCAGATGACATCCGTAGATCAGACGAAAATTGATGCGTTCCGAGCTAAAATTGAACAACGTAGAGCTTGTGAAAAAAAAGCAATTAATACATGTTTACATTTAATTGACGAAGACAAAGTCGACCATGAAACATTAAAGAATGCAGTAAATATCATTAGTCTGTGGATTGATTTCTTTTTATTGATTAATATTCTTATCTAGGCTATTCTGATCGATCAAGAACGATATCGAGGTGTTAATGAAGATCGTGCTTTGAAAAAAGTATGTGGTTATCCTGTTTGTTTCAAATCATTACCAAATGACGTATGTTTAATTATATTTTGTAGAATATTTATAAAATCTATTATCGATTTTTCAGATTCCAAAGCATCAATATTATGTAAACGTAAAAGTAAATAAAGTCATTGATACAACAGAACGACGGGTAAGAAAAACATTTACATTTAAAGAAATTTTCTTCATTAAAAGTTTTCTTTCAAGTTATTTTGTTCAACATTGTGTTATAAATCATCAAAATATTTTGAACGACAAATTCCTACATCACCTGTTTGGGCTCGGGAAGAACAGCAAAAAGGAAATATTTCATTTAAAATTGATTTATTAAGCAATGAACGCGCAAAGTAAAATTTAACATTATAAATGATATTTTTGTTTGTCATAGTAAATTATTTTTAGTGAAGAAGAACATGATCATAGTGCGATTATATCTCAATTTAATTACAGTCAATCAATTCCAAAAATACCACATCGTCGTGAATCATCTTCGTCGTCTTCTTCGTCGGATAATGATGATGATGATGATGAATTCGAAAAATTACAAATAGCTCGTGATAAATATTACAAATCTCGGGCTTCACAATCACAAAAACCGACATTGGTTGAAACAAAACTTAAGCAAGTTTCACTTCCTGATTATATTCGAACAGACAATAGTACAATTGATTTTGTTATTGTTTGTTTATATGAATGGATAACAGATAAAACAAAAGAGTATTTAGAAAATAATATGATAAAATGTGACACACAAATTAATCCACTACGATATCAACAATTAATTCATAAAGTCAATATTGAAGATATAATGGCATCAGATGCATCTCGAGCTGAAAGAAAACTCCCAACAATTGATGAACTACGAAAAATCAAAGAAAAAAATCAATATGAACTTAAAGTAAAAGAATTTTTCGTTGGAAAAAGTGATAAATCAAAAGAGGTATAAAAGTTTAATTAAATATTAGTTTTGAACTTTTAAACTATTTGTTAGGAATCATCATCGCCATCTGCTATAATATTGCCACCAGTTGACACTTACTCTCAGCAAGCAATTCGCTTATCGATAGTTAGCCAGAAAATCATGACATGGTTTGGTTTCTTTTTTTTCTTTTTCTCTTTGCATTATTTTTATTATACTAGTTTTAAACAAATGTTTTGTGATGACGTCAAACAAACGGTTTCAAGTGATTTACGATCGGCACTATCAGAATTGTTATTGACATTCAAGTAATATGATCCACCTATTTTTAAGATAAAAAAATGATAATATTTATTTTCACATACACATTTAGTTTTAGCAGCGAAAATGTAGCCTTGAAATCCAATGAATGGACAATTGTGACTCTGTTTCTTATTCATTTGTATGTATCAAAGATTTCTTATCTCTCATTTGATTTATTTTTATTATTTTAGACTTACACAAAAATTATCCATTCTATCATCTCATTTAAATGAATCAAAACTTATTCAAGCCCTGTTGAATACTTTAAATCTTTCATCTGATATGATTTTTCATATTGTAAAATATTTACTTGAACATCCTATTGATAGTCAGCAATCATCAGAATCTAGAATGAATTTTGAAGATATTGACTAATAAAATAAAGATCGGTGTTTTTTGTTGATAATCTAATCTATTCTAGATATGACAGCAAAAGAACGAAATATTCCTACAACATTTAAAGAATTATTAATATCCGAAGCAATAAATGTTGACAAATTAAAGCAAGACGTTCTAAAAATTTCTATCGTTGCTGAACTAAAACCATTCTATTGGAAGATTTTGTTAGGTACTTTTTTTTGATTGACAACTACAAATGTCTGTTAAACGGATTTGGTTGTCTTCCTTTATTCAGGTATCAAATCACCTTTTAGTGCAACACGTGACTATGTTGATCAAGCGAATTGTGACATGTACAAATATCTTCATTCAACATTAATAACTTGCAAATTAATTCAAACTGATACTCCCATTTCTCAACAATTTCTTTCAATGTATTTACTTGATTTGCATCCAAATAGATTACCTGTTTTGTCAATAGTAAAAAGAAACAATAGATTTAACAAAAAAAATATAAATATTTTCTTTAATTTTTCATAGAAAGAATATGAGTCATTTTTATTAATTGCAAATTTCGTTTGTGCATTTCTCGATAATGACAATAAACAACGCATAGAAGCAACCGCTGAATGTTGGTTTATAACTTGTAGAATATATGATAAATTTGTTCAATTAAGTCGCCGTATTGCTTTACTAGTACGTAAGTAAAAATGGGCAATTCATCTAATTATTTAGTTATTATTTCAAATAGCGATATCATGTCAGTAGAATTGCCCAAAAAGAATTTATTCATGAACCGAAACTATTGGTTCATTTAAATACTCAAAATATATTTATATGTATACCAGAGAAATGGCTCAAAGATGGTTTTCAATTATTAACCGATGACATATCTCTACTAGAGTAGATATTCTTTTTTGAATTATATAAATAAAACATTTTTCTCTATTTAGTATTTGGGAGAAATTTCTTGCCGGTAGTGAATATATTTTTGTATTTCTAACCATTCATATTCTTCATCATTGCCGTCTCAAACTACTAAGTTTATACACAACAAAAGAAATCATGCAATATCTCCTTGACCTTAAAGTAAGATTATATATAACGTTATGAGTTGCCTTTTTCTATCGTTGAAATATACTCCAAAAATAGCTATTGATATTGATATCCTCGCTATACATTATTTGTAGTGAAATAGTGAAATTCTTAACGAATACACCCTCAAGTATCAGTTATGCAATTAAAATAGAATCATTGAAAATTTAGTAGAAGCAATTAACGAACTAGTTGGCATCATTCCATGCTACATCAATGTTTATATTGTTTATTAAATGTTCTGTTAGGTATAGCAAATATATTCTAGCTATTAATTATTGCTTATTACCTAAACGATAATCCAAAATTTTCTAATCATCTCTGAAACTTTGTATTAGCAAAATATAAGCGTGGTTGGTTAGTTATTTAGTCACGAATAGTTCTTTTGAAAAATTCTCTTTTCTCTCTAAATATAAGCTTCAGCATTCTATTTTTTCCCTTGTGCATTAACTGTCAGTCAAACCTCAATTGTTCTCTCAAAATTCGACCAACTGTATTTTTTTATCTGTTATTCTTGTACTCAAATAAATGATTATTGAACATTGATGTTTTGATAGAATTTTTCTCTCGTTGACTCTTCAACGATAAATAATTTTTGGTTAATTAAAATACATCATTCATAGTGTAAATGAATTTTCTATTCAGCTTGTGCATTCATACGAAGTTTGATGTCGTTTTATTTGCTAGTTATCATTATCGTATTCATAGAAGTTGAGTTCAAGAAAGAAATTGAAACTCTCGAATCGTGTTTTACTAGGAATTTAGTGCTTGATTGGATTCAGAAAGCTTTGAAAGCTTTTTTAATAATGCACACAAACAAAAACCTATGAATGTTATTCATCTATTTTATTCTACATATTTCTAAATTTATATTGAAAAAAAACTTTTCTTTTCACAAAAGATTAATGATCAAATCGATTGTGAACATATAGTCATGTCATCAATTGTATCATGGAAGAAACAAGGTGGCTCATTACTCACTTTTCCTACTATTCATAATTAATCAATCGGCGTTCTTGTTCAATCTAGCTCATAAGCTAATATATAAAGGAAAAATTAATGATATATATTTATACCTTATTAGTCTATTATTTTTCTATTTACGGTGATCAAATGCGAGAAACTATTCGAATAGTCGTTATATATATTTTTTTGCTCAAATTTAAAGTTCATTTTTGTATGCCTGTTATTTTTCTATTTCTATCATAAAATGCATGTGTTTTCTGTGTCTTATTTTGTGGTTTATTATATCAAAATATATACATATATCAATCGATATGAAATGTATTAAGTCATAGAGCAATTAATATTGAGCGATAAAAGTATATAGAAAATGATCGTATCCATATGGTATATAGAAAAGAAAAGAAAAACGACGAAGAAATTCATGCTGAGCAAGCAACCTGTCACATACTCGTGCCACTTTGTGTCTTTTCTTCATCACTATTTGATTAACATGTACATCTAGGTAAATGCTATTCGAACTAGAGAGATGTCTTTTGTGTTGATTAACTCGAATGAAGACAATCAAGTGATTCTTATAGTTTTATTTTACAGTCATAATGCCCTTCGGTAAAGATATTTTCTGTCTTCGTCTATATTGCACCTGGATAGGCTTCGGGTGACATTTGACTGCTCTCATATTTCGTCTTTTAACCAGTAGTAGCAAGTTGATTAGCAGATGGACAACGAGCAAAATTTGTGTGAGAATAAACGAGTGGAAACAAAAGAGAAACTGACGCACGACAAGAGAATACTCATTGACTTCCATGCAGTCAAATAGATGTGGGCAGGCGCTTCACACTTGTTGGCTAGAAAAAGGATGCAATTAGCAGATTGAACGACCGAAGAAAAAAAAGCGAGAAAGCATATTACATCGATGCAGTTCGAATGATGATTGTCACAATATGTCAATGATAATCATGATACGGGCGATCAAATCAAAATCAAGGAAATGACTGAAAATCGATGAAATTCGTATTAAAATATAAAAAAAGAATGAAGAAAAAATGTTTCAAATTTTAAAACTATGAATGAATGATTCTTATTCAATTAAAACATAATTTTTACATTCTATATGTAGTATCGGTGATGTGTGACACTTCATAAAAAAAGTGCCAAACGTGTGAGTATATGTACTCAAATTTATTTTTCTGTTTCTTTTCAATAGTAAATACATATGGAATTCCTTTGAGGAAAATAGGAAACGAACATTAGCACATGTATTAACTATTTATACACACCAATTCTGAATCACCTATAAAAAATCTCACGAGACTATCGTCTCTTGCTCTTTTTTTTTGTTCATTGAGGTGTGAGCAACAACAATGTGAATTTGATGAAGAGAGCGTGATCAATGTTCGTACTTTCTCTTTTGTCAATCGCACGGGAACAAGACTTTTGTGCATTGCATGCAATGTCATCGGTGTATTCAGCGATTTTTTTTTATGTAGACAGACAAATATATAAGAATTAAAAAAACAAAAGTGTGAATGTGATCATCGTCACCATTACTACTCCAAAAAACCTAAAGTGTTAACATTAGTATAATATTCTCGAGGGAAATCAAAATAGAATATTTCTTTATTGACCACTTGTCTACGTTTTGAGATCTTTTAAAAACGTAAACTTTAAACTTCACATTTTCCATCTGTGTAAAAGTTTTCAATCTATCTTATCTGTTTCTCTTTTTTTTTGTTTATGGATGAATTTGGTCGCGTGCGCGACAACTTCTTTTTTTTTTATTTAGTTTATGCGTGTATAAACGATCTGATAGATAGTTCACGCCAGAGTCAATGATAACGATCTGCAAGCGGGACGGAATAAGGGCGTGTGCTCACTGGATAAGATCAATGGGGAAAGAAGAGAGGAGAAAAAAAGAACGCGTTACTCCTCCTTCCTTTTTATATTCTTTTTCCGTCTCTTTCTTTTCCTTTTTTTCTCGTGTCTTTTTCCTCATTGGTTAACATATTTTTTCATGAACGAATGAATACGAGAAAAAAAAGAGGAACAAACGTTTGCCTTTACATTTATTCATAAAAAAGGGAAGCAAAGAAGAATAAGTGTGCGTATGCCTGTCTGTGTATGTAGTAATTGTAATACAAAAGAAAATTGATTCGTTTCAAATTGAATAATATTAATAAATATGACATTTAATAATGAAACCAATATTGTCATAGGAAATAAACATAATAATGAACAACAACATCATGACCACCGAACAGGTAGATTAAAATTTCTTCTTTCTTTTTCTTACTTTTATTTTTATACAAAATATGTCCAAAGAAGAACAGAAAGCTTTCTGTCAATCATTGCTTGAAGGCAAAAAAAAAAGGATTAACGTCACAATCATATATATATATACCTTCTAATCCGATTGGTAGAATAAAAATATTACTATCTACTGTATTTTTAGGAGCAGTTATTACAATATATGATTGTTCCGTATGTTCTTTACCAATATGTGATCAATTTGTGTTTAAAGTGAATGATAATCATTTTCATTCATTATGTTTGAATTGTTCGGAATGTCATGCCAAACTACTCGATAAATGTTATTCGAGGGACGGAAGTGTTTATTGTAAAGAGGATTTTTTTAAGTAAGTTTACAAATCGATTGAACTAGAGAATAAAATATTCTTTTTATTTAAAGAAAATTCGGTACAAAATGTGCCTCTTGTGGTAATGGTATTCCACCGTCGGAAGTTGTTCGGCGTGCCCATGATTATGTTTATCATTTACAATGTTTTGCTTGTCTCATTTGTCATCGTCAATTGAATACAGGGGATGAATTTTATTTGATAGATGATCAAAAACTTGTTTGTAAAATTGATTACGAGACGCTAAAAAATAAAGGTAAAATTTACATATTTGATTTATTAATTTAGTTTAGTAAAAAGATTTCAATGTAGAATTTGATGATACAAATAAAAGACCACGTACAACAATAACACAAAAACAACTTGAAATTCTTAAACAAGCCTATAATACAAGTCCAAAACCGGCAAGACACGTACGTGAGACATTAGCAGCTGAAACTGGTTTAGATATGCGTGTTGTACAAGTTTGGTAAATAGTTATGTTGGACAAGAATTACAAAAATAAAAATTTAATTTTCTACGAACAGGTTTCAAAATCGTCGAGCTAAAGAAAAACGTTTAAAAAAAGATTCGGGTCGACGATGGTCGAATGTTCTACGCAATGGAACAGTCGAAGGAAAGACAACACGTATGAAAACACGTAAAAATCATAGCATGCATCAAGAAGAAGATACAAGTAATGATGGCGATACTGCTGTATCTTATGATGGTACGTGATTGGAGAAAAATAATTATACATATATTGTTTTATGATCTTTTTAATTTTATTTATAGAACTATCCGAACGTGAATCCGACGATTCTTTATCACATATCCATAATAATAATCCTGTTTATTCTGATGTTATGTCTCGAGCAGCACATCCGCCATCAAATGAATTGATTCCGTTCGATTCTTCATATACCGAATCAAGTGGATTTCTTAGTGGAAACAATCGTACATCATCTTATCCAACGCAATCTGGACTAATACCAACAAATTCGTTTTCGTCGTCGTCATCATCAATAACAACAAATGATGATCATGCGTCATCATCGGAACTTGATTATTGTACACTTGTTACAAATGGTATAGCAACAACAGGAGTAGGAAATGGAAATAATATTGAATTTGGACATCACCATTGGCTTGATAATCAATCATTAGCTGGACAGCAGTGACTTTTTATTTTGTACAAAATAAAGAAATGTTAATTTATCTTTTTTTTCCACACAGTGTCATCTAGTCACATAAGAATTTCTGTGTTGCAGTGTTGTTGTTTTGTCTTGTTTATATCAACGTCTACTAGAGAAATATACAAATGATCGAAATGAGTTTCAATATGATCATAGTTTTAAGATAAGAAAAAGAAAGAACCATTGTTTTTATTCCTGAAAGATTCTATCGAAAGATATAATAATTCATACTGAAATCCCTGAAGATATCATTGTTTACTTATAGGTTTTCAATAGCAATTATACAAACGCTCAGGTCAAAAGAATATTTTGTTTTTTTAGGATTTTCTTTTTGTTTATATCTGCAGAAACAGAGTTCTCCAGAAACTGGTTTGGATTTCTTGTAACAATTACTCTATAGAATTAAAATGAAAGCAAAATGTAGACAAGACATTTTTGTAGCGCAATAGTTTTGACTTTTCTCTTTAAATATAACACCTACAGTAAAGAACAAAAAAAAGGCTTGAATAACTAAAAGAATTTTCCATTAGATGAAGCAGTTGTCAACTTTTTCATTAACAGGGTAAAGTAAAAGAACCCTGGAAAAGTTTCATGGACAAAGCTATTTTTTTAAATTTTATCAAAAATTTTTCGGAAACAGGGTTCAGCGAACTACATTCATCCTACAAAAGATTTGAAAAATAATTACAGAGACAATTGAAAAATGCTTTTAGTCGTATCGCACGATGATTCGCTGATATTAGATCATGGCGAGTTTAGAAACATCTTATTGTAACTCAAAATTTTCTCTCAATTACTACAGTAATTTTTTGTTAGAAACATCTATGTACGAAATGTTTCTTATGATGTATAGAAAAGACGAGCTTTCAGGTCATACCTTCCCAGACATCTATTGATTAAAAGGACGGGGGAGCATAAGGTGTCAGTTTTGGGTCATCGTCTGTTTCGGCTTGTTTATAACTCACTAGACGCAGAATTTTACGAGGAATCGTTTGATACCAAAATTAAGTTATTTTGACAGAATCTACGGGTAGTTCTGTTCAGAATACTGAGATCCGGTTTTGTATATAAATGACTAATTCGTACATAGAACCAACATATATATAGTATGTTCCCTAATGAGATACTTCGAATCGAAAATTGTATCAAATAACTGCACACTTCCTACTCAATCTTTGGTGAGAATTTCACCCTGAACGGTTGAAACGTTACTGTGCAGTAATGAAAAATGTGTCAAGGTTAGTGTAAAAATTATCAAATACTTCTATCTACCCAAGCACTGTTTTCGCAATAGCTCAATAAAGAAAAATAAAATAAAATGTGATTTCGATTGATTCTGCAAGGTTGAACAAAGCGCTACAAAATCAGATGCTTTTGAATTTTTTTCAGAAGTGGCCTTCATAACGTAAAATGATATAACTTTCAATCGGATACCGTTTTTTTGCATTTTCCCCAAATTTATCGTCTATTTTAATCGGAAAACTAGAATTTGATAGAAAACAAATAACATATTTTAAATCAACGTAACAAGTTGAGTTGGTTGGTGCGCATTTTAGTCTTCTCCAATGAAATATATTTTTCTCAAAAAATTAGCCTGAAGTCGCCCACAGGATTCATTGAAAAAATTAGCTTAATCAAAACACAGTTTAAATCCATCAGATACGCATATGTCTTTTTGCACGGTAGTAAAGTTTTACACACTTTGAGATTGTATCCATTTGATAAAACCCTGTTTTGATTAAATTTGATTTTTTCAATGAATCCTGTGGGGGACTCCAAGCTAATTTTTCGAGAGAAAAATATTTCTTTGAAGAAGGCTGATATGCGCATCAACCAACTCAACTTGTTACTTTGATTTAAAATATGTTATTTGTTTTCTATCAAATTCTAGTTTTCTGATTAAAATAGACGATAAATTTGGGGAAAATGCAAAAAAAACGGTATCCGATTGAAAGTTATATCATTTTACTTTATGAAGGTCACTTCTGAAAAAAATTCAAAAGCATCTGATTTTGTAGCGCTTTGTTCAACCTTGCAGAATCAATCGAAATCACATTTTATTTTATTTTTCTTTATTGAGTTATTGCGAAAACAGTCCTTGGGTAGATAGAAGTATTTGATAATTTTTACACTAACCTTGACACATTTTTCATTACTGCACAGTAACGTTTCAACCGTTCAGGGTGAAATTCTCACCAAAGATTGAGTAGGAAGTGTGCAGTTATTTGATACAATTTTCGATTCGAAGTATCTCATTAGGGAACATACTATATATATGTTGGTTCTATGTACGAATTAGTCATTTATATACAAAACCGGATCTCAGTATTCTGAACAGAACTACCCGTAGATTCTGTCAAAATAACTTAATTTTGGTATCAAACGATTCCTCGTAAAATTCTGCGTCTAGTGAGTTATAAACAAGCCGAAACAGACGATGACCCAAAACTGATACCTTATGCTCCCCCGTCCTTTATCTAGTACTTCTCGTGATAGAAAATTCTTCCATCTCATCAAATCTTTTTTTGACAAGACGTTCTGGTTTTTTCTGTTATGATAAAAAAAAAGTAAAACTCACTAAATTTCTAACTATTGTGTTTCCACCATACTGTTTTAAATAAAATAATGACAATAGAAATAGTGTTCTTTGTTTTTATTTTCTTTGATTTTACTGTGAACATCAGTACTCATACCTTCACTTCTAATTGGTTCAGAGATCAAGACATTTTTCTTTTATGGAAAATCATTGTCAAACGTTGATAACAGGCCCATAAAAATTGCTAGATAAAACGGGAATGATCATATATGAATGGGATTTTCCGATTAACTTTTAGAAGAGAAGTTTCACAAGCAAAAATACAATATTCTAATTGCACTTCATAGGATAAGTTCCATGTTTTGAAAATTCTTAATACAAAACTATTTCTAAATTCGTCTTTTAATAAGTTTTCCTATGTATATTCGAAAAAATCACACAAAAATCCATGATGTCATGTATAAAAAAAAGCGTTTTTTTATGTTTCCTGCACCTGTACAAGTAGCAAAGTTATTTACAGAAAAGCTAGCAAAAAAGAACCAAAATGCATATAACCTATAAATAAAAAACAAAAGAAAAAGTACTGTATTTCTTAAAAACAAGAAAAAAAATCACAGAAATAAATGATCAAACGATCGCTTTTTGATTTGGTTAATCAAAACTGGCTGGACTATTGTACCAATTATAAACTCGTAAACATAGAATTGGATCAATAATAACCACTGAATCATTATATTTTTTTGATGTTTGTAAACATAGTCTGGATGAATCAAACCACATTTTCAATTTATGATATCGATAATCACTACTAATATTAAGTGTAATTTGTGATAGTATCATTCCCATATATGGCCCAATGGGAACAAAATTTGAGCAAATCAGATGTAAAATACATGAATTTTTATCAATAATATATTGATTATTGGTTTTTATAAATGGTGACAAAGTTTCAATGTGAATTTCTTGTTGTTTTGTAGATTTTTTATTATCGAAACGAAATTCAAAGTAATAGTTATATGCATCACGTTGTGATGTTGCTTGTGATCCTTTTGAATACCATATACGTACACAGCGTGATAGACGAAGAAAATGTGGATCTTTTTGTATAACATCAGTTTTATCTAAACGATTTTGAAATAATGGATAGACTTGATATAATGATTTAATAACATATGTACGAATTATTGATAGATGTTCATGTACAAGTATTCGACCGATTTTATTTGCTTCTGTTTTATTATGCCTAGAAAGATTATCTTAGATTGATTTGTACAGAAAATAAATAAATTTTTACTTTCGAAATAAACGCATCCAAAAATAAACAGTATTAACAACATGGTTGGATGCTCGACAAATAAGCGAAAATTTACCAATATCTTCCGGTGCAATATACATCGCAATGATAAACCATAGATCAAGAGGATATTCTTTTCTATTATGAGTATTTTCCATTGCCGATCGTTCTTTTTTTGTACTTTGCTTTTGTTTTGATCGAATATTTTCCTGTTGAACTAGATTAGAAAATTGAAAAAACGTATTTAAATCAAATATAGAAATGGTATTTACCTTCATTTTCTTCATCAGATAATTGTGGATCATAAAAATCACTTAAATCTTTTTCATACCAATCTTGTTCATCCATTAAAGTTCGACCTAAGAAATAAAATTACATATAAATTGGTCAAATATATAAAAATAATTCTTTTTACATTCACGAGTTAATTTAGTTGCCGTACGTAAACTATTTCGAGGTGAATCTTTCGATGAACGTGAATAATCATAAACACTAAAATCTAAATTATATATATGTCCTTGTAAAATAGTATTACATAAATGCTTATTAATTTTACCTTTGATAGCAAGACGAAGGGATTCTGTGCCTGTACTATTTTTATTAGTACCACTACGATTTTGTTTTGAAGTTCGACGAGGCATTAGCTACTAGTTTTCAGTAAAAACGACAATGTTATAAAAAGAAAAATGGGCATATAGAACCCGAACTAGTCAAACACCAGCCAGTATCGGCCATATTTTAAGACACATCAAATCATGATCTACTGACTGATGAAGGAAGGAAAAGGAGACGCTTGTTTTTTAGTGGTTATTTCTAAGTGCACTGTATGAATATATTTTTATAACTGGGTCAAATATTAAGATTTATACACATTTAGAATCAGCATGACATGAGGAACAAGATGTGATAAATATTTTGCTGGTCATTTTCAGAAAGTGAATAGATGCCGCCAGTTCATTTATTTTCATGATAGAGGACTCCTATGGAAATTATATGGAATCATGTATATAAGATCTCAATTGACATATGACAGCCAATATATTAGTATTTTGTCGAGCTTCTTTGTAGTTTTTTTTTGACTATTTTACATTTTGTAATCGTAGAGAAATAAAAATACAATAAGAAACATAAAGCATATCAAGAGAAAAAATCTTTATAAAAAGAGTTAAAAATTAAATTCATAAAAAATATATGAATCAACAAAATAATTGTTTTTATCAGTCAAATGTAGTTGGATCATCAGATGAGCCAATATTCTAAAAGAGTGCATAAGAAAGAAAGAAAGAAGTAAATAAAGAAATGATTAGTATTTTCTCTATAAATCGTATCTGTATTAAATCTGAAGAATGTGAAGATGCATCTTCATCAGAGCCATATAATATGAGATCAGACCCAGGACAATCATCTCGACCGTCGGAACGAGCATCTTAAAAGATCTGAAACAGCTATAAAACGGTACAATAAGGCATTATTTTCACCTTATTTCGCCATAATTCGTCAGTTCATTTTAGGGACCGTTGTTTTCGCTGGAAAACGGCTACCGTTTTAAACATTATATTCGTCGGTTTCGAAGCTGACGGAAAACGGTGCCGTTTTTCAAAGTTTTCCACTATGGAAAATTTCAACGTAAGATCTCAAAAGTGAAGTTGTATTTGGAGTTTTTACAAACATGAAAAACTTATGCCAAATTTGGTACAATTTTAAATCTCTGGAATACATTTACATCATTGACAAGCGATCAAAACTTGTTACGAACAGATTCTTATAAATGAAATTAAACTCAAGAAGCGTGAGTTAACGTTTTTGTTTCGACATTCGAGAAACCTTACATCATTGATTAGTCTTGACTTAACGCATATAACTAAATGTAAGCTTATTAGGATCATAGATAAATTAGTGGTACAGAAAGAAGCAGAAATTAACTTTTTTCATTCTAAAAAATTAAACGATTTGGTAGAATCAAAAAAGTCAACACCAACTAATATATCAATACTACACACATCACCAATAAAAAAAACTTCTCAAAGAAGGCTCTAACTGCTGAAGAAATCAAAACATTGAAGAATGGATTAGACTACGTCTATCCGATTAATAAATTCGACGAGATGACGTTTATAAGCAAGATTGAAATGTACTTCGTGAATGTACTAGATATAATTGTACTGATAAGAAAGATTATTCCAAAAACGATGCTGATGAACAAATAATTTATAATTTAACACCAACACAATCACATTTTGCAAATAAAATGAGATCAATTTGTAATAATTTTCGTTATAATGCCAATCAAATAATTAATACACATAAAAAAGGAACCAACGAAGTTAAACTAGTATTAAAAAATCTAGCTAAAGATAAATCCGTACAAATAGTGAGACCTGACAAAGGTAAAGGTATTGTAATTAAGGATAAAACGGATTATAACAATAAGATGTATCAAATTTTAAACGACACCAACACATTCAACCAAATAGAACATGACTTAATTATATTTCAAGAAGATAGACTAACCAGGAAACTCAAACAATTAAAAGATGAATGATTCATAACAGAAAAAGAATATAATTATTGTAGACCTGCCAGTTCTCAGCCAGGTAGGATCTATGGGCTACCCAAAATACATAAACCGGCGTTACCATACCGCCCCATTCTATCAGCATCGGGTACCTTTAATTTCAATTTGTCAAAATTACTTGCAAATAAGTTGGATCACCTACGAAAAAAAACAATTTAATTGTAACAAACATTTTCGATTTTATCACCGATCTTCATTCAAAACGAGTCGACCCGACTCAAATCAAAATAGTATCGTTTAACATCACTAGCTTGTCTACAAAAGTGCCTTTACACGCACTATTGAACTTATACTATTGAAGATGTATAGACAAGAACATACTAATACCTACAGCTTAACACAACGTGATGCATAGTGTCAAAATTGCAAGAACAGATTCAAAATGAAGTATCTGTTAGAATTATCAACTAAAAATACCCACTTTGTTTTCGATAAAAAGAAACTTATTTTCACTCAAGTCAACGGAATTGCAATGGGTTCACCGTTGGATCTATTATTTCCGGATGTTTATATCAACTTTCTAGAGAGTAAATTGATGGCTCGCTTGGAACGCAATGGTATGTTATATTGGAGGAGGTTTGTTGATGACACATTTGCTGTTTTAGATATAAATGTTGATATCGATAATTTAATTGAAATTCTAAACAGTTTCGATCCAGATATAACTTTTACTTGCGAAAAAGAAAAGAAAAATTCGTTACCGTTTCTTGATATATACGTTAGTCGAAAACTTGTCAATAATACGTGAGAATTTTCTAGTTCATTTATCGCCAATTTGTATAGAAAATCTGCCGTATCCCGATTTAATAACAAAGTGGGACTCGTTCGTCCCACACTCATATAAAGTTAGTACTATTAGTTGTATGATATATCGTGTGCCATAAAAATATGCTCATCCTTTAAACTAATCCATGAACAATTTCAATTTATAAGAAAGACTGCAATTAGAAATGGGTACCCAGACAAATTTATACAAGCACAAATCAGGAAAAATTTAGAGAGATATTATGACAAAATAAATGGAACGCAATTGTTTTATTCCCAACGACAAAAAAAGAACGATGAATCGAATGAATCAATAAGAAAAAGACAAATATTCATCGACCAGGAACTCCAGTCTAATATTGCAATATTAGATTAATTGCTCTGGATGTGATTCATCCTATATAGGAAAAACAATAAGACAGGCAAGCCCACGGTTGAATGAGCATGGTGTCAATCTAAAGTCAGCAACGGACGTCAAACCTCATCACACCACGACAACTTATAATGTAGATAATTTTACGTAGGTCAAAAAGGAATAACGATAAAATTGTTAAATATGTTTCAGAAGAGGAAACGGAAAATTTTGATGAACACAAGATAACTAATTCTGCTTTAAGACAGCACGAAATTATAAATAATCATTTAATTAATTGGAATGAATGGAAAGTTCTAACTAGAGACACAAAACATTATCGTCTACTTGTGAAAGAATCATTATCCATAATCAAATATCAGCCTATATTCAATAAAACTACTTGTTCTGTACCATTAATAATCTATCCTGAAGGGCTACAAATAAAAAGCCTAAAGCCAAGATGAAATTAATCAATCATGCATTACCCGAGGGGAGGCTATAGTATTATGAGCGCTCATAATACTGTTTCCAATTACGGTAGAGGTATCTGTAGGACTTACTGGTTGGAGAAACAACAGATATTTTTATTCTTTTCGTTGTTTACTTCTTATTTGTTTTTCTCTTTGTCATACTAATTATTCTTCAAAATGACAGTTGAACTGTCAAAACGTAGATAAAAAATTTTTTTTGAAATATTTAAATAAAAGAAATTAATAAAAAAACGAAATCATACTTTAAACAATATGAATTTCAAAGCTGCTGTTATCGTTTTAAAATTTATGATAGAAAAGACATTGAACTATCGATTGATGAAAAAATAATTGAAAAGTGAGGTACTAATTTTTCATAAATTAAGCTTTTTGAAGCCTATGAAAACTGGCTGAGATTGTACATTTACCCCAATGACATCAGCGTGTTTATACATTAGATCCGGCAGAGATGAGTGCATACATGAAAAATTGAGCTCAAAGAATACTCTGTGGATAGCTCTATGCCCAATATTTTGAGTTGATTTTTTCACCTATCGATAGAGCTGATACGGAGTTAGGTATCCTGTGAAAAAAAAATTTTAAAATAACGAAAAATGAAAAAGTTACAGGAATTATGCTGAAATTCGACTGTTCTCCATTTTACAATTACCCCAGGTTACTCTATTGATGAATAATTTTTCTAATGTATTTCCTTCGTTTAAATAGAAATTATGTTTTGATTTAACATGTATATATTCAACAAGATCTTTTACATAGAATTCTATTTTTTTGCTTTTGTTTATTAATTCACAATGAAAGTATTGAAATTTATGATGATTTTATTTATATTGATCAGGAATATAATCAAGGGGAAAAAACTCATTCTGAGCCATTCAAATGGCTAGGAATGACTTTCAATTGGTCACTATGAATTAGTCTGTTGAATTGGTTCAAACTATGCAAGAACTTTAAAATTCATTAGAAACATCATTATCAATGCCGTTGAACTGCTCAGACTAAAGAAAATCTGTTGAAAATAGCTATAATCGTTTTCCAATATGTATCGGGCTTTATTCATCTTCATCATATTATGTTGTTACTGACATACACGAACATTTGTCATATTCATAATTACAAGTGTTTACTAACAAAGAGATCCCATGTGATTCAAACTGGAAAAAACCGACGGTTCATCGTTCGGTATAATATGCGCTCTACCGTCGGTATACGGCCGGTTTTTCATGAAAGTGGTGCATCTTTTTGCATAGTATAGAGGCAGAATGGTGTTGAATTCGGAGCATTCTGATTATGTCGATGTGCCTGAGCCGCCCGTCGTAGCCACAGTTCTCAAATCAGTCACATTTATGAGATAAATATTTTATTAAAGGTGTCGTTGTAAAAATGATAATTCGCAAAATATATACTATAATAGTTTTGTTTCCGATTAATTCGAATTCTTTTTCAAAAATAAATAGGGATTTGGCAAAAAACGGTTTCTGGAAGCCTTTTTAACTGGAACCAGAGCTTATAAGCGCTACCGCCGGTTATTATGAGTACCCCGATATACCGGTGGTAGTGACAAAAACTGTGCGACATGGGATCCATCATTATGTTGATAAGATAATATTTTAGTAGAATCAATTCACAAGGGAACTCCCACGATGACCCCACGGATTTCAATGCGTAGTGCTTTCTTCAAAAGATACACTCCAGAGTTCAGTGGGACCGATCCCGTCCCGGGGCGATAGAATTGCAAATATATATGACAGGACGGGACGGGACAAAGCAGTGAGGGACACAGGACGGGTCAGAATCATAACAAACTGTGTGGGATACGGGATCAAATGCGACAAATTTTTGGTCGTCCTCTTCCCGCGAAGCTATGGTCGGGATCGGAACATTCCTATTAAGATATAAGATGTGACTCCTTGTTTTCAAACGAGAAAAAAATCATTTTTTTATATTATAAAATGATTATTATTTTGTTCAATATTTCAATTATGATTTTTTGTTATTACAAAAAAATGGAATCAAAAGATGTCACTAGATGAAAACATCAATGAATTATATTGTTACTAAGTAACGATAGCAAATCATCTTCCGGAATGAAAGTAATCAGCTGCGACAACTAGTTGATTTTATTTATGCTCTGAGCATGCCGGACGATACACGAAAAACTTATATACTATCAACTATTTCGAATTATTTTGGTATCGAGCGTGATTCTCTATCATCTTTAGCTGATCATCGTTCATTAAATAATTTTTTTGACGATGCAAAATGTCAGTTACTTTCAGCAACACGTGGTGGAAAACATTCAGTTGATCTATCAAATGAGGTATTTTTCGTTATGATTTAAATATTGCCTTTTTAACAAAATAAAATAATCTCTTAGATTAAAATTGTCGAAGGTGCACAATATCTTGTTTTATTTAAACTTCGACCTGAACAAATTACATCAGATAATCTGTATACAAATATATTTTTATCATCCATGGTTGATTCACCAATTGATTCTCTTTACTATATGATTAAATCTGTATTTTCACCAGCTCTACGTGATAATAGTAATAATACTAATCGGTCGAATCAAGCTGCTAATCAACAAATTCAAACATCATTAAATGAACTTGAACAAGTACTTCGTTCATCAGGAAAGAAAAATTCAAGTAGTTCATCGTCATCGATGGCAACCATATCACATCCAAAAGATGAAATTGCCTATTGGAATGACATGTCAAAAAATACATCAAGTAAAACAAAAGATCTTGAACGAGCAAAATATTTTCTTCAACTATTCGATCCAATCAAAGGAAATTTTGAAAATATCGAAAAGTAAACGAAAACATGCTTTTTAAATTTCTATATTATTTTATTATTTCTTCTATTTTTAGTTTATCACTTCTTGAACTAGTAGATGTTGTCGAAAAAGCACAAGGTAAAATAAATATTCAAGCTTTTTGTCCATCAAATATTTAGCAAGCTACAGATAAGGATGGAATATTTTGGAGAGCAGCGGCGTTGTTCCATAGTTCGTAGAAATGATTCACTTCTCACAAAATCAAGAAGCAAGACATTCTTAGAGAACTAGAAATTATATTTTAATCTATTGACAATGGAAAATGTGAATATAGTTTGTTCATACTATTTTAAAGACATATCTACTTTGGTTAGCTTACAAGAGCTGAAGTAAGGAATGGTCGATATAATTGTTCATTTTGGTGCGTTTCACTTGCCCTGATGTCAATGACGTTAGATGCAACGGTAGTTTTTCTTATAGACAGAGCTATTTTCCTGATAGATTCATACTGTTGTTCACTACTGCGCTGTATTACGACAACACTCATTTTTATAATTTAATGGTTCCGAAAAAATATTTGAGTGTTTCTATGAAGATGAGAAACTGACTGTACGTGTAGTTTTTGTCCCCATTGTATCATCTTGATCTCTTGCTGGAAGGAAGATTCTTATCATGAACTGCATTTTTGATCATATAAGAGGATATATAACTAATACGACCATGTTCATTCCTATAATAAAATTCTCAGCTTGTAAAATTTGTGTTTCTTTATTTTTTAAGACGTTTATGACGACATTTGGAAACAAACGGAACATGATGAATATCCTGAACAACGTATGACGCATTTGTTGGCAATAACATCGATTACGTTTGTTCAATCTGTTCAAAAACAATTATCCAACATTGATTTATGGTCAGATTCAAAAGATTCTGTAAAAAATCGTGAATATCTACGTAATGGTGCTAATATATGTGAGCGATGGTCTATTGCTGTTGAACAATTAACAAGTATTTATTGGCGTACTTATAGTCCACATCCATGGAAAGGTGAGCCATTCAAAGCAACATACTTAATACAATTCAACAAACGTTTACTTCAAATAATAACTGTTCGTTCATCATACGAACAATGTCTACGTGCTGATTCGTCATTGAATAAAGGAAATTTCCCAACAACTAAAGTATTCTCGCCATTTTTTAATCTTAATCCAATACAATTTAATCCATATACCGATCCAGAATGGATCGCTGCAATGAATCAATTTGAAATTATAATGTCAGGTGTAGATCGTGATGTTGCAAAACAGCTACGTGATCATTTTCAAAAACTTCAGTCCAACCCTCAACAAATGTTAATAGAGTTCAAACGTTATGGTGATTTGATGCAGCGTGATACAATTCGAAAAGAGTTAGCCTCTCAAAGAGAATTTCTATTAGGTCAATTAGAAAGTGAAGTTAAAATGTTAGCAGATGATTTTAATAATTTAACCAATGCTGGGAAAAAATCGTCCACCAAAGGAATTAACCGTACTGTTATTGCAACTCAACTTGATACAAGTCGACAAATAGAAGCCAAAGTAAGAAAATAAAACATTTGATTTTGTTTTGTCTTCAGAGATTCTAGTAAAATTTTATTTTCAAGGTAAATAATATAATTATTGACGGAGAAAAATTATTAAGTGATTTATCCAATTATTCACGTCTTGCATCTCTTGCTAAACAACTTAAACAAGATTTAATAAATTGGAGAAAAGATAAATTTAAAGAATGGTGCCAAGATACAACACGCGCTATTGATGATCCATCACAAGCATTAAAGTTTGATTTTTATTATTGGATCATTTTTTTTAATCTTGGGATTTTCTTTTAAATTAACTTTAGTCTTGAAACTACTGGTCGTCTAATGGAACTTGATTCACAGGATGGGAAATTACGAGTACTTTATGGCGATCGATTAGTTATATTACTTAATGAAGTACGACAATTATCATCACTTGGTTATGATATACCATCGAAAATTATTAAATGTGCAGATATTGGCAAGAAATTTTATCAATACGGAGTTGAACTTCAAGCAGTAGGGTTTTGTTTTTCTTATAAAAAGTCAAATTTGTAGTAATTTTATATATTGCTAGTTGTCCCATTTTTATAATACAATCGATTCTGAAATGATTCCAAGTCAACAACCATTGATGCTAGATTTAGCTAAAAATTTTGAACGTCTTGTTAAAGAACCGAAATCAACTCGTATGAATTAGAGTTTTTGTTTTGTTGTTTGATTTTAAATTAATTTTTTCTTTAAAGAACGAAGCGGTGATAGTTCAGCTGTTAAAATAACTTGGGATAATCCTGAACAGTTATCACGTTATATTGCAACACTTCGTGGAGCAGCTGAAAAGTTAAAAACAGAAAATTTAAAATTACGCCGTTATCATTCAACTATTGGACAGATGGTTTGCGCATTGATGAATACGGATATATTACGTGAATCAAAAAAATGGGATGAACAAATACAAGATATCAGAAAAATTATGGATAATTTAGTTCATGAAGGTTATTCAGCTGACAACATGAAATCATGGAGATCTTTTTGGGATCGGCAGTTATATAAAGCACTTGATCTTCAATATTCAATAGGTTTAAGAACTTTAACTGAAAATTTACCAGAAATTAATATTGATCTGGTTTTCAGGTATTGAAAACTCTATTTTGAAATTGTTTATGTATTTTATTTTTCATTTATTTTAGTGATAATTCTATTCAATATAAATTATCAAATGCATCACGAGTACAAGGAAATTTAGAAGCAATCAAAGCTACGTATTATAATGAAATGAAAAGATTTTTAGCAATACCATTAACATTTAGAGGTTTTAGAGATACAAAGAAAAAATTAATTTTTGAAAATATAATGCAAAGACATAATGATGATATTGTTGCATGTTTTTATGCGTCGAATCAGTTATTTAATAGATTAGAACGTGGTTTAGAACAATTTAAAGAATGGACCATATTAGAACAAGTTGATATTGAAGAACTTGTAGAAAAATATTTACTTGATGTTGCTGATTGGGAAAGAAACTTTAGAGTTTTGAAAGTTCGTGGACAAGATGCAGAGAAACTACCCAAGTGAGTAGTAACGCTTGATTGATTAGGAGAAGAGAAAAAATAAGTTTTCACACATATATAACGATTATCATATTAATGGATTTGCAAATTCAATTTTTGAATTCGAATAGAGTCTATATCTTAATTATTTCGACATAGAAACGACACCGTACTGCAGGAATATCAAAAAGATTCTATGATATCTAGGAAAAACATTTAATGTTGTGTTGATATTTTTAGTGAAATGCGATACGATTGTTTTGTCGTCAATATAAATCCTTTTAAGTTAGCAATCAAAAATCAAATACAACGCGTACAAAATTCAATGTTAACACATTTAAAACATTCAATAACACGCGATGCTACTACGATCGATGCTTTTGTCAATGAAGGTCTTGAAATGCTTAATGATCGTCCAAAAAATCATGAAGAAATTCGTTTGTCTTATAAAAAACATGATGAATTAAATTCTAAACGTAAAGATATACTTCCATTATATGAGCGTCTTGAATCGAAAAATAAATTATTACGATCCGTAACTGGTGGTGGCCATGAGCAACTTGTACAATTACAATTGAAATTGGATAAATTTGAAAGCATGATGGATTCACATATTCAAATGATAAATGAACAAAAAGATGTTTTTAAAAGAAATTTACAATCACGTTATGAAACATTTTTAAATGAATGTGAAAAAATGAAAGCACGTTGGAAACAAATTCGACCACGCGAACAGGATATGAATGATGAAAAAAAATGTCGAGAATCATTAAAAATTGTTCGAGAAAGAGAAAAAGAAATTCAAGATATGATTAAACAAAAAGAGAAAATGATGTAAAAATAAAACTTTTTTCTTTTTAATTGTATATGAAAAGATGTCTTGTTTTTTTTTAGTGAAGAATTCAAAGTCTTTGGTATGGATGATCCAGTATTTCGAGAACTGGACGAAGTTAGTACAGATGTAGCACGTATTAAGAATGTTTGGGGAATTTATGAAGAATTTCAAGAAGAATTAGCTGAATTAGCAAAAGAAGATTGGGTTACATTTCGTAGTAAAACATATCGTTTTGATGAATTTCTTTCTAATTGGCAAGAAAAATTAAAGCAAGTCTCAAGTGATGAATCAACAAAATCATCAAAAAAACATTCATCTAGTAATATGAATGATCGTATACAGCAAGATATTGATAATTATCGTTTAACAACACCTTTATTTAAATGGGTTCGTGGTGAAGCTTTATCACCAGATCACTGGTTGGAATTATTTCGAATATTGAAAATACCACGTGGTATTACATTAGAAAAATTAACTTTCGGAGATATTCTCAGAGCTAAAGATGAAATGATGAATAATACTGAACAACTGAAAGTTTGTTGATTGAAGAAGAAGAAGAAGAAGAAATATATTTGTTTTTGTTTTCTATTATTTAATAGGATTTGAATGCTCGTGCACAAGCTGAACATACAATTCGCGAAGCTTTACATGAATTAGATAATTGGGGTGTAGGTGCACAATTTTCATTAACAGAATATGTTGATACTAAACAACAAAAAATACAAATAATTAAAGATTGGAAAGACTTGTTTACACAAATCGGAGACAATCAAAGTCTTTTGTCTTCACTAAAGGATTCGCCATATTACAAGAATTTCGGTATGAGTTTCTTTTCTAATAAGAACAACAAACATTTTGATTCATCGAGTAACTTTCAAGTATTGGAGTTAAAAAGACGAATACTTCTTTTACTCATGACATAGATTTGTAACTTGTTTGACGCTAGCATAGTTTTCGTTTGCTCTATACAAACTTTCTTCATGTGATTTCTGGTGACTTTCTTTCAAAAACAAAATAATAGTTGTATAATTATTTACCGAATTTTGAGAAAATATTGATACATAAACATAAGTGCCACGCAAACGAGATTTACTTAATTTATGCAAGTGACTAAAATAATTATCAGTTTCTTTTTGAACAACACCATTATTAAATGTTTTTAGAGGGCCAAGCACATATATGGGAACAACGTTTAGGTATTCTTGATGAATGTCTTCATACTCTTAATCAAACTCAACGTAAATTTGTCTATCTGGAACCGATTTTTGGCAGAGGTAAAACATGAACACAAAAGCTAACAATTATATTCTCAGTTATATTTTCCTAGGTGCTTTACCAAAGGAACAAGGGAGATTTCGTGGCGTTGATAAAGAATTTCGTGAAATAATGTCTGAAATTTCATCGAATCCTCGTTTAGTTGTATTCTCACAACGTAAAGATTTATCGAATATATTAAAATCAATGCTCGATCAATTAGGTCGTTGTCAAAAAGCACTTAATGAACTTCTTGAAGTAAACAAAATTATTCTTAGTTTCGTTTCTACTAATTCATATATTTTATACTTAGGAAAAACGTTCTATTTTTCCTCGATTCTATTTTATTGGTGATGATGATCTGTTAGAAATTCTCGGTCAATCAACAAATCCAACAGTCATTCAAACACATTTAAAAAAGCTTTTCGCTGGTATCCATTCAGTTCAATTTGACGATACAAAACAAAATATACTGGGCATGCGTTCATTGGATGGCGAACTTGTTCCATTAACAAAAAAAATTCATATAACAACATCAGTTGAAGAATGGCTTAAAGAACTATCAAAAGAGATGATCAATACATTACAACAACTATTAGTTAATGCTTTACAAGAATCACGAAAACAATTAGGACAAACACCCGTAGAAAAATATCCATCACAAGTAAAGCAAAGTTTAAAAAGAAATAGAAAAATAATTTTCTTTTCGTAGATTTCATGCTTAGCTGAATCAATAACGTTTACCGAACGTTGTGAAGAAGCTATCAGAAATGGACAGTTAGACAAATTTCTTGTTGATATTAAACAAGTACTTGAAAAATATACAAATGTACCAGTCAGTACTGACTCATTAGAAGGTCAAGTAACAGATCTAAAATATAAAGCATTAATTATGGATACCGTTCATAATATGGACGTTGTGCAACAATTAGCTGATAGTCGAATTCAAAATATTTATAGTTGGTTATGGCAAAAACAATTAAGATTTTATTTAGAAAATAATAAAGCTACGATAAAAATGGTTGATGCGCAATTTAATTATACTTATGAATATCAAGGAAATGCCCAAAAGCTTGTACATACACCATTAACGGATAAATGTTATTTAACTTTAACACAAGGAATGCATATGGGATTTGGTGGAAATCCGGTATGTATTCAATTCTGTTGTGAAAGAGGATATGAAAAGAATTGAAATGAAGTGCATTGACTAGTAATTCTCATCTGCGAGACCAAATTATGTTATTTTTGCTTTGACATATAAATTCGAATTTGAATCTTAGAAGCACTGCAAATTAGGAGAGAAGCGATTCAAAGTTCGCGATAGATTTCTTTTCAACAATGCTTTCGTCTCTATTACGAAATCCAAAATCGGCCATACTCATTCAATGCGTATGTGTGACTTCATTATTGGATTTATGGACATTTAAGTAAAATGATGCTGAGGAAATCTGTCTAAAAAACATAGAATAAAATAATCTTCTGGTAGTCATCATTAGAAGTTTTAACATTGCATTTTGCATTTTAATCATCCAGCAATTATGCTAATTGTTTTCTTTTCTATTATTAGTTTTGTTAGTGCTAATTTTTTTAAATTTAGTATGGACCAGCAGGAACAGGTAAAACCGAATCAGTTAAAGCTCTTGGGTCAACATTTGGACGACAAGTTCTTGTATTCAATTGTGATGAGGTAATCTTTTCAAAACTTTCAATAAAAGATATTAATTGTATATTTTAATAAGGGTATTGATGTGAAATCAATTGGTAGAATATTTATCGGTCTTTGTAAATGTGGTATGTTCATTAAAAAGAAATGTCTTACTATGTTTTGCATTTTTGCTGAATAATGTTTTAGATGCTTGGGGATGTTTCGATGAATTCAATCGTTTAGATGAAGCTGTTTTATCTGCTGTATCGATGCAAATTCAAGTTATTCAAGATGCTTTAAAAAATGGTGCACCAACATTAACATTACTTGATAGAAAAATAGAAATAAATCCGAATTCAGGAATATTTGTAACATTAAATCCAGCAGGAAAAGGTTATGGTGGTCGATCTAAATTACCTGATAATTTAAAACAACTATTTCGGCCTGTAGCTATGTCTAAACCAAACAATGAACTTATTGCTGAAGTTCTTCTGTATTCAGATGGATTTAAAAATGCCAACACTTTAGCAAGAAAACTTGTTGCCTTATTTAATTTAAGTAAAGAACTTTTAACAACACAACAACATTATGATTGGGGTTTACGAGCATTGAAAACTGTTTTGAAAGGTTGTGGAACATTATTGCGAAATGCTAAAGCAAATAAAGGTTTGTTAAACATCTCTGCAAATAATTAACCTACTACATGATTCATATTACAAAAGAAAATATTCTACTTATTAATCTTTAAAACTTATCTTAGCTTAATTAGATATGTATATTAAAAGTCAGTAGTTCTCATCAGAACATAAGTGAGTTCTACCGAACAGAGAATCAAACGTAAAGATATGTTAATTATTTCTTTTTGTGTACTCAAAAAGTGAGTACACTCTAGAATCGATCAGTGTGTCCGCCCGGTCGTAGGCACGATAACTTTCGAAAGGAGAGTCAGACCGTGATGAAATTTTCCACACAGTTCAATCTCATGAATATCTCGGTCGAGTTCGAAGATGAGAAGAATCCCTCAACAAATGGTTGAGTTATCGAAAAAATTGTCATTTTTGGCCAGACCATCCCTGAGGAGGAGTACAGGGAATCTTTTTCAAAAAATAAATCTTTCTCAGAATTATTCACAACATATATAAATCGACTCAGTTTTTAGCGCTGATTCCGAATCTGATATTAGCTTTGAGCGAAACCGTAGTTTTCTGATGAAACATCGCCTGAAAAACGTCTCAAAATGCACAAAAACTGCATCCAGAAATCAAATTGCCTAGTTTCTCATGATAATTTTGGTGTTCAGACATTCTAGAATGACTCATACATCCCATGCACTTTTTGCAGTACACATAACTTTCGGATGAAATCCGAAGTTTCCACATTTATTTTTACAAAATTTCAGTATTACAATTCATACGATAGCTCCTTGGACCTGCATGGATTGTGTTTTGTTGACAGGGGCTAACAGTCTTATTAAGCTAAACAAAGAACACCAAGCCTATAAAAGTCACTAAAATACTAGATCTGAGCAGTCTCAAGAAAACTATCAATCGATCTTTTTTAGATGATCAAATAACAAAACAAAAAACACAATATCACATTGATTTCGGCAATACATAAAAATATTTTGACAGTGAAAGTGAAAAAAAGATTTATTTGCCTGTTGTAGCTATGTTACATAAATGAGAAATCAATCATTGATAATAGAATTACTTTTCCCTTTTAATCATAAACCCAAAAATTTGTTTACTTTCGAATGAATCAACTAAAATAAACATTTGTAGAAAACTTTTATGGAAAGTAAAATTTATTTATTTTGATTTTAGTTGAAATTTCCTCCAAATATGAATCTCAATTAGTTGTTCAAGCGTCTCGTATTAATACATTATCGAAATTAACTTTCGGTGATTCGAGACGATTTGATGGTCTTCTAAAAGATATATTTCCTGGTATTGATTTAAAAGATATTGAATATGAAAATTTACGACAAGCTTTACATGAAATATATAAAGAGCATCATTTGCGAATAAATGATATGCAGGTAAGATCAAGTGCTGTTTTTTTTCTTTATTTTTATTCGATATATTTTTTTCTTTTCAATGAAATTAGATTCGTAAAGCTCTTGAACTCTATGAGCAACTTCGACAACGTATGGGTGTTGTTATTGTCGGTCCTTCTGGTTCTGGGAAATCAGTCCTATGGAAGATGCTTCAACATGCTATGCAAAAAACAGGTCAAACTGTGCGAACATATGTAATGAATCCAAAATCAATGCCGAGAATTCAATTACTTGGACATATTGATATTGATACAAGAGAATGGTCTGATGGTGTTTTAACAGCAGCGTCACGTGCAGTTGTTAAAGAACCACTTGGTAAAAAGAATCTTTTTCTTCCTTTTTTTTTGCCGCTCAATAAATTTTATTTTATTTTAAAGAAATTCAATCGTGGATTGTTTGCGATGGTGATGTTGATCCTGAATGGGTTGAATCGTTAAATTCTGTGCTTGATGATAATCGATTATTAACAATGCCATCTGGTGAACGTATACAATTTGGTCCTAATGTTAATTTTCTTTTTGAAACGCATGACCTTAGTTGCGCATCACCAGCAACTATTTCTCGAATGGGAATGATCTTTCTAAGGTTTTATTTTATATATTCATTTATTATTTAATATATGTTAAATGTGATTTCAGTGATGAAGATACAGACGTAAAAGCTGTTGTTAAATCGTGGTTAGCTAAAGAGCCAGCTGAAACACGTTCAGCTACAGAACAATTAATAAATGATTATTTCTTTGATACATTCAATTGGGTAATAAAACAAGGTGATTTTGTTGTTAGTACAACATTAATTGGTACTGTTCTTAATGGTTTATCACATTTACATGGTGTCAACGATAAAGCATTGTTTACGTTGGGTTTAATTCGTGGGTTAGGTGGAAATTTAAATGAAAAAACAAAAGAAGTCTTTGCCCGCGAGGTATCTTTTTAGATATTCAACTTTGCCTAAAAATCGAAGCAATAAACCGTAATTAAGGAGAGAACTAACAAAACTCGTAGCTACATATCGTTTGCTTTCATACTTAGTCGATAGGAAAATATAAGCTTAAAAACTTTTGCATTTATGATCGCTGACAATTGACGATCATTAGATTTTATCCTGTGTATGCATTTGTAGATTGAAATATTAGTATTTCATTTTTCAGTAAATACCTTAAAATCTGTCGAAAGCTTCCGTTCATTAATTGTCTTCCAAAACATATTGGAATACAGATTTCTTCTAATCACATTATGTTGCCATAAAAATTTATATATCTAGGTATTTAATTTAACTGGTCAACGTCCACCAGATCCAAGTAACTTATTATCAACAAAATATGATGAACGATCAAAAAGTTTAACAAATTATAGCGATGATGTAATTTTATTATTTATGTTTCTTTTTTTTAATTTTGGCATATTGTCTTTTAAATCATATTTAGGAGAAAATTGATCTGAGTGTCGATAATTTTAACCATACATACGATCTTCCTGTGATTCGTACAATTGATATTCAACGTTATCTTGATTCGTTTCTTCCATGGCTTAATAATAAACATAGAAAACCTTTTCTTGTGGTTGGACCTGATGGTTGTGGCAAAGGGTTAACATTTTACATTAGTAAAAAAGTCTTTGAATATTTCTTTTTTTGTTTGCTTGCTTTAGAACACTTCTACGTTATTGTTTCCGACAATTACGTTCAACACAAGTCACAATTCTACATTGTAGTGCTCAAACATCTCCAATACATGTAATACAAAAATTAAATCAATCGTGTATACAAGTTTCATCAACAAACGGTCGAACATATCGGCCAAAAGATTGTGAAAATCTTATTTTATACGTTAAAGATATTAATTTGCCTAAACTTGATAAATGGGGTACAAGTCAATTGATTGAATTTTTACAACAAGTAACATTTTAAGAAAAAATCAATGTTGAATTATCTCTCATGTATTGCTTGATTTAGATTTTAACTTATAACGGTTTTTATGATGACAATCTTGAATTTGTTAATCTTGAAAATATTCAAATAGTTGGAAGTATGAATCCATCGAATACACTTGGAAGACATAAATTATCCACACGTTTTACATCTATTGTTCGAATATGTTCAATTAATTATCCAAACGAAGAACAATTACAAACTATTTATGCAAATTATTTACGGCCAATACTTCAACATCAATTACCTAATCATCGTGTTTGGTCATCAACTGGAAAAATTAATCAACTTGCTCTATCAATGATTCATATTTATAATGAGGTTTAGAGAAAATAAGACAATTTATATTCACTCATAATTATTTTGCTTACTTTTCTCTTTTAGTTGAGATCTCGATTCAGTCAAGATGCACGTAGCCATTATCTATTTACACCAAGAGATTTAACACGCTGGTGTCTAAGCTTATTACGTTATGATTTTTCATCAATTGGCAATGATGCTACGGCTGAAAATTTACTTGAAATATGGACATATGAAGGATTTAGATTATTTAAGGATCGTCTAGTTGGACATGATGCGCAAGAAAAATTCGATCAAATAATTGATAAAACATTAAAAACTGATTGGTCATCAAATGCCTTGGGATCATTAAAAGGTAAATTTCAAGGAAAAAATACAGATATTAACTTAGAATTCTAGCAAACGGAAGACTCTTTTGACTTAAAGAAGAAAATATATCCTTGATTTTTGTCTTGCGGAAAATTAGGGATACTGTCTAGTGATAAATGAAGTAGCTTGATATCTTCTTTGCAACTAATAATAATTGTACACTTTGATAGTAGGACCATATCATTCAAAGTTCTTGCGTAAAAATCTTTCAATTCTATTGTATTAGTCATCTGAGACAAACAGGGAATCGCCGCCTAAGATTATTGTATGACTGGTGATATCAAGGTTTGAATACAATATACCATGGCTATCTCTTCGAAAATCTAGCTGCTGATTGAATGAAGTTTAGTGTAATATGTAATAAAAATTGAACAGTGAATTACTTGATGCGAGACTTGAAAACATCATACATAAATTAGAATCACATCATTGAGAAGTATATATTCTAACTTTAAATATACAGAAATAAGTAACATATGCTGAGTCGAATTCATTTATAGTAATATTTTCAAATTAAATAAATATATACTAATTCATATCAATAGCAAAATTTATTCATCAAAACTTAAACGTTCTTTAGTCAAACCTTTGCGTGACAACCAAGCTCTATTTAAAAAGTATTGAATTTATTTATATATTTAGATTCATTTTTTGTCACTTGGGTTAATAGTAGTGGTCGTCGAACTCTACCTCCGGCTGGCCGTGTATTATCACGATTATCTAGTAAAGACTTAATTCCATATATTGAACGTGGTGTTGCTCGATATCGATCTGAATATCGTGATACAAGCGTATTCCTATTTCGTGAAATTCTTGATACCATTGTTCGATGTGATCGTGTATTAACAACACCTGGAGGTTCATTATTACTAGCTGGTCGAAGTGGGGTTGGTCGTCGTACAGCAATTGGCGTTCTTGCTTCTATGAATAATATGAAATTATTCTCACCTAAAGTTGGTCGAAACTATGGATTAAAACAATTTAAAAATGATTTAAAAACGGTTTGTTACAGTTTTCATGACAATAAAAATTTATAATTTTGTTTTTTTGTTCAATGAAAATAGGTTTTACAAAGCGCTGGTGTGGATGGTGAACAATGCATTCTATTAATGGAAGACTATCAATTTATGGAATCAACATTTGTTGAATTAATTAATAGTCTTTTGTCAGCTGGTGAAGTTCCAGGATTATATACACCTGATGAAGTGGAATCCATTCTATCTCCATTACGTGAAGAATCATCACAAGAAGGCTTTCGTGGAACAATGGTTCAATATTTTGCACAACGTAAAGCATAGAAAATTTTTATTTCTTTTTTAGAAAAATGAGATTATTTTATTTTAATAGGAGTAAAAACAAATTTACATATTGCATTAGTTATGGATTTTACTAGACCAACATTTACAGTGGCCTGCCAAAGTAATCCAGGTTTTTTCAAAGAATGTTCTGTACAATGGATGGAAGGATGGTCAGAAAGATCAATGTTAAAAGTAAGAAAGAAAAGTCAAAGTCAAAATCGAAATTTTCTTTTTCTCCTTTTCTTAGATTCCATCAATGCTATTCTCAAAAGATCGTTCAGACGATAACACTAGAGGCAATCTGACAGGAAAAATCGATTTAGATGAAGAATTATTAAAATTATTTCATGCTATACATACAACAATGGAGAAAAAATATTTAACACCAAAACGTTATGTAATTTTGTTGGAAACGTATCAACAAGTTTATTTAACAAAACAACATGCAGTCAGTACTCGACAACAACATTTAAAATCTGGTGTTTCGAAATTAAGTGAAGCAAGAAAAATTGTTGATGAGTTAAAGCGAAATGCAGAAATTAAACAAAAAGAACTTGCTGTTAAACAACATGAAGCTGATGAAGCACTTAAACAAATTACGAAAAGCATGGCTGTAAGTTTGCAATGAAATAAAATCTAAATCGTTGTTAGATGAAAAACAAAAACCCAGCGCTATCAGTCTTACAATTAGAAAGACAAGATGAATACCCAGGAAATCGTACACCACACTTTTTTTCATGCGATCGTTTTGAAAGTTTTACAATCGGCTTTTTTTGCAATTCTGATGCTTGCTGAGAGAAGTACACAGTGAATTTTCATTTTTCCGATATGAATTCGAATTAACTATTGTAGATCTAGAAAATTATACATGTATCATATCGCTACCATTAAACTTACAGGAGTTATACGTATGCTACGGAAAAAAATCGAACTTTACTTTACAATTAATTGAAGTAAAACAAAGTCATTTTAAAAGAAGTTCAGTGATTCTAGACGAAACTTTCCTTCGGATGTCCTTTTTTGCTTTAGAAACTTAATTAAAAAGTCTATTGAAACATGCCTGTTGGTTTCTATATCGAAACGTATTGCACTCTATCAGGTTTTTATCAAAAACATTTTTCTATTCGGTTAACATTTGAGAAATTTCATTTTTACTGTTCAGCTCATTACACTTCTCTTATGTTTTGATATTTTCGAAGTTTTCAATAGCGTTTCCTTTACTTTACGAAAAGTTCTTTCATTGTTACTTTGAAAATCAATTGGGTTTGTTCGATGTCTTTAATAGATAGTATTTGCCAGAGTATTTCCTTTGCAATGAATAATAGAAGTAAATCATATGCTTTTCTTGCAATAAGTAATGGATTTGTTTACTTAAATAATCGAGACTCTGAATGCTCATTGTTGAATATAGTCGTGAAAGATTTTCCATTGAAGAGCCCGGTTTACCATCTATTGTATCAATAAAAAAATGTAGCTAAATATGATGAACTAAATGGTTCAACAAAATCGAACTGAAAAGTCAACAAGTAACTAAGAGAAATTTGAAACGTATTTTTGTCAGGAAACGCTCGCATTGACGTTTATACAATAAATCATCACATAAAACAATTCTGGAGAAATCATATATTGAAACTGTCGACTTTTTAGTTGTTGATTCGACTGTTTGATGATTATTTTAATTCATGAGATTTTATTTTTCTACAATTAAATGCTGATTGTAAAGTAAATTCTAACTGTGAAAAATATCGAATTTTGATCAAATTTCGGACCATGAAATAGAATATGTTTTGTTTTGCTATTGTAAACAGGATGCTGGATCACAAAAAACTGAAATGGAACAACTGGCAGTTAAAGTCAATGAAGAAACTGCCTTTATTGAGCGTCAAAAGCGTGAAATCGACAATGAATTAGCTGAAACTCAACCATTAGTTGATCAAGCTAAACAAGCTGTTGGCAGTTTACGATCAGAAACATTGGTCGAAATTCGTTCATTACGTGCGCCACCTGATGTTATCAAAGATATTCTAGAAGGTGTTCTAAAACTAATGGGTGTACTTGATACCTCATGGACATCGATGAAAGGGTAATTTCGTTTTTTTAAATTTAATTTCTGATAAGAGAAACGAAAACTGTTTTTTTAAATTTAGTTTCTTGGGTAAACGTGGTGTCAAAGAAGAAATAATGAATTTTGATCCACGAAATGTTACTGTTGAAAATCGTGAATCAGTTGAACAGTTATTACGTAAAAAAGCTGATTCATTTACTCCAGAAAATGCTGCTAAAGCATCACAAGTAGCAGGTCCTCTGGCAACATGGGTAGTAGCTAATGTTAAATATTCTAAAGTATTAGAACGAATTCGTCCATTAGAAGAAAAACAAAATAAATTAAAAAAGTAAAAATCAATTTATTGGAAAAGGCAATATACAATAACAAATTTTATTTATAGGAGTTTGGAAAGTTCAACAAGAAAAATGGACGAATTAAGTCATGAATTAAAACAAGTCGATGATAAAGTTGAAAAATATCGAACGACATTCGAAAAGTTTGTGAGAATTTTAATATGAGTAATTTTATTTATTGAAATTTCTAGAACAACAAATGAAGCTCAACGCTTAAAAGTTGATTTGGAAAAAGCTAAAGAAACAATTGAAGCTGCACAAAATCTTGTCGGTAAACTTGAAGGAGAATTTTATCGGTAAGACACAAAAAAAAAGAAATAAAACGTTCAATTATGATTTTATTGAATAATATAATAATTTTGTTTTCTCGTTTTCGTAAAGATGGTCAGCTCAAGTCAACGACTTAAATGAGCAATTGAAAATTTTACCAAAACTTTCTCTATTATCTGCTGGTTTCATTACATATTTAGCAAGTCAATCTGAAGATAAACGTCTTAGTTATATAAACAAATGGAAACAATTGCTAAATGTTGATGAAAAATTTGATATAAGAAAATTTTTATCGACAGAAAGTGAACAGCTAGTATGGAAAAGTCAAGGTTTACCTTCTGATGAATTGTCCATGGAAAATGCAATGGTTATACTTCGTTCACAATTATGTCCTTTTCTTGTTGATCCATCATCACGTGCAACTGATTGGTTAAAAACGCATTTAAAAGATAAAAAAGTTGAAGTTATTAATCAACAGGATAATAATTTTACAACACAATTAGAATTAGCTGTACGTTTTGGAAAAACATTAATTGTACAAGAAGTTGACGGGGTTGAACCAGTACTTTATCCAATTTTAAGAAAAGATCTAGCTTCGCAAGGTCCTAGACATGTTGTTCAAATTGGTGAAAAGATTATTGACTATAATCCAGATTTTCGAATCTATTTAACTACAAGAAATCCAACACCAGAATTATTACCGGATATGGAAGCTATTGTTAATGAAGTCAATTTTACGACCACTCGCGCTGGACTTACTGGACAAGTAAAAAAAAAAGTGTTTTTTTTTCTTCAAAAGAATATTCTATGAATAACCGATCATTTGTACTCAGGCGTAGATAGTCACTTTTTGTAAATAATCTTCTTGCGTCAAAATAGAATGCATAGTTTCGGAATATATAAAAATTGTTTTCATCAATTGAATCTCTATGTTTACAGCTGCTAGAACAAATAAGCGGTTAGATAGATCGATAGCAAAGAGATCGGTTTAGTGTATAATAAATTTCTAAGCGTCATTATACATATGCCAACAGTTCTTTTAGATCTAATACTATTTTCATGTATTATTTGTATCTTGAGTAAGTTATATATTCTGTTAAGATTATTTTTCATGACATAACCAATTATGAATAGTCAACATTTAAATTCCTTTTTTTTTATATCTTATGAATTTTCTTCTAGCTTTTGGCCACAGCAATTCAACATGAAAAACCTGAATTAGAAGTTCGAAAAACTGAACTGCTTCGTAAAGAAGAAGAACTTAAAATTGAATTAGCAAAGTTAGAAGATCAACTACTCGAAGTAAATCAATTTTTATGAATTGAAAAAGAAACAGCTTTAACTTGTTTCTTATTTTTGTGTAGGATTTAGCCAATGCTACTGGTAATATCTTAGAAAATAAAGAATTATTAGAATCATTGAATAAAACAAAAGAAAAATCTGCAACAATAACAAGTGCACTTGAAGAATCAGCTAAACTCGGAGAAGATCTTGATAAAGTAAAATGACATAAGATCAGTTAAGATATCATTGATTGAATCTATTTTTAGGAAAGAAATGATTATTTACCACTTGCTAAACATGGCAGCAAACTATTTTTTGTCTTATCTGATTTAGCTAAACTTAATAACATGTATCAATTTAGTTTAGCTGCTTTTCTACGTTTATTTCAACGTAATCTTGAACAGACAGACGTAAGTTATTTAAATATTAATCTATACCGTAATATTTGTTCATTCTCTTATAGAAAGGTTCAACGCAAGATCGAACATTAACTTTAGGAAAAAATCAACTTCGTATGACATATAAATATATTACTCGATCATTATTTAAAACTGATCGTTTAATGTTTGCAATGCATTTAGTACATGGAATGTTTCCGAAGAAAGTTCCTGATAATGTATGACAAAACAAGAGAAAAAATTCTTATCGTTTGCTTTTTAATAAAACATACATCTATTTAGGAATGGGAACATTTTATTGGTACAGCAATCGCTGATGTAAAAGAAACTCGATCACTGCCATCATGGGTTAATGAAGAACGCTCATTCGATGTTTCAACTTTCAAAGTAAATATTAATTTGCACTCAAAGATCTCTATATGCACACTTAATCTTAAAAGAGCGGTACATTTTTCCGGTCTCATGAACACGAACAATATCTGTAATATGAGAAAAATGTGTTCTACCAGCCGTTTATAAACCGAGAAAAAAATCATCACAAATAATAATGAATCAGGAATGCAGACGGAAAGAGAATAAATAATTTCTGAATATTGGAAAGAAAACCAATTTTAAATTATAATAGCAATACGTTGTTTAAAATTAGCCTTTAGAATAAAAAGCTGTTATGTATTCTTTTCTCTTACATTATTGAACTCAGTTATCAACGAGACAGCAAAGTGATGGTATGACAACAGAACGGAACAAAAGGATAATCTCCCTCCAATGGAATCGGACCAATGTCTTCCGCTTTCCGGGCAGCTGTACTACCACTATACTAGGCAGGAGCGTGTCTTACTCGTTTATTCCGTCTTATGATCGAAGGGGAACACTTCGGTCATAACAAAAGCTATTATCTTGTATAATAGAAACTCATATCATTCTTATTAAAATAGCTTTCTATGAAAGCCTGACATATTGTTAAACTTTACCCTTAACAATGAATTTTCGAAAAGTTTTTCCTACATACATAACATATATTATTAGAAAGTAATTGAAGAAAAAACAAGATTTTTAAATCTTGGAATACGTTTCAATTACGTCAACTCATTTCAGTATGTATGTTTGATTAAATTCATAAATTATTGGAATGAAGATAGCGACTGTTTTATACAGCAAGACAAAACCGATTGGATCTAAATATTAACGGAGTATAAAAGCAAAGATAATAAGTGGAAACCTTCTTACAATAAGTATCTGTATCAACATAAATACATTTGACTGATCTCAATAGTGCCCAGATCAGAAAAGGATTCAACACAGATTAAACGTATACCTATCTTTTAGGCAAATTTTCCACAACTTTTTTCGAATCTTCGTTTTGATGATTCATCATGGTCAAAATGGAATTCAACAAATGAATGCGAATTATATTTTCCTCAAGATAAACAAATAACATCATTTCAACAATTATTAGTCATACAAGCATTTCGACCTGATCGTCTAGAAAGCACTATGCGATTGTTTGCTTGTGATGTATTAGGCATTCCAGATATATCACCTGAAACATTAAATTTAAAAAAACTATACTCAAAAGAAACAATTTCAACTGAACCTATCTTAATTATTATTTCAGCAGGTGCTGATCCATCAGCGGAACTTAGAGATTTAGCTATGCAAATAACAGGCAAGGATCGATTTTCAGAAGTAAGCATTTCTGTTTTTCGCTTCAATAACAATTCATACATTCAACATTATTCAGATTGCGATGGGACAAGGTCAAATGCAAGTAGCACTTGATCTGTTAAAGAAATGCTCCAGTCAAGGTACATGGTTATGTTTAAAAAATCTTCATTTAGTAACATCATGGCTAACAACTCTTGAAAAAGTAAATGTTTTTACATCAATCAAATAGCCATTTGATTTTCTTTTTCTTTTTTTTTTTTGAGGAATTAAATGCATTAAAGCCACATAAAGATTTCCGTTTATGGTTAACATCAGAAAATCATCCAAAATTTCCAACAATATTTTACAATCAAGTATTAAAATTACCTATGAAGCACCACCGGGTATTAAAAAGAATCTTTTGCGTACGTTTGAAATCTGGACACAAGATGAATTCGGCAAAGGAAGTACTACACGTTCACAAACTCTCTTTGTTCTTGCTTGGTTCCATGCTATTGTACAAGAAAGAAGAAAATACATACCACAAGTATTTTATTTCTTTTCTGTTTGCAAAAAAATCAAATGTTAAATTAATTTTCTTGTTTATAGGGTTGGACTAAATTTTATGAATTTTCTCAAGCTGATTTACGTGCTGGATATGAAATTATACATCGATTATGTGAACGAGCTGATAAACAATGTATGTATCCGTTAGATTTAGTTTTCAAATAGAACTTAAAATGATAGCAAGTTACAGATTTATATCTCGATTCATAGTTGAACCGGTAGAATTTTCAGGAACCCATTGATTACTGTCATAACTATGCTCAGTTGACGAGCAAAAGCACTCAATTGGCGAATACCGATTAAACTACGTTTACTATTGATGAATGACAGTTTTTTTTTATAAGAGTAAAAATGCCATGAAAGAAGGCTACTTATTCTTTCTCTTGTCCAAACCGTTAGGACTTTTTTTTATGGCGTATTCATAAATGTCAAAGTTGAGTGCTGAATACGACTATTCAGTGATTGAATATTTAAATATCTTTACTTCACTTATTTGGACAATGGAATAGTTGAGTACATTTACTTCAACTACTCTTGTTTTAGTAGAATATCTTTAATTCCGTTATCAAATAATAGTATACTTGTTGAATATCTTTATTTCAATTACTTCAATATTCGAATACTTTTACGTCATCTAATCAATTATTGAATAGTTAAATATCTAAGAAGTTGTTCAATAGTTCGATTCAACTTATTAATTTGATATCTGACTTTAACAATGAAAACATCGGTTATAATTTTGGGGAAATGGGCCGGTGACCAAGTAGCTGTGAGGCCTTTTTCTGTTTAGCTGAAATCTACTTATAAATAAAAATGAGAAACATTTAAATGATTGCTTGCCAGTTGGATATCTTTACTGGCTAGTTCCAGAATGAAAACAATTCTATTTTCTTGATTAGAATGGAGCTTTGAAAGTAGCTATAAAGTACCTCGTTAATTAATGCTGATTACAGATAGCTCTCACGTCTGCACAATTTTTAATTCAACAAAATGAAAAATATTGTTTATTTTCATTTCAGAATAAAAGTTAAACAGTTGAATTTAACACAGGACGTGAAAGCTCTTAGAATTAGAAAATTTATTCAATAGTTGTTTTCATTTCCATGTTGTCATCTTTCTTCGATGATCTCAAACATATTTATATTTATTTAAGTATATTTTTGAGCAAACATTGACATCTCTTCGTTTATTTTAGCTGGCGGGGAAATTCCATGGGATTATATTTATGGTTTATTTGAACAAGCTGTATATGGTGGTCGTGTTGATAATCCAGTCGATACGGATGTATTAAAATCTTATTTGACACAATACTTCAATACAGCTGTAATCGGTGGTTCGAGAGGTTCTAAGACTAGATTAGCATCAAATATTAATTTACCGAATTCATCAAATTTTAGTGTTGGTTATTTAAAAAAGACGTATAACGAAAATACCTATCACGATTCTTTTATTTTAGGAATATAAAAAGATTTGTGAAGATTTAAATGATGATCAAGATGCACCAAGTCTATTTGGTTTACCAGCTAATATTGAACGATCAGCACAACGAATGAATAGTACTCAGGTACGAAGAGAAAATTTTCCTAAGAAAAAGAAAATAACCAAAATATGATTTTATCTATTTTTCTCGTCTAGATCATAAATTCATTAAAAGTTCTCCAACGTACGGATGTAGAAGTTGAAAAATTTGATAAAGACAAATGGAGCGCACTACTAGCACCTTTACTTAATTTATGGAAGAAATTGAATCAGGTTAATAAATATAATAGAACTATTCTTTTCATTGCATCAATTATTTATAGGATACTGATTTTATCAAATTAAAAGTTCAAACACCCGTTGAAGATGGTTCATTATCACCAATACAATCATTTCTTCAATTAGAACGTTATAATGGTATTCAATTAGTGCAGACCATTCATGAGAATTTAGCATCATTATCAAAAGTTATTCGAGGAATTAGCTTAATTACAAACGAAATTCAAGAATATGCAAAAGATTTACTTCAAAATGAGGTATATAGATAGATGAAAGAAACAAAGTAATATATTTCTAAGCATTATGTTGTATTGTTCTGTGATGAAAATATCAAATTATTGTTCTTTGTCTGTGCCATTGTTTTTTTTGATCTGATTCATTTCCTGGACTTTGCAGTACGTTATATAGATTTACTTATCAGGAAACAAAACATTTAATAATACTAAGATCATTGAAAATTCATGAGTAGATTGAAGGCTTCATTTTTTTTTGTAATTTAATTTCATCTTTTCTTCCGCCTGAATATCCATATTTGGCAAGATTTAGTCAAATTATAGGATACTAGTAAGAATTATTAAGAGTCTATTAGAGAAGCCATGGTAAAACTTTCACTTCTATACTAGACAGTTTTTGTACATAGTTATTTAAGAAAATATGATAAAAATAGATCATATGGTAAACTAAGTTTTATTGTAGATAGTTAATTTACTGTTGTTTTTTTCAAGCAAATGTCAAAATGCAATGTATAAAAGAGTTTGTTTTTTTATGAAAATTTTACTTCTTCGAGAGGAAACGAAGAAGAAGAGGAAGTTTAATGTATCAAAAAGTTTTCATAAAAGACTATATTGCCTGAGTTGTAAATCTCCTCTTTTATATAATATTAGCAGAGCTTAAATCAAAAATAGAATCCTTTCATTCTCTGTATCTTGGCATGCTCGTCGTAACAAAACAAAAATAAGCAATTGCGTGCAGTCATACTCTTTTGAGAATTCTACGATGTAAGATCAAAGTAAAATAAACATAAAAATAAAACGAAAAAAATTTATTAATTTATATTGAAACAGTATTATTTTCCAATGGCTGATGCCACAAATCGAGAAAATAAAGAGTTACCGAATTAAAAATCAATGTCATTGATGATAGCCAAGCTTTTGGATATTTTCCTATTGGTTGATCCTAGTTTCAATTATTTTCACTGGCAATGACCTTTTATTTTAGAAGGATAAAGTTAAACTAAAATTATGTGCATTTCTTTAAAAATCTTAGCTTGATATGCAAAGTTACGTTTTTGCTTGAATTTCCATACTGAGTTTGAAATTTGATAATTTTTCTTTTAAAATTCTATCACAGCAACCATTCACACCTAAGAAGCACACAACATTTTTTTCATAGTAAAGTAGAACAATTAATTTCCTATAGGTCTTGCCCAGGGTAAAAAATTTTAATCACTAGGTTTTAACATAACTCAACATTTTATTAAATATTTGAAGCAATAAACTATAATTATTCTAATAACTTAAAATGAAATTTTCTCTCTGCAGAGTATCTAGAAATCAATATATAAATAAATGCGGAAACATCGGATTTGCATCNCTCAGCCATTTCTTGACAGACTGCTTTCATCTTTGAACTCGACTGAGATATTGATGAGATCATTCTGTGTACAAAATTTCATGACAATCGGATCAGCCTTTCAGGAGCTATCGTGTAAACGGCCGGACACACTGACCGATTCTATAGTGTACTCACTTTTGTTTTTTGAGTACACAAAAACAGGTACATTGTGCACTTTTCCACATTCAAATTAAATCTATTAGTTTTTTCTGATCATGGGAAAGCGACTTGGTCGTTTCTTTATGAGTTATGTTATTGTTAACACGGCTGATCTTTTAATACAAAGTACTTCAATACAGTAGTCAGACACTTTCCCCAAGTGCTTCTGTGAGTAGCTAACTACAAATAAAATAGAACGACAATCAAGCAAGTCTGCTCGAAGTATTTTTCATACTATTAAATTGCTACGCTTATTAGTTTCGTGGAAAACTGTTTGGAGTTCTTCAACAACACGATGTTTTCGAAAATTTTTGCCGATTGGCCACAATGAAAATATTTCTTTTTTTTTCATAAATAATTCGCTCAAAATCTCCTGAAAAAGACGTTTCGTTTCTTTTGTTTTTATAGTTGAGTACCGATTGGAAGTATCTTATCGACGCGTCAAGTGTTGTTAGTCAGTTTCTTGTGCAGTCTATTCTTTAGAAAACATAGAAACAATTCTTGTCAATCATTCGCGAAGCTGAATGAACGGTAGACAAAAAACCTCAAATATTATAGATATATACATTATTTAAGAACTTGAGAAAATTAGAAGCACTTTTAATTTGAGTTATATCCCAAAAAATTAAATTATCACTTTTGTTTTTCACTAGATAATAATACTTTTAAATGATCGTAGCAACGTTTTTACGCCTACAACAAAAACTTAGACATCTTTATTAACATGAAGAAAAACTATTGACTGGAGCACTCAAAGTATATAATAGATACCGCATCGTTATTTTTCTTCTTACTACATGATTCTGTAAATACTATACACATCTATTCTCTAGACACTTCTTAGCTTTTAATCTATATAATGAGTAACTGAATTGATTATTAATCTATTATATAGACTCCGCAAACATGGCAAGATCGTTGGGAAGGTCCAACGGATTCAATGCAATATTTGCGTGTTGTTGTGTCCAAAGCCAAAGCAATGCAACAAATAACATCATCAATTAAAGATCGCGATATATTTTCTCAAACAATAAGCTTATCGGATCTCTTTCGTCCTGATACATTTTTAAATGCATTAAGACAACAAACTGCACGAGAAACTAAACAACCTATGGATACATTGATATTAAATACATCGTGGTCTGGCGAATCTAAACATGGAAAAAATGTCTCAATCAAAATTAGTGGTTTACAATTAGAAGGTTGCTCATTTGATGGTGGACGATTAAGTGAAAGTGCACCTGATTCACCAAGTGTTACAGCATTTCCATCATGTTCAATTGCTTGGATACCACGAGTAAATTTTGTTTTCCGTTGCAAAATATTAATATATTTATAATTCTTCAATATAGGATGCTGTTCAACAAGACACACGCGAAATAATTTCATTACCAGTATATTTTAGTGCTGCTCGTGATAAAATTGTTACACGTCTTAACGTTCCATGTAGCAGTGATAAAGACAAATGGCTACAATGTGGTGCAGCTCTATTTCTTAAAAACGTTTAAATAAAGAAAAAATAAAAACGAAACGACTATTGAAACATATATTTCATTGTATTTATATTTTGTTGGTATTTTTATTGTTTATGTCAGTATGTCTATTAATAAAGAAATCAATAATGAACATATAATATAACCGTGTACTTGTATTAGCACTATATGATAAAATAAAATAAATTACAGTTAATTCTTTTTTTTTATAGACGACGATGAGCGGAAAAACACATCAGTAGAAATTCAATTAGATAAAAAGGAAAAATATCTATAGTCTAATATAACAAGATTGAATTCAATCAAGAAAGAAATCAATCATAAATTAATTTAAAAATCGAATATTTCGTGACAAAGTTCTATTTTTTATGCATCAGTTCATATAATAAATCATATAAAGCACTGTCCTAATCGTTGTCTTTTTCTCTCTTTTCTTTTCATATTTTAGTCGATTTCTAGTTAAAAAGATCGATAATGACAAAAAAGAGACATCAGTTGATGAAACGTGACAAGTCTCAAGCACGATCTACCAATACCAAGTTAAGTAACTAATCGTTCCGTGATTTTATTGACAAACTGTGCCATAGAATGTTTTTTTTTCCAAATGAACGGAAACATCTTTCTGCTCCACCCAGTCGTATTCCTTTCATTTCAGATACTTTTCCAACTATGCGAGCAATGAGAGAACAACAGATAGAGAGCGAGAGAGGGGGCACAGAGAGCAGCTACTATAAGAAAAATACAAAAAGAACTATAAATACTATTTTCTCTCGCTTGATATATATATATATATATCTTCTTTCGTCTTTCTCTCTTTATTCTTGTAGTGTTTAACATTGAAAACGATAAAACAGCGAAGTAAGAACTCAACGATCGACGACTGCTGGTCAAACTGCAACGATTGTCTTATTCTTCATATTATCTAAACCTATAAATCATTAAGAAAATGAAACTCGTCCACGACAACTTTTTCGTTCTCTTTGCCATCGTTACCGTAAGTAATTGGTTAGTTATTTCAAATAGAAAATAAGTTATTGTTATAGATTTTTGTTTAAATTATTAAAAGAAACTGACTTGAAAGAAAGAAATAAACAAACGATTAGCTATTTATGAAGATTCGAGCGATTTTTGGTTTTCTTTTTTTCATTAGACTTATTTTTTGAGCTCGAATGCACTAACGAGTGAACATTCCCAAGTGATTCGCACCGTTTGATCTAATATTTTGCTCATAGGAAGGATCCAATGAGACTAGGAAAAGTCCAAAATATTTCGTGCCATTAGGCCTTTCTTTCAAAGTTATGTCTGTTTTACTAAATTTTCGATCTTGGACAAGGAATTTATTTGAAAAACTCTAGTCTCATTGGATCCTTCCTATGAGCAAAATATTAGACCAAACGGTGCAAATCACTTGGGAGTGTTCCCTCATAAGTCTAAGTTTTACGCATGAAAACTTAGTTGGTGTATCGATGAATAAGAGAGCAGACCGACGGAACGGATTCTTCTAACTCATTTCTTTTTTTGTGGCACATTATCATAGTTTCCGTTTGAGAACGGTATTGTGTCACTATTTCCTGTATATTTCTAAATTATTTGCATTTTGTTTTCACATTAGATTGGCAGTCAACTGTTATTTGTTTGCACAGAAAGCTCTACAGTAAATATGGATTCAAATTCTCTTGAACTAAACAAACGTTATCGATTTGATAATAAAGAAATAGCAACAGCATTCGATAGTAATGAAAATAATGATCATGACAACGACAATGATTATAAACTATCAATGAACAAACGATATCGTTTCGATAAACGTTATCGATATGACGAAAAACGATCGGATCTCGATCGTATCAACAAACGATATCGTTTTGACAAACGTTATCGATTTGATTAAACAATATTTTTAAAATAATAGAAATAAACATCAAAGACACGGAATGTGAAAAAAAATCAATATATAAGAAAATCAAAAGAAAAATCGAAAACTATTTTTGTCTTTGTTGGTAATACACATACTTCTAGATGGATATATTTCACATACTGAAAACAATATATTATTCTCTATCTAAATCGATTGCCTACTGTGTAAATCTGAAGAGAAAACAAAAGACCATATAATATTTTGTTCTCATAGATCTTAGAAGTATGGCAAAGAGTCTCAGGAGAATGAAGACAAAACAAAAAGTCACACTTCAGCGTCAAAGTGGACTCGAGGTAAGCGATATTGCTTATGACCTGTATACGAAGAGTATGAGTGTACTTGCGATTGTTCATCGGTATTGTTAATTGTAGTCGACTGTACTACTGGAGGAGGAGGAGGGGGAGGAGGAGCAGGGGGAGGAGCAGGAGGAGGAGGACCTGGAAGAGAAAGAGTAATAGGTTCATCAATATCTTGACAGTCAGTTGGATTTGATGAAGATGCCAGTGGAGTTGTTATTGTTTTATATTCATCATTATCAGCTTTGGTAGTTATTGTTGGTGAATCCATAGGAATACCGATAAAACTAGCTTCTATATCATCCTGATAATGTGATATTTTACATGTAATCATTAATAATATTCCATCAACAATTGATAAGAACAAAACAATCCAAGCAATAACAGTTGAGTAGCCAGTTTCAATCGTAATACTTGATAGAAATCTCTCGATAGCTACTTTTGTATCTTGTGATAATTTATATATTTGAGTTGATCTGTAATGTCTTTCAATAGCAGTAAAATATTCGATGGATTCATATTCTAAATGATTTGATATCACAAGTAGATTAATAAAAATAAATATCATTGAAAATAACGATGATAATACACCAAAACATTTAATTTTTAAGTGATGACGGTCATTTTTAAGACATGGAAATATACCAAACAGTAAAGCAGTTAAAAACAGGCTAATGAACGTCAATACTCCAAGTACGTGACACGCTTTAACATATACTGGATACTTACAATTACATGGAGATTTTGAGCCAATATTTAGTTTTAAGTTCGATGAAATATCAAATCCTGCACGAAGATACTCATTATTAATATCAAATTTTGTTTCGCTACTTTGGGAACAAAAACGATAATAATATAAACTATGGCACATATCAAATTTTTCATTTGCATAAGATGGTAGAAAATTTTTCGTGCATTTTTTGTGTTGTTTGTTATCACTCACATGGAACACTTCAGTTTGTTCATTAATAATTTTTGATGAATTATTCATATGATATTCACATCGTTGAAATAAACCATACGAATGACGAGTAAAACGATGCACAGAATTGAAATATACCAATATTTCAGTACGGATGAGAGCATCAACACCATCGACATATAATGAATGAGTCTTGGGAGACACTACTTTCCAGTTCGGCGTAAAAAAAGCAACGCATTGTAGTACAATTGTGACTATTGTAAGAGAAACACCAATAACGATGCCAAAATTTAATTGTCTACCAGATAGTTGTATTCTTTTGTGCAGTATATTTTCTTTACTTTTTCGTCTCGTACGAACTTCATACACCGAACTGCTGTTTCTACGTTTTCTAGCATCTGTACTATTTGTGTTGCCAATAAACATTTTTATAATATATGTCACTCTTATATGTTAACGATGAAAATCTGCATAAAAAAAGAATTATAATATGACACAATGATGCCAAGTTTTTTTTTTCTATAAAAATAGTAAAAATTTATTTTCCGTTTTGTTGTTAACAAGTTTTGTCAGGGTCTGAAATATATAAACTTATACTGGCAAGAGACATATGTCGATTCTGTTGAAAGCTTTATACAGCGAGTAATCTAGATTTTTTCAGTGCTTCGCAGAGTAGATATGAGAATGTATTCTTCTTCGAAAAATGAATCATTTTAAAACAACGTATTTTAGTAAAGCATTCCAAAAAACGTATTCCAAAGGTAATCTATCGTTTGAATGAAATTTTAATTACAAATAATAGGATTTGTTTAAATATCAATAGAATTTCACATTTATTTCTTTGAATATTTTGTAAAAACTATATTTTTCTGTTGTATTTATATTATATGAGAAAAATACGATTCCATGCATTGTTTTTCGAATACTATAAAACTGTAGATTACCAGCTGTTTACATTTTCGATTTATCAAAGTACTGAAAAAAATGGTATCTTGCTTTTTTTATGATATAACTTTGAAAAGTCTCTAATCGAAATCATACAACGCATGGGTGAAAGTTAAGTATTGTAACAGCCAAAAAAGCATTCATTTATTATTTTTTAGATCTCAAATTTTGACTTTACGAGAAACATTCAAATCCAATTTAAAACGCGATTCTTCTTTAATGTTTAAACAAATGTCAATGATTTATTATTATTTTACGAATCATCTTGTCGAATTTGTGCTCGACGAAGGTGGTAAAGTTTATTTGCTTATCGTTTTTCAAACGAAAATCATGCTTGTGTATACAGTAATAAAAAAAAAGTTTATATCTTTACTCGTTTTCAACTTTGCTTTTCGATTATTATCTCTTACCTTCGCATTTGTATTATGTTGTTGTATTTTTCTTGTTCTTCTTTTTTTTCTTTTCAGTGAGTCTAACGTTGAATATTGATGATATCTTCGTATCGATGCCTATAAATCAAATGTTTGTACACAGATAATTAGTGATATTTTAATTATATTTATTTAACATCGACTAATTTCACACATACCTTGAGACAGCACAGCGATATGATGTTTGTAGTCGTGTTGGCAATAGCGATAAATGAAGTTTTCAACACGCCTAAACTACCTGTTCTTCGTTCGTACTATTCACGTTCTTTTTCGGGCCTATTTTTCTTGTTAGTTCATTCTTTCCTTCTAGCCGACAAAACGAAAAAAAAAGAAGAAAAATCAATGAAAGGAGAGAATTTTCGTTCTTATATCAGAAAAAAGATGAGTAGGCAAAGAAAAGAAAAAATATCTGATCATATCGAACAAAGAGGCTTTATCATCTGATAATATGAGAGAACGAACACCTTTGACGATGTCAATGTACACAAGGATATTTATTTGTTTTTTTTTTCTTTTTCTTTCTCCCACTTCACCTGAGCTCCTCTTTTCATAACCTTCTATATGCATTCGCATATTAGATTTGTTCCAGATGATTGCTGGTTGAAATTTACAAGATTAGAAACCTCTGACAACGTGAAGGATCGATAGGCGCGAAAAGAAATTGCTAAATGATATTTCGTAAGAAGACAAAAAAGAGAAAATTTGATATCTCTTAATTATGTTCTTATAGTGAAAGTGCGAGCACGTTGTATTGCAAACATTTACCCGCTAGCTTATCAGTACATAAAATATATTCATGATTCAGTTCCACACGTATGCATATACAAGCATGATGCAATCACATTTCTACTATTTCAACGCTGACCTTTTCTCTATCAGTCCTATTATCAAATCAATTATTATTGAAAAAAAAACTATTATAAAAAATTGGTGATGATTGTTATATAAAAAAAATCAGTAATATTTTTGACATTTATATACGTGATATGTTTTTGATGATGAAAATAGATAGTTTAGAAAAGGTTATTGAGCATTCTTTTGCAATAAATAGATAAGAATGCACCTGTCCAACAGATTCTACTATATCTAAACTAAAGGTATCGTTTAATATGTAAATCTCATATATTCATATAAATTGCAAAATAAATCAAGAAATATAATATTTTAATCAGATTATCCACTGAAGAAAAAGATGACATTGCTTCCTTCTATAATGCAAATCAAAGTTCGAAATGAAATATATTGCTTTAACAAATTCGACCTATCATGACTGGAGATTTCGGATTCGTTTATTTTTGATTGTATAAACATTTTGTTCGCATTTTTGCAAGGTTTTCTGTATTTTATGTTATTCAATAACTACCATATTTCTGCGTATATGCATAATAATAAGTGCGATTGACAAGTAGCATCATGTACAACATAACGACTACTTGACGATCGTGGAGTTATTCAGTGCATAAAAAGTTGTACTCAACGATTTTGTATACAAAAACAATTAGATGAATATTTTGATTCTCAAGAGTAATAAAAACAAAAATATGAGTTAATTCACCTAATTACGTATTTTTCTACAAAAATTTCGACGATTCGCAACCCTTTTGATATAGATCCATATTTATTTGGCTAGTCTTGATGTCTAATTCAAATAGTCAAGAAAAAAAAACATATTTGCTAAACACAATAATTTTTTTCGATTTAATTAATATTCATGGATTGTTTAAGTGAAACAAAGAAAAATCATTATTTTTCTGAACATAGAAATTGAAGTATATTATATCACGTACTTTTCTTTATAATCGTGTTCTGGAGGCATTTCGGAATTTTATTCATACTGTATTAAGATGATAAATAATGTAATAATTATGCGAAAACTATTGTTTCGACATAGAATTAAAAGATATTGTCAATTCTAAGACCAATGAGCTCGAGAAACATGATTTTATTGTGATTTGAAATAGAAATCAATGAATAAATTATCAATGCACTCATTTTTTCATGGACTCTTCTTTGGAAATACGTAAATGGTGTAAATAAAATAAGAATTCGTTTGATACATACTTATATGACCTTGACAAAGTATACTTTGAGTTCGTTGCTTCATATTTATGTGATCAAATTTTTCTAAACATTCTACGAAACTGTGATAAGTCAAAACAAAAATTGCCAGTGTTATTTTGCAGTCAGCTTAAACGACGCGTAGTTTGTTGATGAATTCCTCAGTTGTGTTTCGATTCTCTGCTTACATGTTGTCTAAAAACCGAAAAATTCTAAATCAAAACCAAAATATTGAATTGTTTAGGTATAAAGTGATGCAGATTATCTTTCTATTTTATTTATCAGAGTATCATGTGTTACTTACAATATTTGTACTTTTCTCTGAACTACTTGTTTTTCTTGGTACGGTATACATCGCCTGGAATAATATTGCACCTGTACATTTTTTATGCACACTATGAACGAGACTAATTTGCTTTTATAAGAACCCCGAAAGTAAACAATGGAGAAGTAAATTCTATTTATCAAAAACAAAAAGGAAAATAACAATGCTGATTTGCTTATTTCATTGCAAGATGATTATTATCATATGACTATAATCGTTTAGTTCAGGTAAAGATGAAAAAATTGATTAGATCATCATTATATAAAAAAATATATTATGATTGAAATATTCAAAAAGACTGATCGATGGCCATCAATCACCTGCATCTACTGATCGAATTCCGCAGACATTTTGACCCGTTAACGTGTGTCTTTCAAGAGCGATGATATTTTCTTTTATCAAGTTTCACGAAACGCTCAAAAAATGGCCTATTCATGGTTTCATTCTGTGTGTCAGCTTAATGAATCTTCGCAAAGTTGTAGACCGAATTTAGCTCACCAACAAGTATCATACTAAATGCCACCTATGTAAAAATATACGAGTCTCCCCTCCACTTCTTTTATGAACTCATAGATAGACTAGTGACATAGAAAAAAAAACACTTTATAGCACCTGAAATAGATATTTCTTCGATAAGAAATCGCTGATTTAGCATGGGATTAGAAATTATTTGTAACTCTTGAAAATTGATAATTTTTTACAAAGTTTTAACCTCAACAATACATGCTGGAATTATATATCGTCTTGTGATGATGCAATTTCCAATTGATTTCTTCGAAAAGCTCATTTTAATAGACATTCAGCCAGATAATTATTAATTAAATGTTTCATGGGCGAACTGAAGATTCATATTTACATTTTCTGGACGTATGATTATAGTTAAATATGGCATGATTATAAGTAAACTACTTTATCATTCGTGTCAAATGCCAAATCATTCAAGAGAGGTGATCTAAAATCGTTAGTTGTTGACTAGACAAATAAGAAAATATATATTGAAGACTTTTGTTTTACATATATCATGCGAATAAAGTTTGTACGTTGGATGTAGCCCTAACAATTTTTCCAGTGATTTTGCTAAGCAATAAAATGTTTACTTTTAAATAAGATACATTGAACATGCCTCAAAATCATCACTTTCGAATTCTTTACCACTCATAAGCATTTTAACGATACTAACTTATTCTTAGGTAAGAGAATCATGATACGGCTTTTGTATTTGGTTTTTTTGCAATTTTAAAAAAATTACTATTTGATGAAATGATAATTTAGCAATAAATGGTATTAGAACATTCGTGCCTTCAAAACAAGAAATTAACTACGATGAAGTACGTAGCAAGTTAGCAGTTAATTTGTTAAGAGCTAACAGTACAGTATGATCTTTGTATTCTCAATTAATAATATGAAATATATTCGAGTCAAATTCAATGTATTACTTGCTCATATTTGGAGATTTTTAGTTACGTATTGAAAATTTACGTGCCCAGATATCAATTCAATAAGGAAGGTATTTACGATGCATAATATAGCGTTCATAAATCTAAAAACTTCAACAGTTTGCATTTTTATTTTTGTTATTATTCGTGAACACCGTTTGTCGAGTTTCAAAACAAAATAATCTCAGGAATTTATAACTATATTTGACAATGTATGACTTCTTGAAGTTTCAGAAAATTTTCTTGTGAAAATCAATGAACCCTATCTGGTCATTGAGAAAACGAGAAATAATTCTCTTGAGCGTGTCCATCGGAGACATCTGTCATACATTGGAAACACTTGGTAATTCTAAGATTTCGATGTGTGTACGCCATCATCAGCTCATATGTTGAAGCTTTTAGTGTGGCGGAAAGACATTTAGGATGAACAGACTATACTCAATCTTGTTAGCTCACAACATAAACATCTGCATTATCAGAAAGGCAAACGAAGCGAATAGTAATGCCTCGCGTTTAGTTGATTTATTGTCCTAAAAGAAAATTACGGTTCTATCAAATGGATAGCGATACAGTGTAGTCGAAACTAGCCATGACAACGATTGGGGGAGAAGAATATATCAGTAGTAGAACAAAGAAAGGATGATTCGTACATGCTCAGCTTTGATTTATTTACATAGATCAATTTTTTGTGAGTAAATGCTAGGAGTGCTACACTACAGCAAGTTTCTTTTTATACTACGATTACGCAATCGTTGGACATAAGTTTCATTATATAATCATTTTTAGAGTAGATTTTGTTTTTGTTTCAGAAATTGTATTCATATTAGAAATCTTTTTTATTATGATTATTATTAACAAATTATAAATTAGTATCCTAATATATTTTACTATTTTAGCTAGTTCTATTACTTTTGAAGACTATCATTAATTACTAGTCATAGCTGATAGACTTACCAATTAATATCAGTAATAATCTTGTAGCGCATCAGTAATAACTAACTAGAGCAAAGTTACTTTAACACAACTGTTACGGTTACCTCACCCCGAGGAAAAGTATCATACTTCAGAGCTTTGAAGTACCTCGAAGTACCGAAGAGCATCATGAAATACTTGTAGAATATAATATGATCGTTTTTTCTCGTTCTTAAATCAATTATAGAATCAGCTGTATTCTTCAAAATGTAATAACAATCGAAGATCATAAAAACATAGGTAAGATTCAAAGATTTAGTTCTTAGTAGATAGAATAATAACATCTATCTGAAGTAATGTGTGTTTAGTGTTAATGTGTGAAGAACTATGATACCACGAGACAGATTTGCACTATTATTTTCTTTGTTAATTAATTGATAATAAGAATCAAATAGACACGTGAATTTGATTATATAAAATATTAAGATTTACGATCTTTGACAACATATCGTTACTAATTTATCTAATATAAATAATGTAACATGTCAAATTTTGAAATAAATACTAATAGTCTAATAATGGTATTTCATGTTTGAAATAGACGTTGACAGCTAAGTATCATATTGTATGAATAATATCGAATATTCGTTGAATAAAAGGATAATTTTTTTCCGAATTTATATGTCACAAATGACTTTGATGAAGCATAAATCATGCATCGTAGTAATCAATCCATATGGACGCCTAAATTAGTATCTTCTTTGTTTTTGTTACACTTATAGGAAGAGAAGAATCCATTATTTTGCTTTCGTTATCTACTATCCGAGCGTGAGTATCAAACAGAACAAACAATATTACATTTATTATTCTAGTCTACGCATGAGTCTGGAAGTTTCATAAACAATTATAAAGGGATGGGGCTATCTTATAAAATATGAGCAAAATTTTGGCAGAAATTGTTGCATTCCTTTGATCGAAAGTATTCCTCTTGTGAACTGACGAGTATTATCACTGTGATAATGCTCTCAACATTCCACATAATACCTCGAGTATTTATTAAATATAACGGGAAAGATGAAAATATTTTTATACATGCCATTCTATATAAATGAATGACAGGAAATGATTTGCTTTTATTTCATTTGGCTATGAAGTGAGTATTCTATTTCGTCTCGGTAATGAAATTTCGAAAATATTATTTTCATTGATTGGTCCCGATTAAATATTTGTTTTAAATCGTATAATCAAAATTTTTCTTTTATTCAATATAAAACAAGAGTTGCTTGTGCTCTATTATGTCAATCCTAATTAAAAAAATGAATATTAGTTCTAATGGTTAATATGATCGCTTTCGTTATTTGCAGCATTCAGATGAACTACTTTAAGTGGTACCCCTGATGCGAACAAAAAATAGTTGATGTATAAACTATTCTGTATTGTCACGAGAATATTTTTTCTTTAATTATGTATCGTGTATCGAAAAATAAGAATCATATTGCACAGTAAAGATCTGTTTTTCAAGTTAAAGAGATAAGTATATCAGCATATGACCTTAAATTCTATTGCTCAAACTAATCTTCATATAAATATTTGTCTATATAATCGTCTTTCCATAAAGATTCTTCTTTTCTGGCCATACTCACGTAGACATTTTCGATGCGAGCGATGATATTTTCTTGATGAAGACCAAAAAAAAATGAGACGTAATTATTTCTAACACATTCTTATTGGTAGCACGCGATTGACGACATTAAGAATCTTCCTTATTCATTGTCGATATTAGAAAGAAAAATATGCCTAGACAACCATTTTTTCTTGTTACTTATGTTGTCTAACACTTAATATAAGGGTTCGTTTTAATTATGTGTTGCTGCTCTGTCATCAATTTGCTATTCAAAGTTATGCCATTTATTAATATAGAAAAGGTAAAAAATCTTCTTTTAATTATCTATTTATACACATTAACACATGTGAAAGACATTATTCTTCATTATTGTTCGAAGAATCTTATAAGTGATTCGTCTGATATTTTTACCCCGAGATAATGAGTCTCGATATCATCGACGTAGAGAGAAGTTTTTCTTAGCGCGGCCTTTTCCTGATTTTCCTAATTGCCGAACATGACGAGTTGCTGTTATCGATATTTTCTTGCTTTTGTTGTTTGCCAAAGCTATGATATTAAGTCAGAACGAAAGAACCATACTTAGTCGGTTGTTTTATGTTAAATAGCTGACAGTTAAACGTAAAAGCCTTTGAGTATCTATTTATGTCACATGTCTCCTTTAGTTATAAAACGAACATATTTTGAAAAATAAAACTATAGAACTTCAATATGGATATATACATATATGTTAGCTTTTCCCATTAAAGTGACAAGGAAAACCAATAGAACCATGGGGTTACTAGCTTACTCAGCAGAGAAAAGAATCGATTAGCATAACAAAATAACAAAATATAACATGCACATACACCCGAGAGAAAGAAGACGAAGATAACCATTTATTGTTTTTTCTCCTTCCGTGCATTTTCCCATTAAGACATATAAACGCACGTTCTTTCTACAAGTAGTTCTATCTTGTTATTTCCGTCATTATCTTTTTATGTTCTAGATATTTTTTCTGGAAAACTATTGATTTCAAATGGCACTTAATTCTTGTAAGTGATCAATATTTCGCTTTTCATTGTAATTCAGTCACGATTCAACAATAAAACATTAGAAATATTTTATTCGATAAATAGAAAGCTTCATATAGATAAACAGTTCGAGAAACAAAAAAGTAGTTAAACGAAAAAATTAGATAGATATCACAGACAATGACATTATAATCAAATATGTGAGAAGAAGAAGAAAAAAATCACCGTGTGCAGTGTCACTTCTTTTGTTCTGAATTTATCAGAAGACAAAAAGAGAACCGATTAAAATAATTTTTTTTGATAACTTTTGATCACAGGGAGCTCGAGTTTACCGCTTTTACCATGAAAGCGATTTACTTTGGAAATCATAGCATCCTTCATAAAATTGTGCATACCAATTTCGCCATGAATGAAGACATTTATCGGCGTCATTCTTCATATTGTAACTTAATTTTGCACCGAATATTTTATTATTCCATATATTCATATCAGAAAATAATTGTTTAACTTCACCCATAAGCATTAATGCTGATAGCCAATATGGAATTGGTTGCGTTGAAAAGATACGATGCATAACGCGTTGATTAAATTTTTCTAATGGTGTCACTGTTTGAAAAAATGATACTTGGAAATATGGTGACCATAAAAATAAATAGACCACCGATGGGCCCATTTGAAATCCAGTTGCATTAAATATAAATATTTTATGTTTACCGAAAATTTGAAGATAAGAATTTAATGATAAAACATTTATGTAGGGACGATTGGAATCGTTAATAAATGTGTCTAACAGACGCATTTTATATGCATTTACTTCTGGATTTGAGTGAGTCATTAACTCATGTAAACGTGGATTTGTTGCTCGCTCAGATAACATACTCCAGCTAAATTTAAAAAATGGAAAAATAATATCAATTATCGATTGATGTAAAAAATCGAAGTGTCGAACGTCAGCTCCATTTTCAGGAATTTCTTGAACATGGCAGTTAACATAATTAATTGATTCACCACGTGCTAAAAAGAATCAAAGATATTGATTTGATTTAGAAATCTGATTTTTCTTCTTTACCTGTCATATTATAAGTTTTTAATTCATTGATCATATCAAATGGTTCATATAAAGGATGTTCTCGTAATTTTTCATCAGAATGATACCATACAAGAATGGATCCATTGACTTCTCGACATATATAACGCTTAATTTTGATTTCTTCTTGTTCATTGACTTTTTTTAAATAGAAATCCATTGTATTATCATTTGTTGGTACTGCTGTACATTTTTCAATATCATGATATTCATATTTATCAGCCGTACGAATTATTTTACTTTCAATACCGGACAGAACACAATCACCAGTTTCACCATCGAATGTCCATCCGTGAAATGGACATTCAATACATGTGCCATGACGAATTTTACCGCCAACACCCAAATGAGCTCCCATATGCGGGCAAAAGCCATCAAGAACATAAGGTTTACTATTTGTGCCTCGAAATAAAACAACATCTCGCCCACAGTATGAAATCGCTTTGACGTCACCCTTTTTAAGATCACATGAGTTTATTATCCAAAACCATCCTGTAAACGGAAAATGAAAGAAGAAATTATTTCCTTGTTAAATAATACGTAGAATACAAATTCATTTATAGATATTCTTCTTCTTGTGCGATAACCTTTGAATAATTCTATTCTTTTTTATCTTTGCTTTGTTCTACTTAGGCGCTCTTTCTTTGATTTCTTTCTCTTCGTTGCTCAACATTGCACTAGATGATTCTGTTGAAAGTTCTTTTATTTTCTCAATGAATCATTATGTTAAACGGGTAATATTCGATCGTATCTTCAGCACAATAGTTACGTAAGTACATATAGATACTATTTCCAACAATTAGTCAGTGCACATATCTTACCATTCGGGAAAAATGGTGGGCATTTGCCCCTTGAAACTTTGCCTTTCGTTACTTTTGTTCGTTGATCAAATATAAAGTAGCGGAATATTCGATGATAAATAAAATAAAATATAGGTGTAGCAATAAGCAATACTGTTGTTGTAGTTAACTGAAGATAATCGGTAATCATTTTTGAATGGAAGAACATACAAATCTAGAAGAAAATGTTAATAACGAGTCTTTGATTGTAGACAAAATGGATGTGCACAATTAATAATCAACACATTGAATAGCATGCACCAAGGTTACGAAACACAGTAAAAACAAAATCTAAACAGACCTGTTGAGAACGTCAAATAAAAGAAACAGAAAGAAGAAAAGCAGTGATTTTTATAAGACCGACAGTTTTTATCGTTTTCACGGTATCGTAATCGATTGAATACAAAAATGTTTTTTCTCTTTTCTCTCAATTTGAAAAATATTTCTTCTAGCTAAACTGCACCGCCTGAAGCCATTGTAAATATAAGAAGCAGTGACTGAAAAAATCTCACGTGTCTACGTGTTTAAACAGAGAAAATAAAAAAATATTTTCATCAATACTTCGTATGGCGTGATTTGTTGCCTTGACGCATCGATTGTTCTATAACGAAAGTATAGGTAAAAATAGACGTATACAATGACACATGTTAACAGAAAAAATATTAAGGCGATAACTTTATGTCTCTAGACTTCGCTTGCTTGTTCTCTGCCTGGTTGTCTCTCTCCCCTCCCCCCCCTCCCCTAGTCGTTATGTTTAACAAAGGTAAAGAATATTGTAAAAATAGAAAAGAGAAAGAAATCGACCGTTCTGTGTATGTTATTGTTTTATTACCGATGTACTTGATTTTTTCTAGTTGCTTGACAACCTTAATCAATGTCGAAGAAGTTTAATATTCGTGAATGGGTTCTATCTGTCAAGTAAGTGAGATATTACGCATGTATAGATCATATTCTTACATTGACTTATTTTACTTGTTTAATCAGATACTGGTCACTTCTGTTCATTCCCCATATATCAATCTGTTTGATTTTTTTAATCTATGCTCTTGTGGGTGCCAGCATTATTCAAGAAATTGAATCAGATGATCCACGATCTACTTCTTCAATAGCATCGGTAACAACATCTACTCCAATTGTTGCAGTAAAAAATCTTGATCGAGAACGAGAACGTCTCTTATCAAAAATAACGGATAAAAGACAAATAGTTGACGTACAACAATATATAAAATATGTTAATAAGCATATTCGTGAATATGAAGAAGAATTTAAAAAAACATTTCAAGTTACTATAACAACACGATCAACTGTTATTGAAAAGTTACCATTAAACGAAGAAAATTCACGTTGGACTTTTCCTGGATCATTATATTTTATCGGAACAACTTTAACAACCATCGGTAAATAAACGTTTTTTTTTTTAAGAATACATCAATAAAAGTGTTTTTATTATGTTTCCGTTCTTGAAGGCTCAAATGATTTTACGCCAAACACAAAAATAGGAAAATTATTTTTAATGATCTATGCTGCTATTGGCATTCCATTAACATTAGTATTTCTATCGGATTTAAGTTTATTAATAGCACGTTTAATAAAATATTTATCCTTACTATTACTACGTGCTTATTCAACAAAATATTTTCTTCACGTACGACAATGGGTATTATTTCGCTTTATTGAAAAACAATTGGATGTTTCAATACCTATTCCAGCAGATGAAGATGATTTATTTACAGCAAAAATCAATCAACCATTTGCATCGTCATTTGATACGCAATTGAATGAAAATGGTCAACAAGCAAGTCGACCGTCATTGAAACAACGACGTTTATCTGACCATCTTCATATAAAACGCATTAGAAACATTTATAATATACTGATTGATACAATAAATGATATTGACGATGATATTGATTTGACGATGCCACAATTATTAATCACACTTTTTATTTATATAATTATTGGTGCATGTCTAGTTAAATCAAATTCATTTATTGATAGTATTTACATTTGTTTTACATCTATATTTACCATCAATATAAGAAATTATTATCGAGATGCAGCAATTCATTATGAAAATAATATGAAATTAATATTTATTCTAGCCGTATACTTATTATTTGGTTTAGCTATTGTCTCATTATGTATAAACGCTGTACAAATACGAATACAAATAACACTTGAAAATATTGGGAAAAAATTACTTCGAGATCTCGTCGAATTTCTTCGACAGATGGGTATGTTTAGAAAAATAAAGAAGAAGAAGAAGAATGAATAAATTTTTTTCATACCAATTAGGTTTTCATGAATTAAGCACTGATGAAATATTAGCTATGACGAATAATAATTCTCATCCAATATCAATGTCAACATCAGAATTACTTTTTTCACGACAACGGCGTTTAACACGTTCAATGTCAATTATACCCGAACAACTAACCACATCAGCACCTGCCCGTCCTGTTGGTATTGCTGAACCAGTACGTCGTGTTTCGAGTAGTCTTATTATTCGAGCATTTAAAAATTCTGACATTGATACAAATACAGATAAAAGTGTTCAAGTTAATACAATAATCCGATCATGTGGCCGTTGCGCTGGTTCAACTCCAACAACATCAGTGCTATCAGTAAGAAAACATCATGTTGTATCATCTTCACCTTCATCACCTGGTGAAGTTAGTTCTGGTTGTGAAGATGATGATGTTTTATCACCAACATTATCACCACCGAATTTGGATAGACTTCGTCAACGACGCGCGACACTTGTTGCAAAAACAATAATTAATCAAATGGCTACGCAACCAGCAGCATTATCTACTGATGAACATGTACCATCATTGACGCTACTAACTGCTCAACGCCATCGTCCTTCAGAAGCATCGACGTCAGCTTCATCTAGATATTCAGCTACGAAATTGCTAAATACTCCTGGTGAAAAAACACATAAACGAGAGTTAAGTCATGAAGAATTCTCAGAAATTTCAAAACAAATATCATCGTTATTAACACCGAGTGATGATGAGAATTAATCAACTAGATATATATTGCAATATTAAAATCTCCTTCTATTTTTACTTTGTGTTTTCTTGAATTCAAAATCTAGTCCTTCGTTGTTACTTATATATTAGCTAAACTAATGACGAAACCTTTGTTTTTATTTTGTGTGAGATTCTTTTATGATCGACTAGCCTATGCTTCTGTTTTTTTTTCATCTACTAAAGAAAACTTTTTCTGTATATTTTTTATGTTTGTTTTCTTTTATAGTATATAGGCATTTCTATATTTTTTTTTTGACAATCAATGAAGATAGACAACCAAGTTATTCGAATCAAATTTTTAATTATAGTCACGCTGTGACGAACAAAGTTACTCAGTTGTAATGCCTCTTGATAATTTACAGTAATATAATGGCTATTGAGTATAAGAAAAAACGTGTTATCATGATGGAAGAATAATTTTTGTAAATTATTATTCTATCAATTTCTTAAAGAGGAAACTATTTTAGTTTAATGGCATTGGTCCATATTCTAATAAGAGTGTTTTAAAAACAATAGAGAGCTATCATACATATAAATAGAAACTGAACTTGCTCATTTTTTGTCACCAATTCAATAAAGTTGATTGATACTTTTACGAGAATTTGATTCTATCTATTTTATAGCGAAAATTTCAACTTTTATTTCTAATAGATTCGGAAAAGTAAAAACAAATAGGGCATAAATAAGTATGAATTGTGAGAAAACAGTAGTGTATTCATTTTATAATGACAACAATAGAAAGACAATTCTGCATAAAATATTATTTACGTGAAAATGAACATATTTTAAAATAACCATTTTGTAAAGATTCGATTATCAATGGAAAGGAAGCTCTATTTGTTCTCCAGAAGACAAGTGAGAAAATTGACAGCTGTTAAAATACTCTACTGAAATATACATGAACATCAAAATCATGCGGTGTCTGATGTGGCCCTCTAAACATTCAATTGAACGAAACAATAATAACAACGGTAGAACTCTAGTCGGTTTGTTTGTTTTTGCTTAAATAAGTCGAGAGAATAGGTAAGTTAAAATTTAAAATTATTTTCAAAATACGGAATACTGAAAATATAAAGAAACTAGTAATAATTCCATTGCTTAGTCATTATAGAAATTCTATCGATTGTATTAAAAAGTTGAGTGAGATATAAATAGGACATTTTTCATGACTTGGAGTTCTGAAAAATATTACATCACTTACTATTTTCACATTTGTAAGCCTCAAACTACTTCCGATGAGGCTAGACTGGTGTAGAACAAGTTATTGCACTCTTTTTTTTTGTAGCGATTCCATGTACCCAAGAACAACTGGGAAAAGAGATATGTACAGAGTGAATAGACGAAAATAGCTTTCAAACTATTTGTATCATTCGATCTTTTTGTTGGTTGCATTCTCAACGATAAAAGTGTTTGAGTATTCATCCTTGTCTAGGAAAGAAATATCGTAAAATTGATCAACAATTACTTAATCTTGTCTATCATAAATCAAAATTAGAAACCATCGATGAAACTTTAGCTGTCCTCGGTGGATATGCTATTATAGGTATCTTTTATTTTACTATCACATATTTGTTTCTGATCTGGAAGATTTCAATAGACAGCTCGTGTCGAATTTTCAAGCGATTCATATCCAAATGTTCCTTCTCGTGATGGTGTTCTTACAGCGTGTGCTATTGTATCATGTCTCTTAATTAATGTTCATTTATTGGCTTTACTGATGCCAGTATGTATTTTACTAGACATAAAAAGTGCTTTACATCAAAACTTTTGCTGAATAAATGATAAAAATCAAGAACCGATGACAATATTCAGTATTGATATTGATATAGCTTGGTTACTTTCAACTGTTATCGGCTTGCTTCTAATTATCTTTGAGCTTGGCCTTATTTTTTGGATAAAAATCGCTGGTTTCTCCATTACAGCAGCTATTACTGCTATCGTTACGCTTTCTTTAGCAGGCTTGTCATTTATAATTTGTTTTGTTGACTTCTACATTAGAATAATTCGTGCTGCAGTTTTTCTGCATCCGAAGGACTTAGAATCAATTGAACATAATGCTATTACAAATGTTGCTTCTCTGCATACTTCATCAACAACAACATTAACAACACGTATAAGTGGAAACCGTTAATTATTCTTGTATAGAAGCATTCTGATGAAATAAAAAGTCGGTATTAATATTAATAGAATCATCTATATGTTTTAATCTTAACAATTAGCATTCTGTTTTACGACAAGTGTACATAAATAATACTACCAAATTTTGATTTTTTTTTGGAAAAAGAGAAAATATTTTAGTTGATTTTCTACAGAACTAGTCAAATTATGAATAAAATCGAATCTGCTATGAAAGACAGAAAAATAAAAACATGCGTTGAAATAACTTACAAAGATTTATAAAATGTTGTTATAAGAGACTTGTATCAACATGATAGTATAGAAATAAAGGGTGCGGGTGCGGGTATATGAGATGAATATTCACACTCATCCACACTCCAGGTAGTCTGGCATCTACTATGGAAGCGAAGAGAAAAAGAAGCTTTAAAATCGGACAGCAGAACGCGGATTTCGAGAAGAGATATTTTAAAAACATCATTGTACGACAAATTTACGATTCACTCATATACGTATTCATAGATGACATCAGCAGAAATATTTGCTTTTGTTTTCATTTCATGTAGAAGAAACTTTCGAAAAATATCGCTAAGTAAAATCTGATTCAGATAAATCCACTACCGAATTAAGAATTCTACTTGACAAGAAATTATCCAGAGCTCTATTCATTGGACAGCTGAGAAATAACATCTACTCTGCTTAAAAAAAGGATTGATTTATATGTATGAAAGAAAAGTGTCTTTCTTTTCGTTTTTTTCTTCTTGATATTTTACCATAACTTTTAAATAAAAATCATCAGTTTTTGAAAGAACTTTAGAGAGAAAATGTCATTATGTTTGATCTTTGAATAATGTGAGCAATAAAGATAAATTGATAAAGATTTACACAGTGAAGAATCAAATCAGAAACATGGTTGCCATCATCGGAACAGCACTACATTGGTCAGATGTACTAGTTTTATTACTCTATTTTTTGCTCATTCTCGGCTTTGGAGTTTGGGTAAGAGAAATTAAAGGAAGTTTATTTGATTATTTGATTGTCTTTAGAGTTCATGCAAAAATCGTGGCAGTGTTGGTGAGAAAAGATATATTCTATTTTATTCATCAAGAACTTGATATTTTTTCATACAGGTGGATATTTTCTTGCCGGTCGTTCAATGCATTTTATACCGGTAAAAAATCTTCAAACAATTCTTCTCGATTTCATTTAATCTTCTAGGTGGGCGCTTCTTTATTTGCATCGAATATTGGCAGTGGTCATTTCATCGGTCTTACCGGATCTGGCGCCTCGGGTGGCGTTGCTGTTGCTGGCTTTGAAATAAGCGTAAGAAAATAGTACTTTTCTATCAAGAATATCTTCTATATAACAGGCGGTTCATTGGCTGATGGTACTCGGTTGGTTATTCGTTCCAATTTATATGAAAGCAGAGGTATTCACGATGCCACAATATATAAAAATGCGTTACGGTGGTGAACGTATTCGAGTTTATTTAACATGTCTTGCATTAACGTTGTCAATCTTTACAAAAATATCTGTTGATCTCTATTCCGGTGCTATTTTCCTTCAACAAGCTTTAAATTGGAATCTATATGCCTCAGTTATTGCTCTGATTCTTCTCGCTGCATTCTTCACTGTTGGTGGTAAGTAGAAAAGAAAATATACTTTCTGGTTATAATAAACGTCTTGATCTAGGTGGTTTGACAGCAGTTATTTGGACGGATTTTATACAAACCTTGGTTATGATTATATCAGCTTTTATTCTGATGATTATCAGTATGTCATTTCTGTGAATGCAAATAGTGAATTTAAATATTGAAAATAGGTTTTGTCAAAGTTGGTGGTATGCAACAAATTCGAAATCTGTTCCCTTATGCAGTTGCGTATACAACATTACATAATACCACTGAATGTGGTGTACCGAATCAAAATTATTTCTCATTAATTCGTCCATTTGATGCTGATTTACCATGGTTTGGAATAATTTTTGGAAACGGAGTTGCGTCTATTTGGTATTGGAGTTGCGATCAAGTGAATAGATAGAGAGAATAATGAAGAAATATTTGTTCGAACTTTAATGTAGGTAATTGTACAACGAACATTGGCAGCAAAAAATCTTACACACGCAAGAGCAGGTTGTCTTGTTGCGGGGATATTGAAACTTTTACCGTTATTTCTGATGGTATTTCCTGGTAAGTGATTGATCTTTTGGATGATTTGAAGTTTGCTCATGGTTTTAATAGGAATGATTGCAAGAATTCTCTTTCCAGGTACGAGTATTTCTTTAATTACATCTAAAAACTAACGTTAATATAGATGAAATCGGTTGTGCTGATCCCGATGTTTGCTATCAAGTTTGTCATAGTCGAAATGGTTGTAATGATATTGCATATCCACTTCTTGTGCTTCGATTAATGCCCAATGGTGAATCTTTGAGTTATCTTTTGGAAGAAAATAAATCTTTTCCTTTCCTTAGCAATTCGTGGTTTAACACTAGCCTGTATGATTGCAGCTTTAATGTCCTCCTTAACTTCGATCTTTAATTCGAGTTCGACTATTTTTACAATTGATATCTGGCAACGCTTTCGTCGAAATGCACACGATTGGGAATTGATGATTGTTGGCAGGTAAACGAAGGAAAGATTTGTTTGGAAAACAATGACATGGAGTTGTATTAAAGAGTTTTCGTCATGATTCTTGTGGGGATATCGATTCTTTGGATTCCAATTATTCGAGCAGCACAAGGTGCAAGATTATTCGATTATATTCAAGCTGTTCAATCATTTTTAGCACCTCCAGTTGCCGCCTGTTATTTACTCGGGGTTTTATGGAAACGAATCAATGAAGAAGTAATTTATTCAGAATAGAAATTTTTTATAATTTCGATTTCAGGGAGCATTTTGGGGTTTGATATCTGGTTTATTTATTGGAATATTTCGATTCATTTGGGAATACTCCTATACTGCAATGCCTTGTCGACTCGAGCATCTGGATAAACGTCCATCAGTAGTTCGATTTAATTTTCTGTATTTTTCAGTTCTTCTTTTCATAATCTCTGGTATTGTAACTATCGTTGTCAGTCTTCTGACAAAACCTATTCCAGAAAAATATGTAAGTTTTAATTGATTTCCGTGATAGAATGCAAATGTGATGTCTAGATATTCGGTTTAACCATTTTTGATCTTGATAATCCGGAAAAAGCAATTGAAATTCCTACTCGACCTGGATGTATGCATAAAGCAAATACATATTGTGATGAAGAACAACCTTCTTCCTTTGAGAATTCATCTTCAGATCATATCGATGAATCTCCTACTGAAACTGAAAAGAAAACTTTACATTTTTTCGAAACAGGTACCAATATCAAATCTTTTTCTTGCGAATCACGGACATCTTTTCTTTCAGACGATTCTACGGGAATTTGTTTTTACTTAAAAACAGCTTTTGCTTGGATTTGCGGTTTGGAAAAAACTGATCAACTCGACGGTCAATCAATCTGTTCGGATCGTAATCTACATGATAATACCAGTAATCGACGAAGTATCACTTCAATTCGGGATGATCATGTTTCATCATGGCATAAACAATGTTCCTATGCCGCGATTATTATCCTTTCTTTATGTGCTTTTGTCTGGGCTTTCTTTACTGATTATCGAATACGATTAAGTTAGGAAGGAGAATCATTCAATAAATTTTCTTTATCTGCCAATCCTAAATACATGTCGAATATAAGAGTAACAAAATGAGTCTAAATCGAAGAGAAAGTTAATGAGCCGCTGTTCACATCTGCGCAAGGTTGAAGATGGGTGTGGATTTTGATGATAAGAACACTTACACCCACATCCACACTCACACAGCTTATATCAAAGTTTTTGCATGGCATCATAGATCGATGGTTATTTAAAGATCAGTTCGAATATTACACTTTAATTCCATCAAAAATGCAATTATTTAAGAATCAATAAAGGTACTTGATTTACTCATAACAATTGTCATTCTTATTATGATTTTATAACAAATACGTGAATGCAAAGGTTCTTTCTGATAGTACAACTTATGGCGAAAATCACATGAGTGTGGGTGTGGATGTGTGTAAACTGAAATATGACATCCACACGCCTACGCCCGACTTAAATATAACAAAATAATCGTTTTTATTTGTACTTAAAATGTAAAATAATATTAATAAGATTCAAATCATTTTCAAGCTGCATTTGCTTGAACGCGAATGAGAATAAAAGTTATGCTTCTGTGAGTTTGATATGCTCAACATGAACGACTGAAATATTGAATTTACACTTATGTTCATACCTGGCAAAGAAAAACTTGAATGTTTATCCCACGAATCGTATAATAATAATTCTTCGCTGGAACGATACTGTTCTGTAACTTCAATTTATTCAGACAACAAAATGTCACTTCTTTATTTTATGCAATGGCTTTTGAACTATTCTTTTCTTATTTGAACACTACTAATAACACATCTCCTTTCGTTATTTGACGAAAATCTCCCGAAAGGAGTCGGAAGTATGAGTTAATTCATGGCATTCAACTCAATTCGCAGTCGTTTAGTATTCAATGCGTACTCCTTCTAGTGACGAAGAATCAAGTAAGTGTTCTCTTTTGAACAATACAACATAAGATGTTCTACACGAAGAGTTACTTACAATATATCGATCTAAAATTACTTCATACTTGCGTCGTTTTTCAGAACAAGTTTTTATCAAAGTGGTTTGTCGCTTGCTGGATTCAGTCTGTGTGTTCTAACGTAGTGATGTGCACTTCTCATGAATCGTTGCATTGTAAGAAAGTACAAACTGAACATACAAAATATTTACTAATTCGGTACTTCTACTTCTCATGGGAACCAATTGTCTGATTATAAGAGTAAATAAATATAGAAATGCACTATTCGATCAAATCGGGCGCTGAGTAGACAAGAAAGAACGATGAGAAAAATGAATTTGTTTTCTGAGAACTCCTTAAATGTTTCATTTCTTTTTTATTCTTTCTAAAGGTGCGTGGTGTGGGATCCCATGTATGAGCCCACATCAACACTCACTCCCTTAACAGTATAGCCGTTGAATAACTTTTTCTATTAAGTTGATTGTGATAAAAGCATATACTTTGATTTTCATAACAGCAGCTATAAAGGAATGAATCTTCCACTTTTTATCCAGTAGATCAATATCCAATAAATCAAAATAGCTTCCGGCAAGTTTTATCGCTTATTACCGTATTTGTATGCTACACTAAATACTTTTGAGTTGCTCACAACTTGCGTAGCAATATTTACAGTCGCTGGGGATTTTCAAGACATTGGAAAAGCGGACAGCACTACTGCAACGATCACAACTACTCCTCAACCGCCGGTTCTACAAAACAAATTATATATCGCTTTTGCTATGATCTTTGCTGGCGTCTTCATTCCTGTTCTAGCAGGAACTATTTGTGGTTGTTTGCCATGTTGCTGCTGCATATGTATCATACAGAAAACTTATCGACGTCCATTTCTCTGATTTCTCTCATTGAATTGCAATTGTCCATGTTATCTACCTCGACCAAAATTGAGATTCAAAATAAGACTTGGTTTTCATATTATGTTTATTTCATTTCGATTAATTGCAATCATAATTTATGGAACACTCATTGGCGAAATGCCAACACTGAAAGGTCAGCAGAACACGCGAATATTGGTAATTATCTTCGCAACAACCTGAATTTTTCCATTTTAACTATTCTATTGGATGTATATTACTATCGAGTATGCTGGGCATACGAACCAAATATTGATGTAGACCCATCTCTCACTCGTGAACCAATCTCTCCTAAGCATAAACGATTCATTCCTTATGTATTGATTGAAAATTTTCGAACGGCTGCACTCGGTAATAGAAGATGCAAAAATAGTTTTCAATGTCGAGAGCAAGAATTGGAAGACATAGTGATTTTTTCATTCCACTGATTTTCGACCACAGCCTAGACGGTCACCTGATTACAAAATTTACATCGGTTTTCATCGGACTCAAGCGAACTTTGCCATGCCAATTGTGCATAGCGACATGAAGATCAGTGAGGCTCCTCCGCAAATGTTAGAATTCGGTATTTACTTTGCTCGTTCAATCGCAAGCCCTGAAGGAAAAACAAGCCAATCGGGTGCATATATTTATGCGGAAATTCGTATGGGAAACGCTCTCATGCTTACCAAGTCTGAATTGCACAGAGTAAGAAATTCGAATTCATGGTGGAACGAGTATGACACTGTTTACTATATGCATGACCAAGAAGAAAGAGACGAGTTCTGTGTCAAAAGTCGTGATCAAGTGCTCAAATGGATTATATATGTTGAGTCGCTAATGGATAAAAAACTGAACAATATGGAATGGATATAGAGTTTAATGATACAAAATGTCATTGTATATGAAGCATCGATATTTCTCAACGACCCATTGTGTGTGTTTACATAGATTTTTATGTTGATTCATCAGCGAAACAATAAAAATTTAAATGAAGAGATACATTGTGGTGGATATGTAAGGAGGTGAATGAGAATTTGGTTGTAGGTTTAAATAGTTTATACCTACACCCACCATTTTGAAGATCATGCACAATTCTAATAAATAACTACAGCGGATCAAAATAAAAATAACTATATGAAAAATCACTGTATATTTTTTCGGACAATGTGTGTAATCGATAAGTAGTAGAAGAATGTATAGGAACTATAATGCATATAACTTTTCTTCCTTTCAAATACTCATAAACTATAACAAATAATCAAAAAACCAATAGGTTAACATAGTTTCGGTAGATTTTGATTACATTTAGCAAGACACTGGTTAATGTTCTTTTCTTTTTCTAACAACAAAATAGAGAATTTTACCGAAGCCATTGACATCATCGATCGCTTCTAGGGTGGCACTTTCCACTTGCCATTCGCCACTTGTGACGTCATTCCACATGGATGCAAAGCTCTCTGGAGAATGCCGCATCATTTTGCTGCCAATAGATCCTGATAATTTTTGATGCTCTGCAGGCACAGATGCACCAACTTGTCGCCCTGTAATAGCGTACTTAGCAATGCGAGTAAGCCGTTGGCACACATTTCGTTGAGTCTCTGCATCAAAGAGATGAATGAATGAGCCCACATGAACGTAATCTGCAGGTTCAATAGTTTCAAGAAATTTATCATCAAATATATCACCTACACCGAATACTTTCTTCTCGTTCATCAAGATATCGTCACGGAATAATTCATAGCCTTGTTCAATGAAAAACGGATCTAGATCATAGCCACGAATTTGATCGAGAGAAACTCCATCATAGATCAACTGTCGTACATCTTGGCCAAGACAACAACCAAAATCGATAATTGTTGCATTCTCTTGTTTGGATTTTTCAAGAATCTCTTTGTAAATGGAACTTCTTTGGATTGAATGGTGAAGGAAGCTCCAACGACCAAGACATGGATAATTGTGCTTTTGCCAGGCACGTTCCCGTACACTTACGAGATGATTGCGCAGCTCTGAGATTGGAATAGAAGCGTAGTTAGCAAAGAAAGTTTCCGTAAAAGAATTTATTGGTGGTTCTTCGATATAGTAGACGAATTTTTTGTCTTCGGATTGGTTGTCGAGCATGATAGCAAAAATGACTTTTCTTATCAAAACAAAAAAGAACGCACGTTTTATGAAAATCGGCAGTCGCTGTTAACGATATTTCTATAGAATAGTGTCACGCATCAGCCAGATAAAGAAAAGCAAAGACACCTAAATAACAGAGGAAAATGAAAGAGAAAAACAAATAGGCTAAGGCGGTATGCGTTTGCACATGCAGATTATTGAATGGAGCACATAGAAGTAATGCAGCGTGCCCACAAGTATTTAGAACCACCCGCATAATAAAGAGTTGTCAATGTTCCTTTATATTTTCTTATACCTTCATAGAAAATATTTTTCTTTTCAAAACAGAAATGGGTCGAAAAGTTTTTGAAAATAAAAATTCAAGCAAAAAAGAAAATGATGTGCAATTTCAATGCAATAATAGAGATTTGTGTCTGTGTAGTTTTCTTTTACAGTGAAGTTTGAGTAAGACTATTTGTTCCCAAGAGAATAGCTTGGACAATTTATTTTGTGAAAGATTCCTGATCTGCTTCTGATTTAAGTGAGTGAGTAATCCGTCAGAACATTTCTCTCATTGGTTATCATTATGGTAAATATTGGAGAGTATACTTGCAATGAAGCAGATGGCATTAGCATCTATTTATGTCACAGAGCTGAAATCGCATAATTTTTAATAGAATACGTTTGCATAATTGACTAAAGGCAATCCTTAATTGTTGAGGGATAAAAATAATTTCTTTATTTTCATCGTAGAATAAAATTCGTGCAAAAACTACTCCATAGAGACTACAAAGAGATGTTGCAAGATGGCTACCAGTGCTTATTAGATATTGAAAAATAAAATTTCGAATTTACTATTGTTACTTGATTAACTGCTAGAATGAGTAACGAAGATGATGAAAACGATCAAATTAATTTTATCTCTCATTTACGTACGGTAATTATTCTTGCTGCTCGAAAATCGTCGTCATCAGATATTGATATTGCTGCTGTTGATAAAATAGTCGAAACAACAATAGATTTTGTTAAAAATATTCTTGAACAATTGACAAATCAAAACAAGGCACCATCATTTTCATCAGCTGATTTATTAAATACAATTCGAGTAAGACAAATCTTTTTGTTGTTATAGCACAATGAAATTGAATTTATATTTATTTATTGTCATTTAGCTAAATCCACATTTAATACCTAATCGCAAACTTTATTTTTCTTTTATGGAAACGTTCAATCATCTTTGATATATTTTAGATAAAAAATATTATTTTTATTTTTATTGAATAAATAATAAAATACTTCAATTCAAAATATGGTTTTTATGAAGCCTGAAAGTGCTCTAAAACGAGCAGATGGTCAGTTGTTTTATTTATCTACTGTCTTTATTGTTAAAAATAAAACATTTCCATTTCCATTTTATTTTTATTAGAATTAATCGAAGTAGGTAGAAAACAGCGTGCTTTAGAAACACTTCTTGAAGTTATTAAATCACGACGTCATCGAACATGGACAATAACACATGAACCATTAATGGAGAAACTTTTAGAATTATGTGTTGATCTAAAAAAAAATCAAATTGCAAAAGATGGTCTTCATCAGTATAAAACAATAGCGCAAACAGTTCGTTCAAAACATTTTATTTTAATATACAAGAAAGAGATTCCTTTCTTATTAGGTGTCTGCTAAATCACTGGAACTCGTCATTATGAAATTTCTCAATCAAGGAGAGCTACGTTGTACAAATGCTCGTAAAGAAGCAACCAATGCTCTCGTTGATATTGATGATTTGGAAGTTCTTCAATCACCTGAAAGGTAATAGAATTCGTGTTCAAAAACAAGCTATTTTATAAATAGTTATTATATCATATATTTTCGTTTTCAGTCTTTTATTAAGTGCTGTCAGTGGTGAATCCCAACAAGATCGTACAGATCGTGATATGCTTGCACCATGGTTAAAATTTGTTTGGGAATCATATAAACAATGTCTTGATTTATTGAAAAATAATAATCGTGTCGAAAAAATTTATCAAGAAGTTGCGCAAATGGGTTTTCGCTTTTGTCAACAATATAATAGACGACCTGAATTTCGAAAATTATGCGATACCATTCGAACGCATTTTACACAATCACAAAAATATTCAAAACAAGCATTTAGTGTTGACTTCACAGAACCTACAACACAAGCTCTTCATTTGGAAACACGTCTAATGCAACTTGATACCGCTATTGCTATGGAATTATGGCAGGTATATATTGATTCAAGTCTTACGGAAAATAGGATCTGTAACCTAGAAGAAAAGTACTTGTTAACAGTAATATCAGCTATGATTGAGCGTAATCACGACTGATGAATCAATGAATACTTTGCTAGACTTTCTTCACAGATATATGAACTATCCAATGAGGTAGAATGATGTTTCGTTGGATAAAAACATATAACTATAATGATGAAAATGATGTTTCTTCATCCTAGATTGTTTTTATTTGTTTCGACAGAAGAAATTGATACATTTTGAAATTAATAGAACAGAAACTGAAACGTGAACTGTCTATTTCATTTAGTTTTATTAAATTCTTAAACACATATTTTGCTTTTCTTATATGAAATTACAGTTTAAATAAATAAAAAAACGAAATTAAAAACAATGATGACATATATCTATTCAAATTCTATTAAACAATAAAATTTATTTTAGGAAGCATTCAAAGCAGTTGAAGATATTCATGAATTCACAACGATTTCAAAGAAAACACCAAAACCACCACAATTAGCTGCATATTATAGTAAAGTAGCATTAGTGTTTTTGAAAGCAGGCAACTATGTCTTTCATGCAACAACTGTTCTTAAATTGTATGTTTTACACAAAGAATTGAAAAAAAATATAACACATACTGAATTAACACGTCTATCAACCAAAGCTTGTACGTCTCATATATTCTCAGATAATTCGAAATCCATTTTGTTTTTGTTTTTTAAATATATTTTAGTATTAGCTATACTTTCAATACCATTACCGACACCGCGTACACAAATCGATGAACATTTAGAAACCGAAGAAACATTAAATCAAAGACAAAAACGTTTAACAGGTTTATTAGCATTACAAGAAGTCCCAACACGAGCAACTCTGGTACGTGATATGATAAAACAAGGTGTTTTAAATTTTGTTCATCCTGAACTTAAAAATATGTATGAATGGTTAGAAGTGGAATTTCATCCATTACGTATATCTTCAAAAATGGAAGAAGGAATTCAATTTGTTGAAAATCTTGCTCAACCAGAATACTCACAATATATGCCAGCATTACGTGATGTTACTGTTGTACGTTTACTTCAACAAGTATCACAAGTATACCAAACTATTGAATTAAAACGTTTTATTAGTCTTGCACCACCTATGGATCGTCATCGTTTAGAAAAAATTATTGTTAATGCTGCAAGAAATAATGATGTTCAAGTACACATTGAACATAAATTACAAGCATTAACATTTGGTACTGATCTAAATATGTCAATAGGAAAATCGTCTGGAGTTGATTCTGGTTCAAAAGCAAATATTATTCAAAAAATGCCTAATGAACAAATTCGTCATCAACTTACAGCAATATCACGTGCATTATATTCATGTATCGAAATCATCAATGAAAAATCCAATAAAGAACGTAATGATAAATTAAGACGACAAATAGCACAAACATATCATCATGATGAAGCAATAGAACGAAAAGAAGTATTAAAACGACGTGAACTCATTGAACGTTATAAAGAAGAGAAAGAAAAAAAATACCAAGAGAAAGTAAAAAAACAAAAAAACTCAACTTGCTTATAGAAAAAAAAAGTGAAAAATTTTCCTTTGTATTTATTAGGTAAGAGAAATCGAAATTGATACAGCCAAAAAACGAGTTGAACGTGATGAAGAAGATAAAAATCGCCGTGAAGCTGATCTTCAACGTCGTCTTGTTGAAGCAGCAGTAGAAAAGGAAAAAGAAGAACATCGTTTTGCAATGAAAATGGCTATTGATAAATTACGTGAATCAGAAATAGGTAGAAAAATAATTGAAGTTATTGGTGAAGAAGAACTATATAAATATGATCCAAATTCAATTAATTCCTTACATATCGATGCTGTAATAAAACATAGTCGAGAACAGAAAGAAAAATTAAAAATTCAATATAAGCGAGTTGATTTTATCGTTCGAGCACAGCATGAAAGTGAAGTACTGTTATTACAAAAACAAGCTGAAGACGAAATGAATCTTCGACGTGAAACTCAACTTGCTGAACATCAGCGTACACTTGAAAAACGTGAACGTCTTACACGAATGGTAAACGATAAAAATGCTTTTCTTCGATCAATTGTTGGACAACGTCATCAGGAATATTTACAAGAAATGGAAGAATTTAATCAACGTTTACAAGTTGCCCGTGAACAACGTTTAGAACAGTTACGTCAAGAATATGTTGCAAAGAGAAAAGAAGATTTCAAACGAGACAAAAAATTAGAAAAACTACGCAAACAACAAGAAAAACAGCAAAAAATTGAAGCAGAAAGCAGACGCCAAGTAGAGGAAAGTTTAGCAATAAAACGTTCTATTGATGAAGAAAAAAATAAAAAATTTGCTGAACAAGCTAGAAAACAACGCGAACGTGAAGAGGAAATAGAACGAAGGCTACTAGCTGACAAAGTAAGTTCACATGTTGATGCTTCACCTGTAGGTGGTCGACGAGTTGCTCCTGCCACTGGCACTCATCAACAGGATAAAAATAGACCTGATAGGTATGAGCAGATGAAATATTATTCCAATCGATTGATACATAGATTCGATCATTTTAGTGGGATGTGGCGTCGCAATGCACATGGCAACGAAGAAAAGTCACCGGTACAGACTGATACCAAAGATAGTGGACATACACGAAACGAAGAACAGCGGTAACTTCGCATTTCGATGTACCCTTCTTAATAGCTACATTTATTTGATTTTTGTATTTTTAGTCTACGAATTGGTGGTGAACGACGTTTCGATGATTCATCAAGTAATAAAGGTTCATCCAATGAGCCATGGCGACCTAGAACAAAACCTGATCTACAAAATCGGGATGATCGAAGAGATGATAGACGTGAAGATCGACGAGGGTATTCTTCACAACAACAACAAACACAAGGAGGATCATCTTTCTCGACATCAGAACGAAGAACTGATAGAAATTCGGAAACAGCAGATAAATGGCAAACAGTTGAAAAGAGACGTGCTAATCCGTAAATTAAATAACAATCATGCGCAATACAGTGATTTTCTTTTTTTTTCTCTATTTGATTGAAACAGACCACGAACTAATTATGATCGCCCGTCACAACAACGTTCGGAAGAATTATCTTCCGGAGGAGCTTGGCGAACCAATTCACGCGCGGCACCAGAACAACGAGATGAACCAAAAGATACTGGCCGCAGTGGTCCACAATCATCGACTAATTGGGGTCGATCAGATCAGAATGATAGCTGGCGTACAAGAGAGAGAACCCGTTTGAACAGGTTTGTTTTGCATTTTAAAATATTCTTCTCTGTGCGTTACTAAATGATCAATTTTAGTTGGCGTACCAATGAAGGTGACGAAAATGAAAGTAATACTCCACGTCCCAGTGGTGATAGTGCTCCTTCAAATGATGATCGACGTAATGATCATCGTCGCACTGGCGGTACTTTTGGAACTGATCGTCGTGGACAAAATCGTGATTACGGTGGCGGTAACCGAGAGTAAAATTAGTTTCGTGAACGAAAAGTGAGCTCATATTATTATTATTGTTTATGTTGTTATTGTTGTTGGTTTTTGTTCTTTTCTTCTTAACATCTACTATTTTATTCTGTGTGTTTGTGATTCGTCTTTCTTGACTTTTAAAATTATTCACACTTACCCATTATTTTCCTCCGTTGACTGTTCCCATTTTTTTTGTTGCAGTGAAAAATAATTAACCTAATTAAAATAAAATTCTGTTTTTGTTTTTTCTGGTACATGTCTTTTTCTTCTTCTTCTCCTTACATAAATCAAATACGAGTGAAGAAAACTACGTAATCGACAATGAAAATTTGTTTGCAGATGTTCCGAATTGTTTTATCTCGTCGTTCATTTTCTGTTTTAAAGCAAATTAAAGGAAAAGTTTCATCGAATCCAATTAAAATTGATACTGATATGCAAAATAAGCTCGAACGTCTTTCATTAATTTCGTTTCAAAATGAAACAACAATAAGAAAAGTTGAACAAACCATTCATTCATCGGATATTATTCATCAGGTCAATGTCGATCATCTTCAGCCATTATATACTTTAGCTGAAACCGAATTATGTCCTCTACGACAAACAGATACAATATCAGCTGAAAAAACTCTTCAAACTAAACAAGTGCTTGCGAATGCTACGAAAACTTATGAAGATTATTTAGTTGCACCTATGATTGGTAAACGTGATTCACAAACTGTTGAAAAAGTTGATCAAACAGCATTATAAAGAAATAGGAAATAAAACTAGATGTTTAGGAATTTTTTCTTTTTCTTTCTTGTGTAAAATGTTTTCTCTTCCTTCTAGATGTCATCGTCATTATTTGATCGTATTTTATCGAGCTCTATTAATGTTAAACATCGACTCGAATCTCTGTTAAATATATGCCGCATTTATAAACATCCGTCATGGTTAAGTGATGATTCATGTGACGAATTTTACCGATTTTATGGGCCAGATCTTTCAGATATTCAAGAACTTGAAGATTCTATTGTGTCTATTTCAGTACTAATTGAGCATCTTCAGCATGAACGAAATTCAACGGAAACCTGTGAACCTTTTCCAAACTATCCTTTGTGTAAAAATGGTTGGACATTAAAAGATATCGAACAAATAGAAAAAGAGCAAGTTCTAAATTTAAATATTTTAAATCTAATAAATTTACATTCGTTCAATGCATGCAATAATGAATTAGATAAACAACAATGTTTAAAATCAGAATTAGATGTAAATATTATTTATTTATTTTCTATATGTTGAAGGAAACATTGTGTACAAAACCTAAAACTTAATGGACGTAGGACAAGATAGAAGAATGAGGAGAGATCAGTAAAATTAGATTGAAAACAATTTTTGTATGTAGAAAAATAATATAATTCTTGAAATTCTCACTGTCAGATATGGAAAAGTATCAAAGTCAATGTGAATTAGAACAAATACAATACAGTGGATACCAGTTTAAAGCATCAAATTAGTGATAAAAAAAATTCATATTTAAACAATACAAAACTATTTGATTGTAAATTTGAATCTTACAACAGAGTATTTCGTATAACTGAAAAGTCTTTGAATTTTTAATTTCAGTCGATTTTTCTTTATTCTGTTTTACAAACATAGACACTTATAGATTTCTCAAACTCAATCAAATTTAGATATGAGTAAATATTTTGGAATAACAAGTTACTCTAGTGATTTTAAAAAAGGCATCCAAATAAACTGCTAATATTTAATATAATTTATTTAGAATACACACATAATATCAAACGATCGTAGGCATTTGAATACAAGGTCACTATCAACCATTCCAAATTCATGTTTATCGTGTACTACAAATAAAAATCTCCTTGATCTTCCAATAGAACTTCTTCTTCACATATTTTCATTTATATCTCCTTTTGAACTCATAACAAATCTTGCACCTACTTGCCGTTATTTTGCAAGTCTTGTTTTGAATCATGTTTATACTCACATTGATCTGTACAAAGCAGCTTCTGTTTTTGATGTAACACGTTTATTATCTTATCTAACATGTCTTCGAACCATAGCATTTATTAATTGGGACAATGAAGTAAGTATTCTTGCATGGGCTATATGGTTTGATAGAATTTCTAAGGCAACTTCTAATCTTCATACAATCCGTTTTCAAAATGTTTATATTTCTCCGATATTAATTTGTTTTATTGTTGAATATTTTCCTCATTGTTTACAATCAATTATATTCGATTATCAACAAGTTAAATCCTATGAAAGATTCGATTTAATTCTATCATTGCTTGCCGATAAAACAATTCAATTAAAACATATAACTGCTTCATACCAAACAGGAATCACTAATTTTGGCATTTTACAACTTGTTAATAACTTGAATATGGTTGTAGAATTAAATTTGCTTTATATTGAAGCAATTAATGATGAGTAAGATTATTTTCTGCTTTAAAATAATAAAATCAAGAATTACTAAGCCCTATTTTAATATATATATATATATATAGGACAGTAAAAATTTTATGTGATAAGCATAATACTTATTTGGAAATACTCAAAATTGATGGTGCTCAATTAACAGACAAAGCTTTGGAATATATTGATTGTTGTCGAAAATTGAAATCATTTATGATTGAGTTTTGTACAAATATGATAGGCTCCAATTTTTATATATTCCAAGTTAGTTAAATTGTTTTTTTTTGTATATTTTCATAATTTTATTATGATTTCGATTTATTTTATATAGAATTTTGATAATCTTAAAGAATTATGTTTATCAAAATTAACTAATGCATCATTGGAATCATTTCAACTATTGTTTGACGGAAAGCATATTTTTAGAAATTTAGCTCTGCTTAAATTAGGCGAATGTCATTCAATCGATGATAATTGCGTTCGATCAATTATCACAATGTAAGTGGTTTTTTTCCTTTTGTCGATATGCTTCTTCTTTTACCTTTTTTCGAAAATTTTTATTTTATAGGTGTCCTCGTCTCATTGATTTCATGTGTTCATGGGCATATAGTCTAACTGATGATAGTTTCAATGAGATAGCCATGCGATGTCAGCATCTTCGACGTTTATCATTAGTAGGTTGCCATCAAATTTATGGTCGAATATTAGATTATGTACCGGAAAAATATTTTCATCATATAGAATATCTTAATTTTGAACAATGTAATCAAATAGAAGATGAACTTTTAATTAAATTATATAAAAGAAAAAAATCGATATCCATTATTAATTATTATGGAACATCTGTTGATGACGATGATGATGATGATCATGACGATGATGAGGATGATTTAAAAAGTTTTTAATATATATTTTTTCCATGCATTTCTTTTAATATATGTTGTCTGTATATATTATCCCTTAAATGTACCGCAAACAGAGAATGGAATAAATAAATAAATAAATTGAATGCTCAATTAATATTGAATTAAATACTTTTTTCAATTTGTCTCTATCGTTATCTACGATTGATGCGCATTTCACGTTCATATAATGAGTTTTTTTTCGATTTAATAAAGAAGACTATGACCAAAACCGAAAAAAAAGCAAAAATCCTTGATTTGTAGGTCTCTGTAATTGTCTGTTTTTTTAAGCATTTTAATAATTGCAGTTCTTTGATCTGATAAGGTCATCAGTCGTTCTATACGATTTCAACGGGCATACGTGCATGTAAACGTTCAATATTGTCACGCACCATCAATAAATGACACGACAAATGTGCCACGCCACGCATCTATATACATACAGAGAGGTAGGTTGTGAAGACAATGCTCAATTGATTGAAGTCGCTTATTTTAAGGTGTGCATACAAACATATAAGCAGCGTGCGTTAAAAATGAATAAGTGGTCAACATCATTACCGTCGATGATCTCATTGTGTAGTGATGTACAATTTCAATTCGATCCTATGTTTATGCAACAAAGTAGAATATCAAGAGACACATCAATATCATCATCAAATAAAAATCTACATGATGGCGGAGGTTCTATGAGCGATTTATCAATACTTATTCAAGCTGAGCAATCATTTCAGAATTATGATGAATATTCAAATAATTATTCATCATTGTTAAAACCATCCTGTTCATTGTTTAATACATCTATCGAACATGAAACAACAATACAAGCAGATCTATCTTCACATAATCACTATGTACCTGAGAACGAATTATTACAATCATTGGTTGCTTATGCGGATAGTTTTTATGTAGATCCTGCTGATTATAAAAGACAAAATGCAAAACAACAGCCCGTGGCACCAACATCAATTCCGACAATGCGAACAATACCAAGGCGAAGAACACAATCATCAGCAGTTCATATAAAATCAATGGTTGAAAATGATCCACTAGCACGACATAAAAGTTGTGATGATCTATCAATAGCATGTACTGTATCAAGTCCTAGTAAGCCAACAACTGTGATACAACGAGAAAAAAATTTAGTAAAAAAACATTACACTAAATTTGTACCATCGAAATCGCATCCACAATTCTTTTTCGCTACAAAAGCAGATGAGGATGATCATAATGAAAATGAAAATGAAAATGATAATAATAATATTAATCATGCTTTGGAAAGAATTCATCAAGAGAAACTAACCGACGATGTTATAACAACAGCAGCAGATGGTTCAAAATTTGAATGGGAATATTCATCAGATACAATGAACGAATTTAACAAACAATCAACAGAATTATGTCATAATTATGAAGCAACAACTAATATTGGTGAAATTAATAGGAATTATTTAAGAGATCTTGAACGGTCTTCGTCTATGGCTGCTTCTATGGATTTTTCTCAGGAACTTTCTACACCAATTCCACCTCCACCCGTTATCATACGTAGGAAAAGTAAAGATTTTATATTTAAACAACAAGTTGATATACAATTACTTCGTCCACCAACTCCTCCACCACCAGCTCCAATTATTATTCGAGAAGTTCGTCGTAAGCCATCTCAAATTCATAAGCCAATAACAATACATCAGAAACTAGAAAATACAGGCCAAATCCACATATCTAAAACACCATCTCCTATTATAATTCGTGAACGTCCACCACTTCCACCTAAACGGGAATATTCGTCCAAACCAACTATTTTGTATCGTCATTTACCAACTCCACCTCCATCGCCGCCAACTGTCATTGTTGAACGTCTTCGGCCACAGGCGTTAAATATCATACAAAAACCACCATCAATTTTAGTTGAAAAATGGTTACCGTATCCACCTGAACAACAACGTAAAATAATTTATGAGAAAGCATCACCGTTACCGTGGCGACATAAATATCTTACTAATGAACAAGCAAAAAACATTATTGTCGAATATGACGATGTTAATGTTATTATTAATAAGGATGTAAAACAGCGACAAGAAATAAAACGTGTTAGGCCAGATCAATATGTACAACAATTTGGAAATTCATTGTATTCGAACGAAACCCTCAATCAACTATTAACTGATTTTACTTTTGCATCATACGTATGTTTTGAGATTGTTTCTACCTTATTTTTTACCACTTATTATAATTATTTAGAGATAGTACCATCGAGTAGACTGGGGCTTGCCAGAGAGAGAGAGAGAGAGTATGTCTAAAATAGCCATTCGTGTTTTCAAGATAGCTCTAACTTTCTGTATGATTGCATTTTAATGCATTAGTAACACATCAACATTTGTCCGATTAGGCTGAAAACTGTTTTTGATAATAAGTAAAATTGTATGTATTCGACGTTTGCTTAGAACTTTCCATGAAATCTCAGTTTTTTTTTATATAAAAACAAATTTGGAAGTTCAGAGTTAAAATCAATGGTCCAACAAGAAAAATGATAGTATCTCATTCTGTAGTAAAGCTTTACTCTGATCGATTCAATTCTCATGAAGAATCAGACGTTGACTAAAAAGAGAATGCATCTTAAAATGATTCGCTTATAATATTTATTTCATTCCTACTCAAATATATTTTAGGCGAAGAACGAAAATCCAATTCTGTCACATCCAAGTTACTATGAAAATTATTCACCAATGTTTCATTGATTATTCGATCATTAATACTAGGACAAAAATAATGATAACCAAAGTGTCATTTTTTTGTCCTCGTCATGACAATCCCACTGAACTATTTACTTCTCTCTCGTTCAAGATACTTGTACGTGTGTACTTAAAAAAAACTACGAGAAGTATTCATCGTATTCTTATAAAACATTTATGTTAAGCTTTTTTTCGTTTTTGGATTATGCCGTGGAAAAGAAAGGAAGAAAAAGAAAGCTGAAATAATTTGTGCATGAATTTTTTTATCTTTTCATTCAATTAATTCTAATAAATCAAATTTAGATATAAAAATAAATGTGGAAACTTCAGATTTCATCCGATAGTTATGTGTACTGCAAAGAGTGCATGGGACATATGGGTCATTCTAGAATGTCTGAACACCAAAATTATCATGAGAAACTAGGCAATTTGATTTCTGGATGGAGTTTTTGTGCATTTTGAGACGTTTTCAGGCGATGTTTCGTCAGAAAGCTACGATTTAGTTCAAAACTAATATCAGATTCAGAATCAGCGTTAAAAACTGAGCCGATTTATATATGTTGTGAATAATTCTGAGAAAAATTTGTTTTTTGAAAAAATTCCCTGTACCCCGCCCCTCCTCAGGGATGGCCTGGCCAAAAATGACAATTTTTTCGATAACTCAACCATTTCTTGGCGGATTCTTCTCATCTTCGAACTAGACCGAGATATTTATGAGATTGAACTGTGTGGAAAATTTCATCCCGATCTGACTCTCGTTTCGAAAGTTATCGTGTAAACGGCGGGCCGGACGGACACTGGGCGATTCTAGAGTGTACTCACTTTTTGAGTACACTAAAAAGTAACCTATATAGACACCTGCACACTCGCGTTATTCCAACTTTTAGTAATTGTACATTGTGTAATGAAAAAAGTTTCTTTCAGTTTCTTTATATAAAGAAAAAAAAACACAATGAAAAAATATGCAAAAATCCCTTGTGTTAGTTTCGAGATGGATCCAATTTGTTAATATGATATTTTTATGAATGAAATAAAAGAAAATCTAACGGGCATATTTTCAAGAGTTTCTTCTCTTGGTAACAAATTCTTTATTAAATGAATAGATCATCTTTGAAGTTGAATTCTATGAATAATTAAATATCGCTCAAATGACTTGTTGGTTTCATTTACAAGTCGTTTAAATTTTCTCAAATGGTCGTCGAAGAAATTTATCAATATATGTTTTACATGCTGCCGATTTTCCTAATTAAATATGATCTCATCCTATATTATATCGAAGAGACAGTTAGATATCTTTTTCCCGGTAAGAAAATCTCAATAGAATTGTTTTTATTCTAAATAAATGAAAGATATATGAATAAATCACTGAATATATTAAATAAGTTTGATTTCTATTTTATGTTTAATTATGAATATGTAAAAGAAAAAACAACCGTTTACACAAATTAATGTAAATAAAGAGAAAACAGGAAATATATTTAATGACTACTTCAAGGAGACAGCAGAATAATTTCTCGAAGACAAATAAAAGATAGAAAGCAAATCAGCAAATAAGATATCCGTAGGAAGTATGTTTTGTTCACCGTTTAATAATTCACAATCTTCTAGTCGGACAACAGAAGAAGAGAGAGAACAGTAAATCATCTTTGCTATTGGTGTGTTCCTCACGCGGATAATATTAACTTCAAGGATGTTCAAGTTTTAAAATTTAATGGCGAATTGCTTCTCTGGCTGTCATTGTCTTAGCACCTACAAGCAATCGTGATTTTGTTTTGGAGAAAAATAAGATCTTTCTGAAGTTTAGTTACATACTTACACTGATTAGTGCATTGAATACAGCAATCAGCGTGAACGTGAGGGTACGACTAAACTGCAGTAGTACCCAATCAATGGACTCAATAGCACCATTTGTATTTAAAAAGTAGATCGCATTATGCATCAAATGTGACTTTTGTTAATTATAATTCTATGTTCATATTGATTCCTCACTCTAGAATCAATAAAAAAGAACATTATTTCCATTTTTATCAGCAAGAATAAATTTTAATCGATAATCATTGAACGAACACTTGAAGATTCTGGAATACTCTATTTTTCTAAAACTATCGAATAATCTTGTTCAAATACATTTGTCAATTGTAATGAAATAAAAAAGAATTCATATACTCATTCCCAAATCGTGCGTGGAAGTGTCGCGTATAAGTTTCCTATATAATTAGTGAACACGACTGAAAGGCATCTGAATTTGTAAAAGGATACTATTGTCAACAGATGAGCAATGTGATATAAAGCAAACGGTTTTTATATTAGATATCCTGTTTTAAGGTTTCTTAATATCGAAATCAACAATATTCTGGGCTCATCTTCATATCTCATTTGCTTTCAATGATATTTTTCAATATAGAAGAGGATCCAACAGGGGGATAGATAACATGGCTAGAGAAAAGATTTAGATCCCAGATGAAATTATCTTAAAACATTGACCTTATAGTCGAATATTGACTGTATGTTAGATTCAATCAAGAAAAATTAGTTTAATTTCAACTTTCAATTTTATGCCTTGCAACAAAGAAAATATTCGAGTTTTTCCGACATTTAAATATTAAAAAATTCAATTGAATATCTTTTAGTTTTATTCATATGTAAATATGAAGAATTTACAATAACAGAATTTTCTAATATAATTAACGTATTATTAAAGCCAGATTTCAATTGCAATGGAAGAAACTCGTAATCGAAATGGTCGACTAAGTGGATAATGATGTAGTTGTCGTCGGATTAAATGTGGAAAACGAGGTGTATCAGAGTATTTCGAATTGGAGAAGCTGATACGTAGCACAACGAGTTTTTTTGTAATTGATCAACAAGTAGATAAATAAGAGTAACAATACGTTTTGTAGATTTGTTTTTCCCATCAACAATACTAGATGGTGTCCACCGCCATCGAGCATATGCATCACAAATAGAAAATGAAAGTTTCTTCAAGTTAGGTAATCGATTCGACAACAATGTGCAAATTCGTTGAGCATTTTGCAATGTCAATGTTATATCGAAGATCTCAAATGATTTTATCTAATTAACAGAAAATATAATTTATCTCAAGAAAATAAAAATATTATTTTAGTTATCTAATAAGTTGAAATCTTTAATCTTTTTCTTTCTACATTAAATTTTAGGAAAATATTTTCTTAAAAGAAAATTTGAACATTCGTTCAAATAAAATTTAGAGAAAAAATAGTTTCATTGAGATTTTTCTCTTAAAATAGAAATAGAAATAGAAATCGTTACTTGTTGATTGATAAGAGTTGCGAGATTATGATTATTTAATATTGGTCGCAGTAACATTCCTCTATCATCAAACAAATCTAGTGTGTGTACATTATAAGCCATCCTTAATATTGATTCCAACGTGGCCGCAGTAAGAACATTACTATGATTGATTGAAATATTTGTTATAGATGGCCACGGAACTAATGATGATATAGAACTTCTACAATTACCGAGATCTCGAACACAACTGATCTTCTTATAACCACGCAGAGATAATGTATCAGCGCGTGGAAATAAATCTACTGGATTAATCGGCATTTGACAGCACCTTAATAAGAAGAGAAAAAAAGATTTCTATTAATCTTTTATATAAATAAATATTTTCTAGATACTTTTCAAGATTTGTAGAGAATATGTATGATGAAAGAATTGCGTTATTGTATGGTAAAGTATACACTCTAAAACAATGATATGTTGAACCGGCATCTTGATCATCAAATTCTTGAATGAACACCCTCGGTCGCTGCCGATGAATAAATGGAACTTTAAAAAATGAATTGAAAATTATTTTTTCTTCAAAGTCACCCGTAATGTATAATAATAGATTAAGAATACAAGTTGCCGTTGGTCGGAGACGATCGATACACAATTGTTGAATAATGTCACCTGATATCATCAACGGATCAGAAATTGATGTAAATGCTTCTGATTTTAATGACAAACGACAAAGTTGGCCGAACACAGATGATAAAAGTGCAATAATTCGATGAAAACTTATGTTATTCATACAATTTATACGTAGACGAGATAGATATCGAAGAAGATGAGCATCAATAGTAGTACGCAACCTAAAAAGATTCATGTAATTGGCAATTTTATCAATGTCAGTTGTTACTTACAAGATTGTATCATGTGCATCATTCTCATTACTATCTCGATCTTTTATGCCAAAAAAAAAGATTCTCGATGAATGGTATACATAATAGTAAACGCTCGAGAAAATGTGACGCGTATACCAATAGTCAATGTACGAAGATGATTTGTATTTAATAAATTCGGCAAAGCTATTTGATATTATAATGAATCGTTTTCTACTTGATTAACATTGATATCATTATAATCAAAAGGAAGTCGACAAATTTTTAGAAGAGGCATTCTTGAACACACCTATTATTAAATTAAGAGAAATTAGATTTTATAAATCGTTATATCAATATGCTTTTGCTAATAGAAAAAGAAATCAGAATTCCATAGTGAATCAATGTAGTTCTTTTCTTACCTTAGCTAGATAAACTCCTTCGATTTGAAGACAATTGAATGAACTAGATGACGTCACATCAACTAATAAAATATTTAAGTGTTTTATTACATGATTGCGCAATAATTTATCGAATTCATGTGGTTTAATGTCAATCAGATGTAAACGTTGAAGCAATGTTATCTGATGATACTGAAGATAAGATGAAACAAATGACCATCCACCAATAACATGGATTAATGTTAAACGTAATGAGACAACCCGACCTCCTATTAATTTCAAGATATTTTGACATTGATCATTAAACATCGATAATGACATTGTTGTATCACCAATATGAATGTTCCATAAATATTCATTTGATATGACTCTTGACAAACGTTTAGTCAATGAAAACAATGATTGAAGAATATCAACTGGAGACAAATAAGCAAAAATTTCATAAAGAATATCGTCAGGTAAAATTTCGAATGAACTAACGCTCATGTTTTTTTTATATTTCAGTTGTAGATTCATACAGAGTCGTTGTACACTGACATAGGCTCCAAACAGACTGAACAAAGTCAGACAAATTAAGGGGTCAAACAGACTAGAAAAAGTGAATTAACTTAATTCTGAATTAACCGATCTAAGTCGGAATAGATCAATCACGTTGCTTCTTAATTCAACTTTAAGTTAATTCATATTTTTCAGTCTGTTTGGGGTCATACACAATGGCATACTTCCGTCTATTTTATTTCACGCATCATTTTTTTTTCTCATTTCTCTTTCTTTCCAAACAGATCAACCTGAAGAAACACAAAAGCATTATGTAGTTTTTTGTTTTAGCTCTAAATATAGTCACTGATCCAAATTCCATCACCACGTTTAAAATTTGCCGTAGAATCCCGGTATCTCAACTTTCCTGCGTCTGCTTGAGCTCATTTTTGATATCGGGATGGATCAAACATTTCTCTATTGATTTACGTGATTTTCATAAAAAATCAATAAGATTTGAGCGAGCAGCAGCTGAAACACAGACCTAATTTCAATTTTGTTCCGTTCTGTCCTCTTCCTAATTCCATCATTTCCAGCAAAAATATACAAATTCGTCGAAAAAACCATATTTTCGGTCATAAAATCGTAATTTTTCCGATTGAAACTCATGTGATCAGATTCATCACATCGAGCTCTATCTATTGATATGCTTTTCATCTCAACCAGACGGCATCTTCATAATCTTTTCCGTGTTTTAATCGAAATTGTCTTGTGATAGAATTTTCTTATGCGTCATAATTCCATCACCCCAGCTATTTTCTCTTCCTTATTTCATCACGCAAGCAAAAATACATGGAGTTTCGGTGTTGATCAGAAAAAAAGTGTTGGCGATAGGTGAAAGTACAGAATTTCATTGAACAGTTGGAACAAAAAGTGTAGACACAATCAAGGGCTATCGAAATCTATGACGAGCAGCAGAAGTTTCCATTTCGCTATTGTGAATTTGAGGTTATGAGTAAAACTACCTATTTTTCAATGCATTTCATTTTTCTTTAGTTTATTACTGATCTACGTCGCCCTTCAATGGTCCTGATGAAATCAATAGTTCATATTTCACTAAGTAGCATTCAGCATCATTGGAAAATAAAAAGGAGAGATATTACATCTCTCTCTAATTGAGAATATGTAGCGTCATTACATTGATTAATCCAATAGTAATTAATGTGACTTAAACTAATTTTTTTTAACACAATTAGTCAACACCGAAATTCCATGTATTTTTGCTTGTATGATGAAATAAGGAAGATAAAATAGCTGGAGCGATGGAATTAAGACGCATAAAAGAATTCCATCACAAGACAATTTTGATTAAAACAAGGAAAAGATTATGAAGATGCCGTCTGGTCGTGATGAAAAGCATATCAATAGATAGAGCTCGACGTGATGAATCTGATCGCATGAGTTTCAATCGAAAAAGTTACGATTTTATGATCGAAAATATGTTTTTTTCGACGAATTTGTATATTTTTTCTGGAATGATGGAATTAGGGAAGAAGAATAGCTGCTGTGATGAAATTGGGAAGTGAACAGAACGAAACAAAATTGAAAGTAGATCTTTGTGTTTCGACTACTGCTCACTTAAATATTGTTATTTTTCGATGAAAATTATATGGGTCGATAGAGAAATGTTTGATGCATTGTGGAATCAAAAAATGAGTTCAAACGGATGCAGGGTAGTTGACATATTTGGGTTTTTTTGACAAACTTTCAAAAATTGTGATGGAATTTGGATCAGTCACTCTAGTCATTTAAAATAAAATAATTTAATGTTATTGTTCAAACTTAATTTAAACGAAAAATCGAATGCGGGCTTCTGCAGCATGAAAGCGATTTTTCGGGACTTTTTCAAACGAATACGGGTTTTCGGGACCGAGGAACTCGAGCCTGAGTTCCATTTCCCTCGAAATCTAATTGATCAACCAGAAACCAAGAGAAATCGAGTTTTCCAGAGAATTGCTTCCCACGGGTAATTTGAGGTGGAGATCCTATCGGTTGGCCAGAAACTAACGGAAATTCAACTTTCTGAAAAATGGTTTTCCACGGGAAACTCGAGCTAGAGCGTTCGAATCCGACCTCCATTTTGCAAAAATCAAGATCGCAATTGATTACTGACCGATTAATAACGCGTCAAGAAAAAAGCCGCTCATATTTGAAGTTCCCACACAGAATTACGCCTTGGAGACCATTTCTCATAAAAGTCGTTTTCTATTGATTCCTCTCCAACCAATAGGGTTTTGAGGCGAATAAAGTTCAAATCCGAACTCCGCACGTCAAATTGCCTATAAGCAGCCGTTTTTTAAAAAACTCGTTTCTAATTGGTTTCTGGCTGACCAATTGGGTTTCGAGTGAAATAGAGCTCAGGCTCGAATTCTTCGGTCTCGAAAACCCATAGTAGTTTTGAAACAAAAAATTTTGATTTGCGAAAATTGGAATAAGGTGATACTTACACAGAAAACTGCAGAAAATAATGATATTTATTGCTGTAACTCAGTAAATCCTTGACGAATTTATCTCATCGTCGAACTCGACTGAGATATTGATGAGATCATTCGGTATACAAAATTTCATGACAATCATATGAGCCTTTTAGAAATTATCGTGTTAACGGCCGGACATACTAACCGATTCTAGAGTATACTCACTTTTTGAGTACACAATAATTTCATTTTGATATACTATTGCGAGTAATACAAAATCTCAATGCTTTAAAATAGATTAAAAGTAAAATCATCAGAACTGCGATATTTTAAAACTTCTATTGAAGCAAAATATTCTGTCAAGTTGAAAATAACTAAACACGATAGGCATATGTTGAATCGACACGTCTTGGCGAACTATTCTATAATAAATATGGTTTATGAACGCTCAAGTGTTGTTTGAAAATTTATTAGTACCATTAAAACATCAATAAACCTATTATATATTCGAATAGATACGAAATTATGGAATTCTAGTGAATATCCTTAAAATAAAATAATTTCTTTTTTGAACTAGTGAACTTCGATTATTTTTCATCTACTAATTTTAGTAAGTAATATTATACTTATTGATAGTATAGAATAACCGCCAAAAGTGATTTCAACTCATTACTATAGCGTAATTTATTCATTTTGACAAAATACAGACAATTATAGCATCACATATTAAATAAGAAAAGAAAAGAAAAGAATAAATTTCAGTTAAGAAAAAAAATTGGAGTATTATAATATATTTAAAATTCAACTATTTGTTGAAATTACATTAATTTCCATGGAGTAAGAGCTAAAACTAAAAGAGAATACCAGAAATGCATTCGTCATAGAATAAAATAATTTACAACAATGATAACGCCATTTTTTTACGGTCAGGTTCCTGTGCAAATTGTTTGTTCTCTCCATATCTATTTAGCTGCACACCCTCAACATAACGAGCAATAGCTAGACAATAGATGATAAATAATATATTCAAATACTTAAAAATAGAAATGAATCTTCTTCTATGAAACTGCTGGCGCGCAAGAGAACCAACACGAATAAAACCTAGTTAACAATTGATGACATGACTATCGTTATTACATTCGAAGATGGCCATTGACTATTGTTTGTCTGTTTCATGAGAATGCATCACTATTAATAGATACAGAAACGCAGAACGAAAAAATCTAGGGTACTAACTAGATATTTTCGCTATGAATGACTAACTAATTTTAGCGAACAATGACATAATAATCTTTGTCTTCACTCTTTTCACTTCAATAGCTTTAGTCTGCCGAAGAAAAAATAATGAATAAAGGCCCGTTTATTAGAATAAGCTCTGCGAATATCTACTTTTATCAAGTAGGCTACATTTGTATATCTATAGAATGAATTGAATGTTGCATGTATAAATCATACAGGTATCGCTCAAATAGTAAACATCAATTTATTCATTCATTCATCTCAACATGAAGCAATAATTTAGTCGAATAGTTTGGCAAAACTTTTACATAGAAACATTCTAATTATTCATCTGATACTTCTGAATAAGTTTATTATATATCGCTTTTTTTATATGATATGCAAAATAAAACAGATCTATGATAGTACATTTTGGCATAGTCTAAATTTTTCGAGAATCATTATCATGTATATCATCATTGTCTTTCTTCTCATGTAATCAAAATACTTTTGATAGCAAGAAACAATTGAAATTGTTCAGTTATTCTTTCTTTAATCATGCAATGATCATGCTACAAAAATAAAACGGTTGAAATACATTCGATCTCATAAATTAGATATATTTCTTGATAACTAGCAATTTTTTTCCTAATTCTCGTAAATAAATAGTAAGTAATAACTTCCCTTGTATCACTTGGTAAACTCTGTTTCATATTTGTTGATCAGACAATGAAAAAGTTGAACGTACAATATCATTCTTTTTTGTAATAAACGTTTCTTAATTATTTAGTTCAATCACATATAATCATAAATTTCGAAAAACAAAAACTTTTTTCCTTGTTGTTACGATACCGACTTTCGCTATGAGGATCTAAAAACTCGAAGGAAATCTACGATAAAATATTTTTTTGCCAATATAGATCACGACAAATAAGGTATTGATGTATTAGATTCATCAGTTTATTAAAAGATATTATTTCCGTATTTGTTTGTAGTACATCCCTTCACATTTTATTATAAGAACGTCAACCGATGATAATAAAATATATGCGATTACAAAAGCCAAATAAAAAGAACCGAACCAATTATCTGATGCACCACTAATGAAAAGAATACCTTTCGCATCATAACTATATGTGTATAAGTATATATATATATATATAAAAGGATTATTTCTTTTTAAGATTTCCACTTGTAACTAATTTTTGATCGATATTCTTGAGTTGACTTTGAAGCGAATCAAGATTGGATTCAAATGTTGTTTTTAGCTAAAAATAAAAAAGAATAAATAAAGATATTAGCTCAAACAAAAACTTCTTAACGAGGTCATTGGCGAGCTGAAACGTACAACTCACATATGCTTTTTAGCATCAACATAATAATACGAAATAAGTGAAGAGAACAAGATGTAGCTAATGATATCAATTATGATGGTAACAATCTAACTTGTTACTTTTTGTATTTCGAACAAAAACTTTCTATTTGACTTATTGTAATTAACTTCTTGTTTTTGAATTTTTCTCTTTATTTAACATCACTATACTACGTATGAATGATGTCTATAATATTGTGTAACTCAATAAGCTGAAAAACTCTGAGCTAGGTTCTTTCTTGAAGTTAGAACTGATACCATCGACGCTTTTCATGTTAGGTATATAACGACTAAATATTTTCAAGGTGTCATTCTTTGCAACTTGATTGTAATTATTTTTGTGCATCAAATTCTACTATCGAAAACATTGTCAAACATATCGTAATCAGTCAAATATTCGTAAATAACTCATGTCTTGTTGTTACTAACAAACTTTGGAAAACAAGTCACTCGCTGATGGTGTTGCCATCCTCGTGTTGAATAGCGTAGATTCTTTAGTTTTTATTCGTTGACACTGCAAACCTATGAAGGACAGTATCAACAAAGTTTCAATTGAGAGCTTACTCACTGTGTTTTTTCGAAAAAACATAATGTGAAATGCGTAATAAAAAAAAAGTAAAATCTTACTTGTTTTATAAGTTGATCATTGGCATTAAGTGATGTTTTTAATGCTTGTTGTTCAGCCTCATAGTGCGAAAGTGCCGTACTGAATTGAAAAGCTAAATAAAAGAATATATGAAAGGATTTTTTCGAGCATCAAATATTTTACCCTGTTGATGAAGTTCATTGAGCGCTATTAAACGCTGTTGAATAATTGGTAAATTAGCAGCCATTGTTTCCCAACGTGACATCATATCGAACAACTCTACGGCCTATTATTAGAAATCAAATGATTTAAAAAATAAGCTGAATCACTGATCTTCTGTTATTACTTTGCTTTGTTTATCTTGTTCATCAACAAGTGTCTTTTTATCATTAATTGAATTTAAACGCGTAAGAACATTTGATAGTTTTGCATCAATACCATCAATATTTGTTCCATCAAGTAAATTGACACGTGTTGTTAATTGTTCAAGTGAACTCTTAAAGAAAGAACGAATGAAACGCATTTTTTTCATATTATTCTATTTACTAATAAAGATTTCGATTCAATCTGAAATTAAAAACAAAAACAATGAATAAAATATAAATATAAAAATGATTATTACCGGTTGTTGTTCATTAAGGCCAACTAAATTTTCAAGTTTCGATATTTTTTGTTCGATTTCCGAAAGCTAAACATCGACGATTGGTTTAGTAATTTTCTTTTATTAAAAGTACTATCTTACTTGAAAAGGTGACGTAGATGAGTTTGCAACTGTTGCAGGATTTATATATAATTTAAATGTATCAGAATTATTTTGTCCTGCATTTGTTTGTTTTGCTTCTTGTTTTGATGCTACCAACTTTGCAAGCAATCCACTAAAATAAAAAAAGGTAATTATAGATTTGTTCTTATTGAAATCTATATGATACTAACCTCGTATCACGTTCATTGAGAAGAAATTTAGCTCCATAGACTTTCGATGTATGTTCTTGTAATTGTTGTATATGTTGAACAAGAGTATTCAAACTTTCACTCTCTTCTTTATTTAAACTTTCTTTGGATACCTAAAGTATAAATGTGAATAGGGTTGAATAAATCTATTTTAATATTTACCTTATTAAATTCTTCTTCTAATTCTTGTAATTCTGCCATTAAACGTTTATAACGTTCAATTGGAGTTTCACTTTCATTTTCCGCATGCTAATTTAAAAGAAAAAAAAGATTACATATAAATCATAAGAATATGAATAGATCGATGTTTTATTCAGATTTTTCTCTTTGGAAAAAACAACTTAAAAATCTGTTGGAATCAATTCAACTTTCAAAAGAGTGCAACTAGCTCAAGTCGAATAAAACAGTGGAATAGATCATTTACATTTTGATAAATACCATGTTGAACATAACCACGAGCTTTAACTGAACTATCAGAAAAATCTACAAGAAAGAATAAATTAAAACAAAAATAAATCATTCAATAGTTAAACACATACTCGCTACTTTTCCATTAAGATATTTCCCATTAAATGTATCATGAACTTCTTTTGCATTGATATCAAATTGATTTACAGCATCGGAATGGTCATGTCCAACGTCATGAAATTGCTCATTGCCCGGATAATCAGGTGTTTCAAAACAATCCGGTTGATCATTAACCTTGAATAAACGTGCTTTAAGAAAATGAAAACAAAAATTTTTTTTTAATCACACTTACAATTCCAGGTAAATTAACGTAATCAAGTTTTTTCATCATCGTGATATCTAAAAAAGAAAGTCATTCCCTAGTTAAAACAAGAAGGATATATGAAGTACGTAATTGTTAGGCTCCGTTATAGGCCGTAACTTTATTTTAAGTAGATATATCTAAGCAGTGTTGAGAAACACAAACACAAGAAAACAACAAACAGTTCATAGTCGACAAAAAGTATCACACCCGTCACACTAGAGAGAAAAAAACACCATTACACACGGGTATCACTAATCACTCTCGCGCTCTCTCTCCCAGAATCACTTTTTTATTGGAAGAAGAGCAAGATAAAAGATCGTGATTAAGATCAGCAATCGTCCATCTATGTTCATCATATAGATGGCGATCCTGACAGTAATGACAAAACAATGATCCTATTGCTGTTTGTTCTTTTCCTTTTATCTGAATAAAAAAACAAAAAAGAATATATGTCAAGTAGAGATTTACGGAGTTCATATACGATCGTAATACGCAGACATGTATTTCTTTGTATACGGTCGTAAATGACCGTACTTGCTCTACCTGGGATGTGATCGTTCATTCTCAACAATAAACTAAATAAAGTAAATATATATCACGTATCGTATGGTATATAGTATATGTATTAAAAATAAACAACACCATTTGAGTCAAAAGAACAAACCAACGTTGATCAATAAAAACAAAAATTATTTGAATAATTAAAAGTATAATTTGTAATGAACATAATACTAATGGAAAAAAGTATGGTCGACTGAATAAAATTGAAAAACGTGTATGATACACATTACCAGGCTCAGCAACTGATGTACAAGAATTTGATGATCGATAGATATGCTGTTTATGTTTAACGATTGAATTTGGTTGATAAGCTATTTGATTTTTTTCATCCCATGGTTGGATCATAACTGTATTATTATTCTTCGTTAAACAGTGCCATGACCCAAGATGTTTTCCATTACGATGAAAAACAGTTAATAATTCCAAAGGAAGATAATGACTCGTATAGATCATAATTAAACTAATAAATAAAATAACACCATATTGCAAAAGAAGAATCAAATCGAGACGAATATAATATGTATTACAAAATGCTACTGGAACAATACATATGTAATAAGTTGCTAAAAATGATGAAAATAATACATGTCGAATACGTAGTTGAAATTCAATATGAAGACAGTCAGTTTCGGAACGTAAATGACATGCATTTTCTGAACACCAATGCCCTGGTAAATTATCTGAGGAAATTGATACTTGTTGTTGTTGATGATGATGATTTGACTTTGGATTGTTATCTTGATTAATCAGTAATGCACAAAAAAGTGGATAAGTAAAGAGAAGTACATATTTCCATGAATAGTACCAAAATGAATAAATTAATACAACTGCATTAATTATTGCTTGAAGAAGAAATAATTTTTCTTGCAAAGACAAACAAAATATAATCAATATAATCATAACATATCGATCAATGTGATTCCAATGAATAAACGAATCCGTTGGTGTACTAAAAGGACCGATCCATTTTTCTGATTTATATATTAATATATATTGTAGGAAAAGTGTTATAATTTTAAAGACAACAAGACATGATTCAAACAGAAAATCTGATTCAATAAATGGACGGGGCACATAGCGATGTTCGATTTCATTAGTTGATAATGATCCTGAAGACGTGGAACAAAAAGCAACGAGTCGAGCGTGAACAGGTTCATTTTGTTGAACAGAACTTGAACGTGGCGATGGAATAAAGGTTGCAGTCATATTAATATTGCTATTTCGTTGATGCATTTGTATTCTAAATTGTTGAGCATTGATTCATCGTAAGTGCAGAACCGAACGGTTAGTCAAATATACATACATACATCAGACGTTTAAAAAGAACAGGATTGGATTTTATCCAACCATGTTTCACCATCAAAGGGACATCTACTATTGCTATTATTGATGTCGCATGTAAATAACATGATATAACACGGATAGGAAACTTGGTTTAATATGTTGTGATGTTCACGGGAGTCGAACGAAGTTTCTTTCTTTTGTACAATCGGCAGCAAATTGACTTTTCACCGGTGACATCTATTTTTATGTTTTCCCTGTAAATATTTTTTCTCTAATATGATCAGTGTAAAAATGTAACATTATTATCAAGACCTCCTTTTTAGACTATCTCATTGGATCAAAATTGCATCTTGCAATATACGTGTTTTCTTTCTACCCAGAGGAATATCATTCTGACTATTGTGTCCGATCGGATTTTATATCAATTTCTATAAAAAAACCGGCGGATTTCTGTAGAAATCCAGCTCATAGGACGATTTGCGGATTCCTAATATTGTGATCCGATCATATCTTACTGTCGGATCCTACGGAACCCATATCAGTGGATTTTATTGATCTCTAGTGTTAACTTCAGATACTAAGTGCACAGGTGAAAGAGACATGGTCGTAAACGGGCTATTTCAGTTAATAGTTTCGCCTTTTGGTATGGATTGCATTACGGTCGTTTTTCAACGTGTCGTAAACGACTGTAACCGGTCAAATATGCACATACAAATATACAGCATCAATGGAGGGAGTTCTGAAATCAGACGTTATTATTCAAATCGATAATGATTACTTTAGACATATTCTTACGTATTGTATTGCTATAGATGCATCCAATTTCATGTCAAAGACTTCAAAGACTGCTAATTTATTAGTCTTCTATCTTACTTTGTAAACTTAAAGAATTGTTTCTGAATTGAAATCGCTGATTTTAATCAATGCTCACAATCCATGGCCGAAGCTACTCAAAAATAAAGGAGATATTAGATAGTGTGACCAATTCTAATTACATTTCTAGGTTGATGATTTCTGAGGCAGTATTCCATGAATTTCCGGCTGGAACCGACCGAGAAATGCCACGAATTCAATGTCGGAATCCGGATGTCTCTTTGCCAGGGTACTATCGGTTCTGGGCGGGACCGGATAAATCAGATCACCGAATCTGTTTTTTTTCGGAATACTGCGTCCATGTTCTGTCGGTCGGCGATGTTTTTCTTTGTCAAATGTGAGTTCGTAGATATTTGTTATTATTTATTGTAGAGAAGAAAAAAGACATCAGTCAATTTTTACTAGAGATTTAATACACAGATAACCACGCTTACAATATCAGAAAAGAAAGAACAGCAATAAGGGGAAAAACATGATTCGAAGGTTCACAAGAAAATTTGAATTTTCGTTGGTATCATGCTATTGGGTGTGGAGGAAAAGTTTTACATTTTTCTTTGTCGAGTTCCACGAGATCTGCAATTCTATCGAAAACAAAATGAAATAAATAATTTTAAGTTTTTGGTGAATGTAATATTCATACACTTTATGATGATGATAATGAAGGAATCCTTTAATATTTGGATATTCAAATCCAGTGCAGACTAAGCATGGGAAACCCCATTACATATGATTTAATGGTACTAATGATAATGCTGCTAAAGATCTGAACCGATTACGAAGTTCCTCATTGTCATTGTATGTTGCTTTCAACCTAAGATCGATGAACTTAGGAAATAAGCTTTGTCCGAAATGAAATAAACAACCAAGAACTTCGGTAATACTTAATGAAAACATTAGAGACGCCTAACTGTACCGTTCGTAATCTAATAATTAAATGGAATTCAATCATTTCCCTAAATAATATGAACTGAAAATAAATCAATATAAATTTGTTCAGATTTACCACCAAATGAGGCGAAAATGCATTGTGTCGATTATTCGTCATATACTGTGCATGAATTGCATATGTCTGATAAAAAATGGATAGACATATATAAAACGACTCATTATTGTACTAATGTTCTTGTTGTGACAAATAGATGATATCGTTATAGGTGACAAAACTGAATGAAGAGGTAGCACCAAGCGTCCATCGTATAACAAAAACTCTTCACACTGTGGTATTTACAAGAAACGCGTCGGGTAATAGGAACGGAAGTTGTTCTATTTTTGAGGAACTGGTGGACTCGTGTTACAACGTTCTTTTTGTAAAGTATTTTTAATTGTACGAATGGTGGGTGAATTAATAACCAAATCAGTGGATTGCGGTTGCGTATAAATCGCACCTTCGACTATGTGATATACACTGGATCAGATTCTGCGGGAATTCTACGTTTTAAATCTTTTCGTATTTCCAATAACTCGTTATCTATTTCATCTGGGGTAAATGTGTATGTTCATCACATACTACGACTGACAAATCTGCAGAGCTTGTTGCTGTTGCATTAAATTTTACATATATCCAATCCAGTTCGAGTATTACGGTGGCCAGAGACGACTGTGTCGCTTGCCTGGCAATACTCAGAACCATTTTGGTTTTACGTTTCACAAAATATCGATAGCCAAGGTTACATAACTGTTTCTTGTCATGCATAGATTCAATAAATTTAGCAAATATTTCTTAAACAGCATACCACAGCGTTGGATATCCGTACCTTAATATACGTTTTCTACAAAGATTATTATGTTGACAACCATTCTAATCCCCAAATTAATGAATACTGCTCATTTTATAACTAAAATTTCAGTAAACCGGCCACTTATTGATAAATGCTCCTTCTGATTAGAAAATTTATTAGAATTTGTTCTGACAATACATTCAATAATGCATCGGCTCGCTTCTTTGCTTCTAAACAATTGAAGCATCAAGTGAGCATTGAATAGTTAGATACATACCCAGGCCGATTGTTCCGGTGAAATCACCGAACTTCGCCAATATGACTTTCGCCAATATTGGCGAATGTATGAGAGACATTCACTGTATTAACGTCAGACGTTGAACCATTTAACTATGAATCAAAAGTTGGTGTATGCTCGGGAAGTCGGCAATAACATAATAGAAACTGTATTAGAATAGGGAAGAGTCCATATTATATATAAATATCATCTGCTTTAATAATTGAGCATGTGAGAAAGTTTCGCCAGTATTGGCGAATGTCCATATGACTTTCGCCAATGGCGAAAGACCGATTGGCGAACTTCAGGCTGCTCGTTCCGGTCACCGGACACTGTAGGAACCAGCCGGAAAGATGCGGAAAGATCACCGTATTCCTAAGGAAAACAAGGGGAGTCGCTGGAACCTGGAAGCAGTACTCCGTTCGGAAAATTTTTGGACTTTTCCCCTATGATTTACTGTCGATTCCTGCCTGAAAACACCTGGAGTTGACCGGAATCCACCGGAAAAAAATCTGGGAATTTTCGGCAGGAATACTGCTTCGACCTTCCAGCGATTTCCCGTGTTTGCCGATTGTTTCCCGCCGTGCCGCCACGACCTGGATGGTATTAATTATTAGCTTATCATTTCAATCTAAACAAGAAGGTGAGTAAGGTTTATATCGCTAAGGACGCCACTGAAATTTTATTACAACAATTACTTATCATTTTGATAGTATTCTATGTATTATAATTAAGTGTGATTCATTTGATGTATAGAGCAGGCTTTATTTTTTTCACTAGTTTAATTGTATACATCGCGATTTATCACGGATGATGATGAAGTATTACCACAAAGAGAAAATTATATTAAAAATTGATTGATTTTCTTTCTCGTAGAGAAGAGTCCAGTAAACATAAATTGTCTGATTGCTTGCTTGTGTGTCAGCACTTCACTGATCGGTCGGAGAACATCGCGAGAACAAAAGGAATAATTATCTTAGAAACTTGGCCGAAGGTAATTGAAGGTGAGAAATCCGAATCCGAGGTCAGTTTTAACTAATTAATTAATAATTAACTAATTATTAATTATTAATATTTTATAAAAAAAATTGACCAATTTACATTAAACATAAACTTATGTGCACAATAAGATATTAAGTTCCTGACATTTAAAAATAGTATTTCTACGAGAAAGAGCTGAGCGAGTCGGTAGACGAGCGTTACTTATTTTTAGCAGCAGAGAATAATTTATTAATTGCTAATTCAGCTCAGAATAAAATATGTTGTTGGTTTATCATTATTTATTTATTTATTTGCTTTTATAAAATAAATTTTCAACAGCAGAAAATATTTTCGGGAAAAATAATCAATGATCGTTTACTGAATGCCGAAGTTTTACTTCTCTTGATTTCTATAGACATAATACTAACATTCAAGTGTACGAATTGCATAATCAAATATGTCAACTTATCTGATGACAGTCTAGCAGATAGAGGTTCTTTGTGAAATTTATCAAGAAAAATCTTGTTCTCGATGATCTTATTTTATTAGAAATGCATATCTTTATTTCAAAGGCCAAAAACTGTGTCATTTCCTTTGGTTCTGGAGTTCAATTGAATTGATCCTTATACCATCTTTTCTTCGACCTTTAACCTTTCTAGTGTGAAGCTCTGTGAAGCTACTAGAGCTGCACGAGAACTCTCGGAGTTGTTGAAATTCTAGAGAAGAGTATAAACAGTTACAAGTCGCTTTCTCAGCAACGAATTGAACAATTTATTAGATCTAAACAAACGAACTGAAGTTATCAAAAGCCTTTTGAACACGAGGAATCATCGATCAGTCACCATTATTTGTTTCCATGACAGTTTCTGAACAGAGTGCACAAATTTTATGTCAGATATTAACGCGGCAAAAAATACATGTTAGGTTATTTCAACCAAAATAAAAAAAATCAACAACGAATTAAAGAATTAAGCGTTGTTCGTCATATATATTGGATTTGTTTACTAACTAAAGATATTTACTATCAAAACATTATTTTATTTTATTTTTGAGTCATGAAACTATTGAAATAATGGGACTAAGTAATACGAGTGATTCTA